ATATAATTTAACTGCATGACTCTTTTGCTCTGTGTCGTGATCAGCTAGAAACATCTTTAATGCTGCCATGGATTGTGCTTAATACTCTAACATGATGTTATTACATTGTTTTAAATCAAGTGAGAGACCAAATTGTAATTCGGTATAATTGAGAGAACAAGCATTGCATATTATGTCTTGGTTCATGCAAACATATGAAACACTTTTCGCCATGTTGCATACACCAAATGTAATTGTTTTACAACTATGGATGCAAAAAATACTATAATATATATTATATAACTAATAGTGAAGTCTTGTGCTTATTTCTGCCTAAAATAGTCCTACAACTCCCAATGTACCTCAGCAAGCCACAGATATGTTTGGCATGCTAATGACTAGATACTCAGGATACTACAGTACAGTATCATTGTAGGAAAGGAAATCCACAGCACTTTTACTAACACTTTTACAGCACTTTTACTAACAGACTGCTAGTCTTATTTCAGTGGTGAAATCCTATAAATATTTACTCAGAAATTCTATTGAATGAAATAGTGCTTATTCACCAGGAAATAGGTATTAGAGTCTAATCAAACTATTATATTGCTATATCTTTCAACAATTCGTTGCTCATATTTTCAGCTTTCCCCACCCTCACTATCATAACGTCAGAAATATATTCTATTTTCTATTATTTTCTCTATAGCATGATTTTACTACATGCAATATTATATTGTTAATGCATTAATAATATAAAATATTTTCATGTGGCATTGTAATACAGTATTCATGCAAATTAAAATTCAGAAGAGTCCTAATATTGCAAGAACTGGCAATAAAATAGCAGTATCAGAGACCATATGCAACACCCTTCTTGATATAAAATGTGTGATTGGATTCTAAATGTTTTGTTATATTGCATACAAACCATTAAATATTGTAGGGTTTCCAGTAAAATATAAATGTCACTCTTACAACTTAGGATGGGCAAGGTAAGGGCATTTAAGTTCATGAAATTCAAACTGATGAGACTAGCAATCAACTCTATTTTAAAGTATAATCATGGATTTTAACCACCAGTTGGCTGTTCCTTCCATTAATCCAGTCTGTCACTTTATCCCCAATATCCCTAGGAAAGATGGTATCTGAGCAGTAAGCATAGCAATCACAGTAAGCAAAAGGATGAATGGGTGCCTAGCAAGTCAGACAGATGAATAATCTCTTTGCCAGATGAAGCTGAAAGTGTAACACTTCATGATTACTGAAGATAAGCAGCTGACTGCTCTAATTAAACTGAAGACTAATGGGAGGAGAACTCCACATTCTGTTATCTTTACAGCCCCTGCAATTGGCTGCATATTAACTCAGAATGCTACAGGAAACAAACAGTCATGGCTTTTTTTTTTTTTTTACAAGAAATTCAGGTAAGGAGAATTTCTTAAGCAGCATTTATCATTAGTTTGCCCAAGCACTAGCATATTAAGAGAAGCATTTCACCACAGCCCTGGTAAGAGGAAAAGAATGAATTTCAAAAATATTAATAACAATCAATAATTTGAATCATTATTTTAATTTGTTGGTGGATTTGTAGATATGCTATAAGGTAGATTATCATTTACTTGATATCCATGTTAAAGCAGTTTTATGTAATGATTGTGAATTTTAATTAAGTATTAATCAATGGAGTCATACATTTGGTAGAAGTAATAATAGTAGTTGATCAAGATATTTTGGAGGGTATTATTCATAGTCAGAAGTCAGAAATGACTTGATGGAACATAGCAACAACTTCATACATGAGAAATTCCCCTTACTGTTTACCTTGGTGTGGTTCAGATCAAGTGGATTCAGGTACAAAAGGGATGCAGCAGCGATGCAGATGACCACTGTACCTCTTGCAAGTTCCATTACTTCTCCCACCACTGTCTCAATAACCCTGCCCACTACATTCAGCTGTTCTTTGCCATCACTTGTTTTCAAATTCCAAGATCAGAAGTATACATGCAATCATTTTGCATATATACAAAATAGTACATATTATATTGTGTTTTCACCATTAATGTGTGAAATAGGATCCTACTAGTGTTACTGAAAGATGATCAGCATTTATCATATCAACAAAAATTACATTTTTTGTGCAATGAAATCTCTCTTTTGATTTTCTATTTTTCTTTGGAAAAACCTTTGTCTGAATATACATTCTTCTTAAGCTATGTTCACTACTTTATTCCTACATTCAGTGGAGAATATCTTCAGCTATAGCTGTTTTTTAGTTCACAGTGTTTTTTCTTTTTACTTTTTTACTTACAGTTCTTTAAATACTATTTCAACAAAGTTTTGTTCCTGCACTTTTTCTAGAGAAAGTTAAGTCTACTGTGCCTAAGGATTTCTGAGCATAACAACAAACATGAAACTACGACCCAAGCCATACTATATAGTAAATAGCTTTATATTTAACCTTGTTAAATAGTTTGAAAATTGGAAATTATGGTGGGACATTCTGCTCAGATGCTTCAGCTATGCTTTTCAAGTGTATTTTGACTACCTCTTTTATTTGCCATATCATGTACTGCATCTTTTCAAACACCAAGCAAAATATTTATGCTGAAAAAAATCAAACTTGATTGCATACTGCTATGGTCAATGAATTGAAATGTTCACATTAGTGATTATACATATTTAGATTACTTTTTAAAAACTTCAGTTTACATTATTAATGGGCTTTCCATAAATCCATTCTTTTCTTTAGATGCTAAATGCTATTACTAAATAAGGAACCACTCCTGGAAACAAAAAAAAAACAACATGCAGACTCAATTATCTGTAGCAAATGATAATATGGAAATCTGAATGTCTTTCGGTTTTATTATTCTATAAGACAGCTAACCATGGATGATTTAAATACATCTATTAGGCTTGCAAGTCAGTCCACAACACAATCCTATGCATGTTTAATCCAAATATTTTCTTCCCAGTCAAGTTTCAGGCTTACAAGATCATATTTTTGTTTTTCCTAAAATGCTAAGGTCTACCAACCAGAGCTGGACACAAAATAGCATCTCATGGAACATAGTAAGACTCCATGAAGTAGACACTGGAATATAACCAAAACTCATTCTGAATTATAAGGCATTCTATTTGCTATGTTTTTGCTATGTTTGCAAAAAAGGGCTAGGCACACAGTGGAGACAAAAAAAAACAATGGCCCACAAATGACAGATAAGGACCAAAAGGCTAAGGCTAAAAAGACATAATCCAGAGAGATAAGAGGAAAGGCTATAGAAAGGGAGAAAACTGGAAAAATAATCAGATAGTATGGTACACATGGCCAGGAATTATGAAGCTGAAGAAAAATGAAGACTGCATATTAATTTGAACTATCTGTATCTTTGGTCGAAGCCACCAGTTTTGATAGCACTGGGACTTATTTTGCTGTATAAAACAATATAAAATAGTGTTTCTATTCCACTTACATGCCATATTTTCTTTCTTTTAAATAAGAGGGTATGTTGGATTTTATACATGTCAAATGGCAGGAGTTGCAATAGATAATACTAATGCTTAAAATGTCAAATAAATATTCTCAGTTTTTTCCCAAACCAAATAAATACAACTGATGGCTATTGTCAAAAAGTACAGGCATCTATTTCCAGTCATATCAACCTAATGGGGACATATATTGAAATGTATATAATTTCTGTATTTAAACATATTTAAATGCTGTCTCTAGGCAAATTTTGCTCTCTACCAAGTTTACCTTTCCCAATATTTAACTTGAAAATTATAAACTGTACACCACTTGCATATGTGGAGCATCTTGATTGTTCTATAAAAAGTTCAAAACTATGAAATTAGTAGGCAGGCAATGCAAGAGGGGGTAATTTAGAAAGGAGAAAGAGCTGTTGTGATGGTGGATTCCTTACCCATATCTTTCTTAAGAATCTCCACAATTTGTAAACTGAAATCAGCACACTCTGTTAGTTATTATTTATTTAGTCAATAGGTATTTGGGGTCTACAAAATGAAGAAATCTTTTGGAGACAAACCAAAAACACTGCAGTTCAACTTTGTCTCCTACACAGTAATGCTGCATTTAGGTACATCACACTGCAAAGATAAAAGCTTTTTTTCCTACACTACACCCATTCCTATACATACAAATACAAAAGAATACATACAAAATAAAACGTATCCTGGACTTCAGAATTAAAAGAATATAACTGTGTGTATACTGCACTTTATTTCCCCAAATATAACCAATATCAGAACACTCAAATGATATGATAGAGTCAAAACAGTGCTGTTGCTTGAATTAAGCTATAGGAACAGAACAATGTGTAGCAGTCTAACCAGGGCAGTAGAGCTTACTAAATTAATCAATTCTCAACAATATTTATGCAGTATTTTAAAAGAAAAAACATAATACTTGCTTTAATAACTTGCTTTATCTTTTTTCATATCAAAGTCTCTTGACCCTGCACTAGCCCCACCACCAGATACTGTGGTTTATGTGGAGGGCTGTATGGCTGTGACAAGTAGACAAACAAGATTCCTGGAAGAATATTGATTCTTTGTGATATGGAAGAATTGAGGATCTAAGCAAAGTTGTCATTAAAACAACCACATTTCCTCTACAATACAATAATACTAACTGGCACATATCCATTGATTGTAAAGTGGGTTGTGATATATATGAAAATTGTATGATTTTTGTGGCTTCAGCCAAAATTATTTTAGAAGGTCTTTCCGTGCTTAGCCATGCAAGACTGAAGGCCCTACTGCCTGAACTGACCTTTCGTTTGATTCAGCAGGGCTCTTCTTACATTCTAGCTTTTTATCTCTTTTATTCAGAAGCTGTGTGTTTAAAAAAAAAAGATCTCTCTTCTCTCTGCTCTGTGGCAATGCTGTAATTGTAGGCAGATGACACTTAACAGAAGCTTCTAGAAAAACCATGGGAAAATGCCTTAGGTTTTACTGGGTGTACAATATAAAAAGTAACACTTAAAAATTCTTCTTACCTCTGTTTCTCGACAGCGTGAATGCTCTGATTTACCTGAAATTAAATATATACACATGTTATTGTCACTTTAAAAAGATCAACTCAAAAACAAAATTAGACAATCTCAGTGGCATCTTCCATAGATACTCACTATACTATGCCAAAGGAATCACCTAATTATCAGTCATAAAGGCAACCTGTACCTAGGTATGTGTGTGTGCACACACACATGTAAAAACACACACAGCCATAGATGTGGCTTGAAAATTACAACTGGGATATGAACTGAACATACTCTGACTACATCCACTTCTTTGTACTTTTAGGTTCCTAAGGCTAAAACCTGCACATACTTCCTAATTAGTATAACCCATTAAATTCACTGGTGCTAGGAAAAATGTTCATAATTAGATTGTAAATAGGTTCGAGGTTAAACCAAGGTTCAATCTGGATGCCAGGAAGTACTTCCTGACAGTTAGGGCCCCTAGCATGTAGAATGGACTTCCACGGGAGGTGGTTGAAGCCCCATCGATGAGCGTGTTCAAGGGCAGGCTGGACATGCAGATGGTAGGCATGTCATGAGCGAAGCTGGCTGGAGCTGGGGGACAGACTAGATGGTCTGGGAGACCCCTTCTGACTTGCTCTGTTTCTATGTTTCTAAGTAATTGTTTAGAATAAGGAACATTTGACTCTGGATAGAGAAGATATGAAGGTTCTACCTACTGCTTGAGACACTCACTCAAGGCTGACATTTTCATTCCTGCAGAGTTACAACTGTCAGGAATTCCTGTGAATCCAAAATGAAGGCAGAAGGGTCTGAGGAAAGCTTGTATGGGGTTGCAATGCAGCTCAGAAACGTAAAAATTTCCATTTGAAATTCCTCCATCTCCATTTATCTCCAGTACCACCTACCACTCTTCTAACTTGAGACAAGTGAAGTAAGTGGTCTGGATTTCTGCCTTTTCCTTAAGGAAATCTAAGATGCCTATAAAAATGATAACATCTGCTGCATGGCACTTCTTCCAGCTGTAGACTGGAAGGAGCAATGATGATGGCCCTGGTTGTACATTTGCTGTTAATGGCAAAGCTTCAGTCACAAGAAAATTACTATAAGCTTTTGAAAAGTCTTATGTTGTAACTGTCCTCCAGTGAAACCTGAAACATATTTAATTGCCTATTCCATGAAATACATTTACTACTCCACCAAAAGAGTGAGCCTCTTAAGAAAAGCAAAGTTGCAGGTTAACCCTCATTGTTTAAAAGCTAAATTACACACTGCATTAAATATAAAGTATACAGCTGATGCTCTACTTTTCTTTTAACTTGAAGTAAGTGCAGGGCCTCTCTGCCTGCAGCTGGGTAGTCATTTAAACCTTCCCACTGAGATAATTCACCCCTAAATTCTGTCCACATAGGTACCTATGGAGGCTCTTCTAGGTAAGAATTTAGTGGAGAAAAAGGCTATGTACAGAAGGTTTATCCCACTCCTAGTCTGACTTTTTTAAAATGTGAGATTAATTAACGATGCTTTGCCAGACTCACTGAGAGAAGGAAAAAAAAATATGCAAGTGCCTTATACCAAATCAGCCAATGGAATATAAACAGGATTATACCTCCTCCTTTCTCTACACATATAGTTACTTAAATAGAGAACCCAGAAATCAGGGTATCAGTGAAAAGAGGCAAATAATTTGATTGACAAATTACTGTGGTCAGTATTTCACTCTATTCTGCTTTTAAAGAATTATGTATCAGCAGAAGCATTAGTTAAAATGAAGTGTAAAAAGGTATCCACAAATTGGTGGATAACCAAACCAAACAATGCAGGATCTTTGTTTCAGAGGTATAATGTGCTACTAACTGATGCCATTCTGAATTTCTAAACCAAGCATTTTCTACAAAGCCTTTCCTAGTGCCATGTTTAGAAAAAGTATAGAAAATTTTTCATGTTACACTGATTGGGATCTGGCAAACATCCTTGAGTGTGCGTTGTCATGGTCTTACTGAAACATGGGTTAATTTATCATCTGAAACCAGGCAAACAACAAAAGCATGCAACCCAGCAACAAGCCATGGATTCTCTTAATGAGTTGTTCATGATGAACAAATCACAGTTTGTTGTCACTGTTGCGTTCCAACAGTATAATCCTTGCTTCACCAACAACCCACAGTTCAGCGATGATCCACTCAACCCATACTCAACCTTGGAATGTGGGTTCCTGCATTGTTTGAACCCAGTCATCCCAAGGTGGTGAAGTTTAGTACTTTGTGCATGCTCAGCATCTAACTCCTGCTCCCCCTCCTAAGCTTAGAGCTGGGCAAGTAGACTTCATTACATCTTCCTCTTCCCAGGCTACAGCCACTTATCTCTGTAATCCCTGTAACTGCCATCCTTGTAGACAACTCCTCTCCTCACTTGTTAATCATTAATCATTAAATTTTTGTTCAAAACAAAGAGTTCAGAATAATGCGACAACTTTTTTCTTTTCATCACAACCATCCTTTCTTCTTTCCCCACTGTAGCAGAACATTAAAAAAGTTCAGCATTCAAAAGTATCTCTCTCTAAGGAAATTATTCAGAAAAGAACCAAAGACGTATAAAATCTGAAGAGAAAGCAAGCTGTCTTCTTCCCAGGACCCTTTTGAGATATGTCAGGCTACGAACTTTTGAGATAAGTTAGCTGCTTCATGCACAAAAAACACCATCCAAAGTAGCTGCCTCTAACCTTTCAAAGTCAGAGAATTATGGGCACTGTATGGAAGGTAGGGGGATCATGAAGGCAAGGACTGCCTCTGTGCTTCCTTCATTCTCAAAACACTTAGACAGCAATTTTGACTAAATTATTTATCCTTGCTCACAAGGAAAAAAGGCTGAGACGCCACTGGGACTCCTTGAGTCACAGTGGAACCTCATTCCTCTTCCACTTTCCTGGAATTCCCCCTTCTAGCGTCAGCTCCTAAATCACACATGCAATTTCAGCATTACATCTGATGCTGAAAATGCCACACTGGGTGTGAAGCTGGACATTCCAAATTCAGAGCCAGCTCCAAGCTTTATTTAGGTTGGAACTAGAACACCAAATTTTCCTATGGCTATCTAGATAGCATCTAGCAAACATGGGATTATACACTAAGTGATGCATAATGCTAAAAGAGAGTAAGAAGGAGCAATTCATATGCTTATCACTAGCTGACGAACAGAAAAAAGGAGAACATAGGAGCTACAAAGCTCAGTACAATTAGGTAGATGGGAAGTGTTTGTTCTTTATGTTAAAGAGACCATCTTTATAATAAGCAGGTTTGTAGACATACGCCAGAAGTAAAAATGTTTTAAAGTGACATTTTGCTTGTTACGTTTTTCAAAGTACTACCTTTCTAACTTAACTTTTACTTCTCCCAATTTTCAGGAAGTTATGACATTGTGTGCTTGACATTCTGCTTCGCAGAAACTGAAGATTTAATAGTAAAAGTCATACAAATGTATGAGTCAATTTCAACAGAAGTATTCAAAAAGAATACTTCCTATTCCACTTTCCACCTTCATTCATATTAATTTCCATGGTTCCTCCCCAAACTGAAGTCATGCATTAACTGGAAACATACATTAATTGGTTTCTGATATATTTCAGACATAAAGTATAAAGTACAGAAAATAATGCCCACTACAAAATCACCAGTCTGAAAACTGCATGTTTAAATCAACAGTGGAGCCAGATAAAACATTGGATAGAAGTAAATAAGAAGATAGTTTGGGAGAACAGGAATGCTAAAAACAACTGGGAATTTGATCTTCCATTTTTTTTCTGTTCCACTGCATAAAGATACTATTGAATACAACCTCTTTATCTTCATGAAGTCCAGGCATTATGGAAGCTGGAGGTTCTAAGTTAGTTAGAAATGGAGATAGATTCTTAAATAGAGTGAATATAAAGAGTACTGAATTGGACCTTCATGCTCAAGGTCCAATTTATTCCTATATTTATTATATTTATATCCCACTTCTTTTTTTCCCTTTCAAGGTGGTTTACATAATCTCTTCTCCCAATTTTATCCTTGTAACTGCCCTGTGGTGGTTAGGTGGCAGTCTGTGGCTGGCTCAGTCACCCAGTGAATGTTCACTATCAAAACATAATTTTTTGAGAATAATTTAAAATACCCAAGAGTTAATATTTTTCTCTTTTTTTTACTAACAATGGTGCTAACACAACTGCAACTGCAGGTGACTAGTTGTTCTGGATGGAGAGGAACCTCTTCATATACCACAAAACCAACCTGTTAATGGAACTGGAGGAACTTCATGGTACAAATAATGCTCCTGTATCCACACTGTTGCTTCTCCACAGAGATCCTGGCTAGAGCATGCTGGGGGCTGTAGGTTTTTTTTTTCTGTCTAAATTTATATAGGATTATACCTTAAAATACTAACCTCAGAGATCTTATTTTGAGTATTGATTTTAATGGGTATATGCAAAATGTCTATGCTTACAGTATTTCACTGTAAATTTTAAACATTATTGTTGCCTTTAAATAGCATGTGCCATTCATTAAACTAGTTGATACTAATGGATTAGTTCAAAGAAAATAATCAGAATATCTTTTTTCTTTCTCAGTGATGCAGAAATATTTTGAAGGACTTAGTAAGGATAGAAACAGCATACAATGATGAATACTATTTTACACCACATCATCAGAGAGATTATCTACCCAGATCATTAACCAAAGCCAGTTCAGTATACCCTTATCTCTGTACATTACAACATTTTACATACATGTTACAGCAATGTAAAGTGTGACTGGGCTAACACCAAATAATAGTGAAAGTCATGTCTAAGTTCACTAATGCGGCATTACATGGAGGGTAAAAGCTCTCACTGGCAGCACATCTATGTGTTTAACATAGAGTAGTCCTAATCATGTAGGAAAGAGACAGATTAGTTTTAACAGTGAAAGGTATTTCTAACCGCTACAGGACCAGCTTTCTTTCAAAAGCTGCTTTTTGGAGTCTGGCTTTGAAAAAGTTATTGGGAAAATAGCTGCACAAGTTAACCTGCTGGCTTCATTTGTTACTTTCTTATAGATTTTGCTTTTAACCTGGATGCCATCCCATCTTGTCCCCTTCTGGATATGTCTGTCAAAAAGGATATGGCTTGTTATAAGAAGTAGAAAAAGTCATCTTGTTAATGCTGATAAATTATTCAGTTTGCTAGGTGGACAGGTGACTGTTCTGGTATAACTTTGGCTAGAGTTCTAAACTCTTCCTGTACATTTAAAAAAAACTTCCCTCAGTATAATTAGCATCAAAAAGCTGTGCTACTTGGTAGCAAGACACTATTGAGTCTGAGCATTCCCTCTTTCTTGAAGACATCCAATGACTGCCAAAAAACCAAAGTTCTTCCACAGAGATGCACTTGTAGTAAAATGGATAGCATGTCCTACTCTCTTACATTTTGCTAATAAGTGTTTTGAACCTAGCTAAATGAAGAGACTAAGAAAAATATCTTCATATCATAACTCATGGCTAGCACTATGAGTTTCTAAATATAGAATGCTCTTAGGCTGAATAAAAAGTTTTACCAAAAAAAAAAGTCTACAAATGTCCAGTCATATTTTCCCTTTACATGTTACTCAATTTGTTGGGTAAAAAATTGTCTGAGTTGCATTCTATGTCCTGAAAGCTCTGTGCTCTAATCACAGATATTTCATGCCATAACTAAATACTGTTGTAAAACTACTTTGTCCATACTCAAACATCCTTCTATTCCCCAGTCAGTTAATGGCAAAGAAGCCCATATAGGAAAGGAAGTCCATTCATCACTGGCTTGTGAAAAAAATTGTGGGGAGCCAAATACTGAAAACAAAGTAGATATTAATCACTACAGCAAATCCCCCTATTGTTCTTCCTATAACCATAGAATAAATTTTATACCATATCCTAAAGCCTTAAATACAATTACTCCCATTTTAAATTTTAATATTACTTGTTTTATTTTGTCCACTTATAATCCACAGCAAAATAAGCATCCCTGATGTATCACTTTTCATATGTAATGCTTAGTTGATTATACAAGTAAAATGACAAGCATAATCTATTTACTGCCAGAAGGAGTTGATGAGATGACTCTGAAAAGTAGTTTAGGATGCTGACTTCCTTTTTCTAGTATAATGAGAGAGATCTGAAGATGCATGCCAACATATGCAACACTAACGTGACATGGTATTACATATCATATAACATAAAGTGCATATTATATATAAGTGCTGAATCTAACTTATTGTAAAAAGTACTCACTTCCAAGGAAAAGAAACTCACATTTTATTCCTGTTTCTATTATATGTTTGGTTTGACATCCCCCTTTATTGAAGATTGTTAAAAAAATTAATATACACATTAGAGTATGTATTTTCACCTGCTTGTTTTCTACAAATGACTCTTGCAAGTACCGTGTGACTGCAGTAGAGCCACTTTAAGTTCCACTGATACTGACATAATTCACTGTCAAATAACTTGGTTTAGGATAGCAGTCTGACTTGTTTTGGATTTGGAAAACACGCAAAACAAAGGCACAAAGCCAACAGACATTAAAACCTACTGCTAACAGCATGCCTGGGCTCTGACAGCTGCTCTCTTTGTTTTGCTTTGCAGTTCCCTCCCCCATCATGATGCTGACCTACATGAGCAGCTTTGCATCATTTTCTTCTCTACAGGGTTTCTTCAACCAGAAACAGAAAATTCTGGCTTAGATGGAGTCAGAGCAATTCTGGTAAATACAGACATACTTCCTCCATCCATTTGACACTGTCAATATAACTATGTTGCTTATTATGAATGGAAATGCAACAGCAAGGTGTTTTTCTTAGGTTCCCTAATCCAAAAATGAAACCTCTCCTACACAAACCAAGACAGCTGCTCAAGTTAATTAAGCCACCCTTCCTACTCAGAACTGCTTACCTAGGTGTCAACCATGATGCACTATGAACAGCAGGAAAGATTTTTGTTGAAATGATGAGACTTCTATATTTCAAACCAGGACAGAAATGCTATTTTCTACAGAAGCGGGGAAGGAGAAAGAAATGCTAAACAGCGAACTCTTCATATAAATGGAGTAGCTGAGAGAGAGGGTGCATAAACAAGGCAAACAGAAGCGTTTTTGTACTGTGCATGGGGTGGCGAGCTGGGAGAAGTATCGTCACCCGGAGGCACGAGGCTGCAGCCCATGTTCACAGAAACATAGAGAACAGATAGTGGAAGGCAAGCCATGGAAAAGATTCCTCCCCTCTGCATTGCATTACTGGAGATGCGCAACCTCCGGCACCCAAGAGCAGGAGATGATGGCTTGCGGGATGGGAATGGGAGGAGGGGCGTTGTTAGGGGCATATCAGTTCCCACTGAAAGCAAATGCCACGGTCGAAAACAGCCGAAGAAGGAACTGCCACCAGGACCGGGCTGAACTTCCCTGGAAAACCGGCTGAGGAGAGCCGGCCGGCTGCCCTGCGACGCTCATTCTACCTGCTCTCGGAGAGCTCCGAGCGCTGCTGCTGCTGCCGCCGCCGGCGTCCAAGGTGACAGCTCCGTCCCTCCAGATACGGATGTCGGCGGGGCTCTCCACCCTGCGCTTTGAGGACTCTCCGCGGCGGCCTTGGGCACGGAGGGACCCGCAGCACTGGTAGCACACGGCCCACGCCTGCTCCTCGTTGATGGGCTGGTTGTAGAGCTTCAGGATCTCCTCCAGCGACAGGGCGTTCCGCAGCGCCGCCTGGCCCGGCCCGTCGGATCCCCCGTCGTCTCCGCGGCCGGAGGTGCCCGGCACGGGCTCGTCGCTCCCCGCAGCCCCGGCGTGAGCCATCCCCTCTGCAAGGAAAAGCCTGTGGGCTGCCCTTCTCGTCCTTGCCTGCGCCTCACCGCAGCGGCCGCTGTTTGCCGCGGCGCGCCGCCTTCATCTTCTCCCAGGCGCCTCCCCGCCCCCCACCAGCATCATCGCCACCACGGAGCGCGTGAGCCGCCGGGCGCAGCCCCGTCGCCGGCGAAGAATCCAAGCGCCGCCGACGCTGGGGCCACGGAGCCCGCCGACGAGTCGAGCCAGTCCCCGCGAGGGAGGAGAGCATGAAGGGCGGGAGTCACCTCATAGCAACGCAATGGCGTCTCTCCCCCGCCCTCCGGCTCTGCCGGGCTATACCGCCTCCTGCCTGAGGGAAGGAGGAAAAGGAAGAAGGGGAAAGAGCGGAGGATGGAAGAAGGGCAGCGGAAGCGAACACGGCCCGGCGTCCACCACGGGGAAAAAATCAATCACGCACCAAAGAATTCTGTAAGGAGATTTGCCAGGCGGAAGGATATGGCTAACCTGCCGCAGTGCTGCGTTCCTACATTAATAGCAGCCTTCAAACCGCCAGCGAGTACAGTTTACAAGTTCCTGAAGGCAGCTTGAGTCGTGCAGAACTAAAGTAGGGGAGGAGAACGCCTGTAACGCAGTGGTAGCGGCCTGCGCCCTTAAAACAAGTGCGAACCCATAGTGGTACAGCTGAGGTAGGCTTGTGGGATCTACTTCATTCTTCTGTTAGAACCCTGAGATCCAGCGACAGGAGCCAGGAGCAAAATAGTGGCTTAGCTGGGTGGCCGCGAATGACGGATCAAGGAATGGGGTGCCTGCTAGGCACGTGCCTGGCCCAAGCGTTTGTGATCAGTCCAGAACCAAAACTCGCAGATCTTTTCCTTTAAAAATCTACTCCAGGTTTTTCCCCATCCCCAACTCCCCCCCCCGCCAGCCGCAGCAGTTAAACTTGGGAGAGGGGCCGGGGAACCTTCGTGTCAACTTCGGAGTCAGAAAACTTGATCTGTGTTCTGTCTACCCTTTACGTTGAGTACACAATTACAAAACCGGAGGTTATGTTCTCAGTCCCACTCCCAGGATTAATGATTGTAAATATATAATCGTAAGTCAGAAGAGTTATTGTATGTATATAAAATAAACGCTTAAGTGCTGGCCATTTGAATTCATGTACTAATGTTACATTTGATGCAGAAAGTAGTGATAGGAGATCCCCTTCTGCACCAGTTCAGAGCATGGTGTTTGTTATTCTCCTTCAGGAACTGGGGTAGAAATCTAATCATAGGTGAGACTCTAACGTAACTTAAAGCCACACTACCTAAACTATTTAAAACCCTGGCTCAAAGAATATGCTCAAGATGTATGCTGAAGTTTCCTTGAAGTGTTCAGCTGAATTTTCTTTTATTTGAAAGCGATTCTAGCAACTAACCCAAGTTTGCCACACAAGTAGCTACTGCCAGCCTTTAGCTATGCAGTGCTAAAGCAGCTGGACATTCAAGTTAATTTTAATTAATCAGACTGGGGACATTTTTGAACAACTACAGACAGTGCATCAGTTCATCCTCTTGGATGTCACAACAGGAGTCAAGTCACTGTCTGCAATAAAGGTATTCTCAGAGCCTACAAAACATGAAACCATATCTGAAAGCCCAAATATACCTTCCCAAGAGGGAATCCTTGCTGAAGATGATGCAGCTATAGGGTCTGCAACTGAGAGCTAGTGTGGTGTAGAAGTTAAGAGCATGGGACTGGGACTCTGGTGATTCGGGTTCTAGTCCCTGCTTGGCAGTGGAGCCAACTGGGTGGCTTTGGACCAGTCTGTCTCTCAGCACAACTTATTTCACAGGGTTCCTGTTGTAGGGATAAGACTGAGAGCAGCAGGAGGAGAATGATGTAAGTTGCTTTGAGTTCTTTAACAGAAAAAGGCAGGATATAAATCTAATAAATAAGTTGTCCTCTCTACCTTGTCTTCCTGTGTTTTATTTCTTTCTCATTCCTTGATTCACAGCCCAGCTTAGTTACTTATTTTTTATCTTGTCTTGTGTATCCTAGAATATTCTAGGCAGAATTTCTTGGATACATTGCCACACTGTTAGGTAAGAAGGTCATAACTTAGCAGCGGAGGATTCATTTTGCAAATACAGGTCCTAGGCTCAATTTCTGGTACGTTCAGTTAAAAGCAGAATCTTTGGCAGCAGTTCTTGGAAAGCTGGGAAGCTTCCAGATGGAGAACTTCTAATGTTACTAATCAAAAGGCATTGTGTGCTTATTCTAGCCTTTCCTTTTAACTGAAGCACTGGGGAGACATGAGAGAATTACAAATGGGGTAAGAGAGAAGGGAGAATTTACCATTTGTTTCACTCAGTTTTTTGTTCTTTAACAAGTTGCTTATTCAAAAGAGCCCCCCCCCCCCACAATGCATGATTTTGTAAACTTGCTCAGGTATCTTTGGTGAGGGACTTGTCAAGATCCTTTTGAAGGTCAAAGTAAACAGTGGTGATTGGACCACCCCTGTTCATGTGTTCACTGATGCTGTCAAAGAACTGAAAAAGATAAGTGATACACAATCTACCATCAACCAAAGCCATGCTGATTCTTTTTCAGTGGGGCTTCTCCTACTATACGCTTACTAATGTTATCTTTTACAAGCCTTCCATCAGTTTATGAGGAACAGGCATTAAGCTAGCCATCCTGTAATTTTCCAGATCATCTCTGAAACCCTTTAAAAATTGGTGTTACATTGGCCATTCTCCAGTCCTCTGGTAAAGAGGCTCATTAGGGACATACTACATATTTTTTGTTTGAAAATCAGCAATTTCATACTCAATTCTTTAGGAATTATAAGATGGGTGCTCTTTAGGACTAGTGATTTATTCACCTTTAATTTGTCAATAAGTTTGAGAACCTCATTTTCTTATGCCTCAGTTCCTCAGACTCCCTTGCTCTAAGTATCAGTTTAGGTACAGCTCAATGAAGAGAAATGAATTGATTCAGCTTCTCTGCAATGTCATTATTCTCCTTTAGTATTCCTTTAACTCTGTCATCAGGCCTATGGTCCAACAGCCTATGTATCTGGTTAAAACACTTAAACAATTTTTCAACATTTAAAACATTTTTTAAATTTTTAAATTTATTTTTATTGAAAACATTTCAATAAAGTTTTGTTGGCTTTCTTATTGCTGGCAATATGTTCCTCAAAGGGGTTTGTTTGCCTTGTTCAATAATAATTGAAATCACTTATTATTAAAACACTTCCTCATCTAGAGGCCTTCCTGATTTTGTGTTCCATCTCAAGATCACCCTGAATGTTCTGCTCTGGGGACAATAGAGTGTTCTTGGCAGTTATATAACCAATACTGTCACCCACAGTGCTTTTGTGGAAGAGTCTTTCTAGCCTGCTTGATACTGTGTCCTCTTTGACATACAGAGTAGTACCTCCTTCCATACACCTGCACAATTTATATTCAGAGAAGAATGTAACCTACTGGTTGCCTCCGTTCTCCCATTTTGACTTCAAAGTTTTAGCATAGAAACACTATACATCTGGTCTTCCCCAGATGTCCCTGATGCATGCATTTTCTGGTATGGTTCTTAAGCCTCTTTTATTTGCTGTCATGTTTCTCTATATGCTTATGGTCTATTTCCTCCCCATTTCCATTAAGACCATTGAAAACATTTTCATCTTCATTCTCTAGGGATGATTTAACCAGATGCTTTCCAGCTCCTGTCATTTCTCCCCCAGGTTTCAGTTTAAAAAGCTGCTCTGCCTTCTATTTTTATGATTTGCACCAGTAGTCTGGCTCTATTTTGTAGAGCCTGTCCCAAAATGTTCCCCAGTGCCTAACAAATCAGAATCCCTTCCTTCTACACCACCATCACATTTCCACATTGAGACTCCTTAGCTTTGCCTTTTAGCTGGCCCAGCATGTAGAACAGGTAGCATTTTCACAGAAAGCCATCATGGTAACCCTAGATATCAGCCTCTTACAGCTATCAGTGTCTAATGATCTAATTGTCCACTAACACAAGCCTCCTCAATCCTCAGGGCACATCCTTGGCACATGATACATAGTTTTCTTCTCAAGAATGGACCTATTGTAAGGGATTATTTTCCTTTCCATTCCCTCTCTGTGATAGCAGAAAAACTGTGTGTCTGGAATTAGAACACTGCTATTATGTCCCTCAAGTCCCATCAACCTCTCTTACCTTCTCTAGGTCCAAAAACTTTGTTTCAAGGAAGCAAGCTTGTAATGAGCTCCTAGCTCTCAGAGAACACCAAGCACACACCCATGGCTTCTGTCCAGCAGGAATAGTCACTTAGTACCATATGCTGGATAGCACCGCACCCTTGCTGGCTTTTCACTTACATAAGTGTTTTCTATTGCTATTATTGGGCTTGTCTACCTGGAAAACTTATTTAGCAAGAGGAGGTGGGGATTTCATAGCTATTTATATTGATGCTTATTATGACAAGACACCATGCCTTGTTGCTAAACATGCATGAGTGCTTAACTTGTGTGCTGACACTTTGACCCTAGAAATGATGGTGCTACATCACTGGGGCTGCTTTCACATGTGTATTAAATAAGGCAGCAGCTGCTGCTTTGCCGTTTGGTAACTTTCTAGTTAGGATATAACCATTTTTTGGGTCTAATATACATCTGCATGTGGTTTTTGAAACAGAATCAGTGTTCTATTTCTACTGCAGTTCCAACCTTGGCAAGCCTCTTCCACATACTTCATCCTGTGCTGGTTCCCGCCTATTACTAGTCCAACATCATTGAAAATATGAACCTACCCATCTCTTAAACAGCTCCTGAAGCACTTCTTCAGAGGCAAGGCTGGTAGGAACCAGTGATACGGCCTGTTTAGGCATGGCACCCCAACTCTGGAAAGCTTCTCCCCAGAGGCTTCTTTGGTCAAAGATGGATTCTTGTTGCCTTTTTTTTTTTTTTAAAGATACCAGGCCTTTTAGATACCAGGTTTGATGCATTCTCATATCATACTGTTTCATTATATGGAAAAATGAATGATATATATCTTAAAACTGGTTTGATATTCATGCTAATATTTTTAGTTGCTCTGGGAGGTCATCTCCTAGAAAGTGCTTCAATATGCATATATTTTTAATAACAGAAAAAAACTGCAAACAAACCAGGCCATGCAATATTTGAGTAGAGTTTGCAACCTATAATAGAATATTACTTCCAAAAAGGAAATTTGTTTTGCAATGAAGGAAATGGGGCAAAACAAGCTATCAAGATGCACCCTCAAAGGGTGTTTACTATGCATGTTGCTCTAACATCCAGACTTTAAAACTGAAAAAAGAAAACCATTGCAAGAAGCAGACTCAAGCCGGTGGTGTTAATTGGTTTCACAGCTTTGTTGTAATTTTAAAGTAATATTGAATACAAGCAACAGCCTGCTTTAGAATAGTCTCCGTTCCAGTTCCTCAGTTAGCAGTTAGTCTAACTGAGCTAGGTTATTCCGCAGAACAGAAACAGCTCTCTTAAGAGTACAATCCTGTGGGATGTCCATAACCTTCTGCTGTTTATAAGCATCCTGTGGAGGGCTCTCATTCTTTAAAGCACTTGAATGTAGTTGCAGCTGTTCAGGGTAGTGTTTCAGAGTAAGAGGAAAGGAGGCTGGGACATCACCAGGATATCTTGGTCGTGTCAGTCTTCTCCTCCCCACACACCTCTCTCTTCTCTTTTTGGCTGCTCTCATAACCTCAGAGAAACAGCTGACACAATTATTTTTATATTGACTGAGTGACGTGGGAGGGTCTGAACAATTTTTCAACCAAAAAATAGGGAATCCAAAAAATCCTAAGACTACCTCAGTGCTGTCTAGTGGCCATAGGAGGGTACTGTTATTTATATTTTATAGCTTTTTCCAACTAAAACATTTTAAAAAAATATGGCGTACTTTTTTCAACTTTACTTTAAAAGCCTGAATATATGAAATACAGAGGATTGGACAGGAATTCTGGAAGCATTTTATTTTAATGAATGTATCTTTTATCACAACAAAAATAGATTTTACTTGTAATAAATTATTTTCACTTTATAAAAATATATTTGGTCATGATACTTTATGGCTAATCACATAACCAAAACCTGAACATTATTGCAGGAGGTAGCCTTTAACAAAGGTTACCATTATATACTAGAGTATTGTTTTAGTACTGTCCACTCAAACAACACTACAGTTTATAAGCCAGTCATCCAAAACAGATTTGAAATCTGTTTCACTAAAATCAATTGCATTTCCTTCTAAGTAAATATATTCAGGACCAAGCCTTTAATCAGTTATATGTATCTGTTCTGTCCTCAGTAGGACTGTTGCGCAAGCACACCAGGTTTTAGATAAAAGTGCAAATGATTCATTATAGTACACAACGGTATTTGCAAGCAATCATAATCCAAACAGCACATGCTGATTCAGGATATGTGAATACTCTGACACGAACTGCAAACCGCACTTGGTCCCCTCTACAGCACACTATTTCTTCACAGAAAGGAGACCTATTTGAGGAAACAGAAACATGAATAACTGCTGCCACACTTGTTATACTTATTTTTAAAATAATGATAGCCACTGCAAAAATGGTCTACCATTAAATTTATTTCCTCATACCATAAGTTTCCTATGCTAATTAATAACTTAGCAAGCTATTAATATGAATGAAGCCATACTGAGCATTTTGTCATACTAATTGACTGACAGCTGACTGATTGCCTAAAAATTAGCAACAGCCCAGGAATGAATTTAAATATAGAACTAGAAACAAAAGCAATAAGGAGTGCATAGCCAACATCCTTCAGTTATACACATAAAAACGAACAATTCTATTCTTCAGATCAGAAGTATTAAATGGAGTCTCAAACATTAATGGAAAGGTAACTGAATGATCAAATTACTTCTTTCATTTCTGCCTGCCCAACTTACTTGCTATGCCAACTTATTTTCTCTTGCAAATCATTAATATCTTTTTTCTGTTTTGCTAATATTCATCTTATCAATCTTTCCTCACAGAATTACATACAAATGTTTGTATCTGATATTTCTGTTGTATGTAATAATACACAATTTTTCAAAAGGTGAGATAGAATAAGTTTTACCGAAGACACGCAGCAAATGCTCTCCTTGCATTTTTGTACACAAAATGGATAGGAAATCCTTTGAATGTATGGCCATCTGGTACTGCTCTCCTGATGGCATCTTGAAACTCTTCATTTCCTGAAGAAATGTTTGTGGTACGTTCAAGTTCATAAGCTGCCAAGGCTGGTGACAAGAGGTAAGATAATTGGTCGTCCCAGACTGTTGCAAGACCAAGGTCCTGTATGTTGAATCACATAAACAGAGAATAGAGGATAATTAGGAACCTCTATTTATCACAAAATTTTCATCTTTAATCAAACTTCCACTACAGCATATCAGAATATCATTGCCTAAAATAACTTGAATAGAGAGGGAATGAGGAAAAAAATCAATGGGAAATTGTTTTTAACCGTATTATTCATTTCTATTATCACTCCATAGCTGGAACTGTCTGGATGGTTTACAACAATTCTTATGCTACACAAATAAGCTTCTACCATTTCAAACCAGCATTACACCTCTGAAATGTCAAAGTCTGCTAAAATCTTCTAACCAAAAGCTAGCTTTTCATATAAGCAGGGCTAGTTTATGTGAAAGACACAGTTACCCACCTTCAATCCAAGGGTTGCTTTACCTCATGGTTTTCCAGTGTACTGCTTGCATCCACTACAAGACAGTAAGTGTCCAACTAGGCACTATAATGAATATTTGACTTACTAAAAAAACTCTTCTTGAAAAAGAAGAGCCAGAATAGATTATCTCTTGCTTTTGAATGTGGTTCCTCAGGAAATAATATGCTTTCCTTTATTATATACAGTGAAGATGGGCAGTCCTATTCAGCAATAATCTAACATAAATTACATTGTGCTACTGTAAGTTATCTCTGACACAATACCAATAGCAGTTGCTACCATGATGGGTCTCTCAGGAAACCCATCATACAGCAAGCACTACTGGTGCTATGCCAAATGTAGCTTATGCTAACACCGAGAGGTTTTTTGTTATTCAAATTCTCATGGTTGAGATTATTTAGAATGATGGGAATACATTTAAGTGCACCGGGAAGTTTCTGATGACTAGAGGGCAATCGAACATAATATTGTGAACATTTTCAGATGTATACTTCATTGATTTGTAGGGAAAAGGTAGTGTTTAGATGTTCCTCCCTGACCCTCATTCTCCAAATTCAGTCTTGTGGCTCTTGAATATTCGACTGAGCATTTTCCATTAACATCAATTAGCTGGAGCTATGGTCATTCATGGGGATCTCTCCCTGTTATATTCCTGTGCAGAGTTGTTGATTAGAATTTATCCTAGTTGTTAGTATTAAACACTAAAGGAATTAACTATGAATCTGATTTACTCTTAGCAACACAAGAAAATTACTTGATAAATTCCATCAAACTGACCTAGTTAATCAACATGCTGTAACATGATAATCTAATATAGTTTGAATCCAACCTACTGTGCATCCAACACTTCTTTTATTCATACAATTTTAAATATTAGAAAGCGTGGATAGAACTTGAAGATTTCAAAGAGGGTAATTCACATAAATACTAGAACTAATATCTTAAAAAGTCTTAGTAGAAAAATTAAAGGCAGACAACAAAGACAGGCATAGTCCGAAAGCCACAAAAAATGCTTAGGATAAATTCAGATAAAATCTTAAATCAAGTTTCATGAAAGTGCCCTATGCTTTCTTCTCCCTTGCAACTGCCCCCCACCCCCGCAAAAAAAAAAAAAAAAAATCTTTTCCAGACATCATTCAACTCTATACAATCACTTTGGGGACAGAAGAAACAAATACACTTGTGGATGACCAAGGCTAGATACATAGCATACAAATTCTGAAAAGAATGAATGGGAACCAAACTTCAAATAAATCTATGCTATGTCTTAATATAAACAGTAAAAGGGACGACTGAAAGCTAAGCAGGAAAAAAGTTGCTTTCAGTACTAGCGGTAACTGAGGTGTAGATAGTGGTTCTGCATTTGCTCTGGGTGCTGTAAGTCCTGACAACACACAGGCCAGCTTTAAACATTCTAGTTAGAATATCCTGGAGATCAAAAGAAGGATGTATGTAGCTTACCACGTCTTTAGAGTAACTTTTTGACAACTTGAAACTCTTTAAATATATAAACAAGTCTCAACTTGCACACAAACATACAGTGCCATGTACCTTCCTGTGTTCCATCACTAATATTCTAAGCTGCAGCTCTAAGTCATTGCTTGCTGCTGCAGCATCTATTGTGGAAGCACAGAGAGGAGGAAAAGGTGGGAGCACTGTTGTGGCCCCTGGAGAACACACAGATTTGATTGCTTCTCCACTCATCGGTTTCCATCTGGATTCATCATGCAAGTCAAAGACACAGACTTCTACTGCATCAGAAGGCTGGCAGTTTGCAAAAAACTTTTGATGATTGAAGACACATCCAATTGTTCGGTAAGGATACAATGGCTTGGGCTGTTCAACAACTGGAGGGTCATCAAGTTTAACAGGATTATGGATATACCTGAAAGTTAACAAACTGTTTTAGGAAATGACTTAACATTTTAGTTTAAATTAAGGCCAAAAAATAAACACCTCCTATATACTTTTTACTCTACACTGACATTGGAATGGCACAAATGCTGCTGACTGCTCAACTATATTTAAGAAGCTGAGGATGAGCCTCAGGAATGCACATTCCCACGCCCTCTGAAAGCATGAATCTCACACACCCAAGCCTACTAGTTAAATGCACATGACCAAGAACAACATTTGAGTTAATTCTCACTATAATGTAATACTGCAACAGGGCAGGATTTAAACATTTTGTCTTCACTGATGTGGTCCTTATGCCACAATACATTTTCATTCCAAAGCAACATATTTGCTGTTTCAAAACAAATTGTTTAACTTTCCCTAAAAATGACAATGGAGCATTGTATTGATTGCAGAAGAGAGTAAAGGTTGAGAGAACGATACAGGTTTTGTATGTGCTACATAGCTTTTATTACTGTAATACTCCTTATTGAGCTATTTGCCAAGTTGACAGTGTCAGAAAAGGAGGTACTTTTATTGGGTGGGTTCACACATAACAACAAACCACAGTGGAAATCACATGGGTGTGACTTTTAGTTATGTCTGAACCAACATCGGGTGAAGCACAATACATTTGGTTGCCATGAAACCACATGGAGAAACAACGGCTTGTTATAGTTTCCATGCTTCACCACAGCTTATTTTGCAGTCTGTACCCGCATGACAATGTTTCCATGCTGTTTCCATGTTTCTGCCATAGAGTTTGGCAGTAAAAGCAGCTGCAGCTGACACTTCTGCCTGCATTTGTTGCTGTCCAACTCTGCCTGGCAAGTGGCAGCAGCATGATTAGCTGCTCTGCTCTCCTTTTCATCCCTATAAGCGGCCAGCCACGGTGATAAGATTTCTCCAGCAACAGGGCACTGTGCCACCTCCAGCAGCAGCGGCCATGGGGGCTGGCCATACCTAGCACTCCTCTCTGGTCACTGTACTGCAGCAGTGCATTTGCACAAGACAGAGAAGCCCTGGTTTCCTCCCAGGAAAGCTGCTCTCCTTGCAAAGAGCACATCGACAAGACATAGCCAACAGGGAGTTTTCCAAAGAGCCCATGTCTCCTGCTCTGTCGTCTCCTCTGCTTCCCTCTTGTCCCCAGCAATCCTTGGGATGCTCAGCCAGTTCTACTGTTCCCTACCCTCCTCCACAGCTGATGGGATATGTGTCACCATTTGGAAGGAAGACGGAAAAGCATGGAAAGCAGACATGCATAGAAATCAATGCCCATCTGAACCCTGTAAACAAGGTAAGAATGTCGTGTGGCTACTATGTGGTATAGTTTAGCATTATGTATGAAAACATCCACTCTCTTTTCTGCAACACTCCCTCATCATATTCTGAAGAAGGAATGGATTAACAGTCTTGCAATTGTGACATAATTGCCCATGACTGCTGCTGTCAATGTACAAATGGTAGAGATCTGACTACTGGGAACACCTGTGATGAGTTGGACTAGTAACCTTGGGAAAATAAACTGTAATTGGTTTCTGTAAATCCTTTGAGTGTTGTTAGGATGTTGCCAAGCACTTGCTCACCGAGTACAAAATATTGACAAGGTTGCACCATACTTGCCATTTTAGTGGAATCCTTCATTCAGACTGACAGTCACATCTTATACCACATATGTGGCCCTTTAGATATTGGTGGATGGCAACTCTCTGACCATTGGCTATACTGGATGCAGCTGATGAGGGTTGCAGTCCAACAACATCTGAAAGGTTACAGGTTTCTCACTTATTTAGGCAACCATAACTCCTGAAATTAATATTTAAAGATAAATCATGCTAAATAAAGCAAAAATACATAATTGTATATTCTTTAATTAGAAATTAAGAAGGGTTAATAGTATTTTGGTATGTAATGTGAATTCACACTATGAGTCTGCTTTGAATTTGCTAAATTTTATTGTAAAATCTGTTTACTTACCTATGCCCTGTTAAACTCTCCCAGAAAGTGATTATTCCATCAATTCCACAAGTCATTACCCATGTGTGAGGAACACCTTTAGCTTTTGTTCCTACACACACAAAAGCGTCCAGCCCAAATCCCAGTAGAAGACTGCACAAAAGATTAGCATGATCTTCACAGTCACCCTGAACAGGGGATACATTAAATATATAACATAAATTCAGACAGCAAAAAGTAAGGTATCTCATTTAAAATTCATGGCATCTAATAAAATTTAGTCAGTAATGGCAACAACCCCCAATTCATAGATTTTTAAAAAAAGCACAAGGACTAGATGCTTTAAGTTCATAACCCAAATCTTACCAAATAATATAAACATTATTGAATATATAGTTGGAATGTGCTATTTGAGAATTCTGGAGATCTGTAATTGTAGGAGTTATCTCTTAGAAGGCAAACGGATCACAGCTTTATACACTAGGACTTCTGTAGACCACTGTATACTAGAACTTATTCCTGTTCTTACCTTTTACTATTAGAGAATGCTTGTGTTAATTAGAATCTACTTGAGCAACACTTTGAAAAGTACAATCTATAGTTTAAACAAGCTGCATAAAAGACTTTCAAACAGTGGTCGTTGGATCAATTGCCCTTTATACGTGTTGAAATGCATGATTTCTGGATAGAAGCCAATTCTTTTAAAATCACTTTAAACCAATCTGAATGCCAGTTAACATATTCTTCTAAGTAATAACATGTCTTAGTAAGCTAATACCTTGTTTCGACACAGAAATGCTAAAAGGGTACACCACTGTTCTTGTTTACTGTTTCCTCCACCAATGACAGGGGCTCTTTCATAACCAAGCACACTGACAAATCTTGCAGCTTGCCTGGGTGTGTCCAGAAGCCGGCCTGCACGAAGTGGCCTTACATATGAGCAAACTGGTCTGTTTATTCCATTTTCATCCTGAATATGAAATACATATGCAGACTAAGTTAAACAAACTAACAGAAAGCAACATTTTTTAAATTCTGTTGTTGCAGCAGTTATCTGTATCAGAAGCGGGTTTCTCTACCATAGCTCCTCTGGAATCTTTTAAAATTCATGCTAGCACTGAAAAAGCAAGAAACTTCATGATGTGCAAATCTACAACAGTTTGAACAATATCAGTTTTTATACTCACAGTCGTATTCCATAGGACTTTAAAGCTAAATGCCAAAAACTGTCCTTTCAGAAGGCAGTGACAATAGATTACAGTGCCCTACTTAGCTCCATATCACTGTAACTGCTAAGAAAAATAGCAAGGAATGTTTTGTTTGTCTTAAAAGATCTAAAGGCAAGAGCTGTCACCTTGTTCAAAGCCCTGCTCATGCCCAATTATTTTTCACTGAAATATCACACATTCTAGCTTTATTTTTTGTGTATCAAAATTAACTTTATTGTCAAAGTTGAAGAATTCAAAAAAAAAAATTATCTGAATAGACTTGAATACATCAGTTTCAATACAAATGCATGCATATGCTGTATGTGCATATAATATATATGAAAAAGCTAAGAATTGTATAAGATTTTATAAAAGCACTTCCAAAGAAGTATTAATTTGCAAATGCCATCTATAAACATCCTGCTTAAATGCTGAAGGTGTTGTAAGGTGTTCAATCTTTTTATAAGCAGTAAGCATTTATACAATATTGTAATATCAATATTGTAATATCATCTTATAGCTGTCCAAAAGGGCTTGGGCAATCCATTTATACTGACCCTGTGTTAATTTCAAAGAAGCAGGAAGGTAATTTATGAGGACATGTGTATCAGTAAATATTAATGAGTATTCCAATACAAAATTTATTCATACTATAACCTCACAAAGGAGAAACTATTGGGCATTGCCAAAATGAAATTAAAAGAGCCCCTAGCTGTTTAACAGCTCCAGAAATTAGCCAACTTAGGCAAATCTTTATTAAACTGATGATGCTGCATCCAAGAGACATGGACCAAACGTTTTTGCTGAATAAGGTTTCTTTCTTTCTTTATTAGATATGTTTGAAGACCATCCATTAGCATCACACTCTCTAAGATATAATCTGAGATCCATAGATACTTTAGATATGTGGAGTCATTATAACGTAACAGGCTCAATAAGTGCTTTCAATAAGGAAGGAGACTCTCAAGTTGTAAAAGCAGCAGGGCCAAATCTAGATTTTAACAAATGCCGCAATGCATGCATTGCCATTCAACTATAGCAGACAAGTTGTATTTGGCACAACTTGTCAAAAACTTATAATTGGCACCCACTAGATGATTCAAGGTTAAAAAAAAACAACTTGTAACAAAAATGTTATCGTACCATTTATAAATCTGGATTTCCCCAGATTTAGGATCTGGGAAATAGATCAAACTGTAAGTGACACTGTATTCCACAGATGCCTAAAATCCATAGCTGTGGGAGGAGCTCTTATTCGTTTTTATGTGCCAAGAACCTACTACCATCAATTTAGAACCAGGATCAAGACAAGAAGATTTCAAAACAGGCAAAGGTGGAAAATCAGATCTATTGTGGGGCAGAAGGAGGGCACAATTCAGTACAGGTCAACAAATAGGCCTGATAATATAAAGCAAGTCAAACTACCTTCTTTACTTAGAAGTTATATCCTTTTTAAGGATTTTATGGTAGGACAGAACTCAAAAACGACAAAATGAAACATTGTATTTTTGAAAATATTTGAAAAAGAACTCCCCTATGTAACATAAACAATCCAAAGTAAGGTATTCAGTTTACAACTGTTCACTTTTAGCCTATTTGAAATATGTCACTGGGAATAACTATTCCCAAATAACAGAGTAATCCTGTGGCCCCTAATCTTCATCATCATCATCAGGGGACACAGGATACTTCAAATACCCAGATCTGCAGAAAGAAACAGATCTGAGACCTGAGAATCTTCACTCTGGATCACCCGCCCCCCGGCCCGGCCTTCCTGCTTTTGTAGTTGGAACAGGAAGAACTACACTAATTGCTTCTCTGAGGTTGGGAACTTGACCTAGGAAAGGGGCTAAAAAGAGAGTTCAGTAGGCAAAAATAGGAGGAGACTGCAAAAGCCAGGTTGTGATGCATTCTTTGTCTTCCTTCCCTCCCACTCCAAAGTTACTTAGCTAACCAGCTGGAAACAGCCTTTAGCAAAAATGCAGAATGGGAGGAGTAGGAAGCAAAGATTGCCTCCACTCCTCCTCCCATTCTACATAGGATGCCCATATGCTTCTCACTTCAGAGGCTCTCAGACATCTCAACTGGATCGCATCCTAATAACATCTTGGCACTACTGGAATTCCCAGTTGGCTACACTATGTGATACAGTATTCCCAGTAAGCATCAATTCAGATTTTGATTAATTTAATAACCAGATAAATTGTCCAAAATATTAATCCATTGCATCAGAGCTGAATTATATACCTGGAATTTCAGGTTAAATAATAAAAGACCATCAGCATAAAGATTAATTTTAAATTCTAAACTATAATACACAAAGAGCACTGTATTAGCACAACCCAGTGATTCCAAACAAAGAATCACTGCCTGTTTTAGAGGAGGAGTGGTGCCTTCTGCTTTTAAAAACAGTGGTTATTGCACCATTCCTTAAGAAAGCTATCCTGGACCCAGCCAATGTGAATAACGTCTGACCAATTGCCAACATTCCTTTTATGGGCAAGGTGATCAAGCAGGTTGTGGCCGGGCAGCTCAAGGTTCTGCTGGAGAAAACCGATTATCTAGACCCATTTCATTTGGGCTTTAGGCCTGGTTTCGGAATAGAAGCTGCCTTGGGTGCCCTGTGGGATGACCTTAGCCAAGTGAGAGACAGGAAGAGCACAACCCTGTTGATTCTCCTGGACCTCTCAGTGGCTTTCAATACCATCAACCATAGTATCCTTCTGGAGAGGTTGGCCAGGTTGGGAGTTGGGGGCACGCTTTGTTGTGGTTCTACTCCTACCTGGCTGTCTCCAGACTAATCCTCTGTGCAATGGCCTTTGCTGTGTATTTCTGCGGGGCTCTATTTTATCCCCCATGCTTTTTACCATCTACATGAAACTGCTGGGGGAAATCATCCAGAGGTTTGGGCTGAAGTACACTGATGACATTCAGCTCTACCTCTGGTTTTCATCATCTCCAGGTAAATCAGTGACAGTTCTGAACCAATATCTGAGCTCAGAAATGGGCTGGATGTTGGCCAATAAGCTGAAGCTCAATCTAGGTAAGACAGAGGTACTGTTGGTGGGGAATCCATCTGTTCAACTGGGGAATTTTTGATCTATTCTGGACAGGGTTGTGCTCTCCCAAAGGATATGGTTTGCAACCTTGGAATATTCCTGGATCCCAAATTGTCACTTGTAGCCCAGGTGGACTTGGTTTCCAGGAGTGTTTTTCATCAGGTCTGGCTGATTCATCAGTAGCCCCCTACTTGGACAAATGAAGCCTTGCCACAGTTATCCATGTTCCAGTAACCTCCTGCTTGGATTACTGTAATGTGCTCTACATGGGGCTGCCTCTGAAAACGGTCTGGATCTTGCAACTTGTCCAAAATTGGACAGCACTCCTGCTGACTAGAGCCAGCACATGCGAGCCTATCATGCAAGTTACATTGGTTGCCAGTTGCCATTCAGGCCCAATTCAAAATGCTCACAATAACATATAAAGCCCTAAACTGTTTGGGGCCAGGTTATCTGAGGGAGTGGTTTGATTTGTGTTCTATTCTTGGGGGTTAAAAATTTAGTATTTATTAATTCTATTTTTCCAATTTTGTTTTTATCTAACTTTGTTAATTTATTCACAGATTTTATTTTTATTATTATTGGTCTTTCTAGTTGAACCTTATATTGTGCTTGTATTATTTTATGTTGTTGGATTTTAATATGTTGTAAGCCACGCAGAGAGCTTATGGCTAGTGGGGCAGCATATAAATTGAATAAATAAATCCTTCCCTTTAATAGCTGAAATACATTTCAATATTTTTGCTGTTTAAGACAATGTCCTAGAATCTTACTGGAACATTTACAATCTGCTTGTCATAAACAAATGGAGACAGCAATCCTATGACCACTTGACAGAGTCTAGTAGGTCATAGATAATTTCAGGTTCCCAGAGCTAAGGTCAGAACAGAGCTCCCACCTCAGATAGGAGAATCCGTGCCTAGTCTCCTCCACAGCCAGCATGGGAAGAACCATATGGGCTGCCCCCTGAGATTGTGAAATGACCCTGAGAGGAAGAGTAAAAGGAGCATTCCAGGGAGGGGAGAAAACTGGGACACCAAGATAATGTAGTTATCTTGATAGTGCACCAGCCTCTTTGCTTCTTCCTCTGAAGTGCTTCAGCTAGACAGCCAAAATCAACCATCTAGCTGAAATGCTGAGTGAGAGGTGGACATCTTCCTACTTTGCACTGAAAACTTGTAAATCTCTGTGTTCAAGGGTTTATGAGCATTGAGGGAATGCTAATTCCACATGCTCTGGAAGAGTATTATTCAACTCATGTTTAATGTTCTTCAACTCCAGATAAAGTTGTACAGTTGGGAAAATGGCAAAGTGGGTCATAAGATGTATTATGTAAACTGTAAATATTTTAATCAATATATCTATTCAGAAATTTGTTGCATTTTAAAAAATATTATGGGATAGAGCCTTGTATAAAAGCTTTACTGGCCTCCCACTCAGTGATGCAAGAGTCACTAGTACCCTCATTAATTTTAAAATGTTCAAATAACTTAGCAGAACTCTGATTTTTTAAAAACTTCATCATCATGAAGAGAAACAGTAAAGAGGGATGGGCATGGCAAATCTAAAAACTGCAATTTCAAGCAGACTGGGTCATGGTTTGAGACTATATTTCTATATTTGATGTAGCACAAATATAGAAACCAAGCAATCTATTCAAAAGCAGTTATGATTGGGAAGTGAAAAATTGGGCATGATAAAAAACATTCTCAAGAATCATTCGACATCTGAAGGGTAAACCTCACTACTGTCAGCCTCTTGGAAGCAGGCATACTGTCCAGCAAGACATTTAAAATGTCATTAGGAGATCTGCATTCTAGTCCCCCCTCAGCAATGAAGCCCACTATGTGACTTGGGGCCAGTCACTGACTCTCTGCCTAGCCTACTTCACAGGGATGGTTATAAGCACAGAGAAAACAGAGAGAAGGAGAATTATGTAACACAACTTTAGGTTTCTTGCAGGGAAAATGACAGTATGCAACTGTAGAAAGTAAATAAATAAAAATAAAACTATCTGGAAAAATCAGTATTGGACCAATACATATTAATTATTTTATCATTATTTATCAATATATTTTCCAATCTGAATTAAGTAGTGACAAGCAGGATCAATCATCCACTGAAGTGAAAATATAGTCACACATGGATTAAAATAGTAATCCCTTTAAACAGTGCTGAATTATCTGCTTTATAAACCTTCCCAACCCAATCTTTTCTCAACAAATGTTCATCTGCAACTATCAGATCAGCTTGTAAAAAGGCTACATCAGCATTAAGATTATTTAACTTAAAGATAACTCATTACTGCTTAAATTACCAATCTTTGGTATTTCATATAGTCCTATTAAACATGGAAAAATAAATGTATAGCCTGCCCCTCTACAAATATGTTACTTTAATATTTAAAATCAAAACATTCTAATATTTTATATTATATAACATATAAATCATAGATATAATACATTTTTAGTTCCCAAATTTTTAAGAAAACAAACTAGTTTTCATTACACTACAACTTACAGAACCCCTGGATATAGAAGACTCAAAACACAAATAAAAATCAAATATTCCACATAGTACCAACATTTCCCACCAAGAACCTCTAAAATACTGAACTCATTCACAATAACTACTGTTATTAACATTCCCTTACCCCAGAATCAGGTCTTCCCTTCCAAAGTATATTTTCTATTTTACCAAATTCTATTATACAAAAGGAACCATATTATTTCTATTTCTACTGTGCATTATTCTCAGCATTCTCAAATTCTCTTTGAGGTCATGATTTGAGGACTTAGCCAGTTCAAAATGTGCATATTGAGATCATGGTCAGTTTCTATAAATTAACAGGAAACAGGGAAAAAGTGTTGAAAAGAGTTAGGGTAGAACTAAAACCAAACAGCCTGACAAGACACAGATCTAAACATTTTAATCCCCTTCAATGAATATAATATGGAGTTGTACAGAAAACCAGTATATTTGTGCTTGTTGCTTCTTACTCACAAATTCTATCTATGGTAACATTTTAAAAATGGAATTTACAAACCTGTGCAAAAATTTTCACCAGTCTTGTGTTGTGAGAAGTCCGGATTTGCAGATATTCTCTCCACCACTGCTTAGCATACACAAGAAATAAACGTTCTTTTTCTGCTGTTTTCTGGTGTTCTAAAGTAAACTGCATTTTTAAAAAGCAACAAATGAGCATGTGTGGTGCTATATTTGTCATACTTTTTAGCTGATTGTCCATCAAACTGTATTTGCTAAGCTAAACTTGGTTAAACACAAAAATTCTGCTACGCCAAAGTCTTAATATTCAATGTTGCAGGTTTTATTGCATTTCTGATTCAACTTTCATCTACTGAGGCTAAGCTGTACCTGCATCATACAGAAAAAGCTTCCTTTATTACTAAGACACAACTGTGCCTGAATAAAGTTGTGCCACAAGAATGCTCACATCATGACACACAAACTTGATGTGCCACAACTAAAATAAGAATAGAGAACAGAGAGCATTGTACCATGTCAATCTGGCATTGCTAATAGTATGTTACTTCAGGTCACTAAGCACGTTCAGATGAGTGAATAGTGCGTGTTGTTCACTGTCATCTTTCTGAATCCGTGGCCTGCAACTTCCTAACAAGTTGCACTTGTGATTCCAGAAGCTTAGAGGAATTTGAAAAGGGCCCTGCTAGAACAGATCAAGGCCTATCTAGTCTGGTTCCAGGCATGCTTCAGTGTACCTAGAAAGCGCTCTTTAGATCCTGGTTCTTATTTTCCAGTACAGACCGTGCACAGAATTTGTTGTTCCATTGGCTTTGACTAAAATTTGTGTGCCCTGGAATTCTTTTTTTCCTCTTAACAAAATATCCAGCTATGTACAAGCCAAATCCTTGCACAGAAGCAACAACCTGCAGCAATCTCCCGGGACATTTTTTTTTTTTTTACAAAATCAAGACAAATTGATTTCAAGAACTCTGAACATAAGCTATGTGACTTATGTTGTAACCATCAAGAGCACTAGAAGAGAGAAAATGATAATGGAGGTTAACACTGTCCCAAGGCAGGTTGCAACACACATCCAGATCATAGTTCACTGTGTACATTATATGACTACTCTTCACATGATTACTGAGAACCATGGCAGCAGCTTTCTCCAACAAAGAGATCGATCCTCTCCTTGTAGATCTTGACTAACATGTCAGTAAAAACTCTACTACTCACTAAACATATGAGCAGCTCTTCCTACATAGCAACACCAGGGTGCCAAAAAGAACAGAAACAAAGTAGACTTGAAGAAATAATCTCAGGTTATTCAAGCAAATAAGGGATGCTACAGTAGTAATATACATACTCACTGTTTTAATGCACTGTTTTATTATTGTTTTAATGAAGTTTATTGCTCTACAACATTCCGTCCCGACCTGTAAATGTTTTGCCCCAGATTTCCATCAGCCCTAGCCAGCAATGTTAAGTTGTATCCTGACTCAGCTGCAAGGGGCCAAGGTATCAGCTGCTCTAGACTTTGCTGATACAATAACTTTTAGGCACCAAGTAATTTCAGCAATTTCCTACAGTAAGTAGACTCAAGTGTGGACAAGAGTGCCCTCTTGTGTCTTGATTGTCAGAATAAGTACAAGTGGAACAATTAAAAATCAATTGCTTCCCACAAAACGATACACATTATCCCAGATGTATTCCTTCAGAATGGAGTGCATTAACTAACAACAGCGGCTTAGTGTTGTTCCTTCCCATCTAAATGATGTTATTAGCCAAGACTAAAAACAGTATTAATGGGGGACAAAATGAGATGAACGGTACGATAATACAGATGAAAACCGGCATACTTTTTTGTGAAAGAGGTGAAGAAATATTGATGGACAGTATAAGGTCAATCACAATGCAGTAACACCAACTCTCACAGGAGGAGGCATTTTAGGAAGAAAAAATGTGAATTAATCTCTATTCCAAGAATGCATGAAGTTTGATCTGATCATTCCCCAAACCAAACATGTCCATGCATGAACCACAGAAATACCTTATTACAGGTTTCATATTCCATGTAACATGTCATCAGTCTTGAATAATTTGGGCAAATGGTGGTATTTCATGTCCTACTGTTTAGAGTGATATTCAGTCTAAACTGTAATACTACTAATGATATTTAACATAACACATAAAGTACATATGGAAATTAGGACTTACTTGTGTATTAACTATATCCTGAGAAAGTGGCTTATTTAGTTTTGGGTACATTTCAAGTTTGATGTTAAGTACTCCAACAGAAACCTTTGATTCAGTACCTTTGGACCAAAATATAGGGCTTGATAAGAAAATAAGTAGATATTTCAATAGATCAGGTATTCGACAAACCCACAGAAGATTATGTCTATATATTACTTATATATAACCAAGTTTAGGAGACAAAGGATATTCTCCAGTGCTGGCCATAAGCCAGTGAAATAGAAATAGTAAAATGGATTTGCCCTCTCCCCTACAAGGCCCTGTGCCCCCATCTGTTTCAGAGGTAGGGGAATCCTCTGGAGTAGATATGGAGCATATGTCAGTAGGATAACAGCAAGAGGAACTCATGTTGCCCAAGTGAAAGTCTGATTGGGTAACACTTGATTTAATCCATATAATCTTCCTTTATAGCCTGTAACCCACTTTATCAAGCAACAGTTTAAACTGTATTGGGTCAATATGTGAACTACTAGAAATTAATGAAAGGGGGTGGGGAGGGAGACAGAAAGAGATACTCCACAAGTCAAGAGTGAAGGTTCCTTTATTATGAAGACTGTAGATTTGAAAGAAAGAACAAGGGAGAATTTTAAAAATTATTCTCGGGTGTAATTCTGTTCCCATTTGCATGAGCAAAGTTTATAAACAAAATGCTTTGGGAATCTACTTCCATAAAGGAAATGTTCATGTTTATGGTTTCCATCTCTTTTTTGAACCATCATCTTTTTTTCTTCTATTAAAAATAGTTTTTAAACTTACCTACACCCAGAAGTTCAACAGCAACATTTGTTATCCTGTTCTCTGCACTAAGGACAGACCGCCACTCTAAAAAATAGGATGCTACTAATGTGATCTCACCAGATGTATCTGTTTTGATCAACACAATATGTACAGGATCACATATTGATAACATAGTAGTTGCATCCACCATTTTACTTCCGTCACCTGATGATACATCAAAAATGAGAAAGAAATTCCAGTTAAAAACATTTTGGAAGCATATTGTCATTACACATATGTAGAGATTGTATTATAGATCCTAAAGAGTGTTCACAGTTGCTTATTATGAAAAAGGGAATTACCATGACACATTGAAACAACAATGCCAACTGATCAGAACTAGCAAATGTTCAGAAAAAGCACCTTTGTAGAGTAGTAATTTGGAACAGAAACAACAGAGCAGAAGGGTCAGTCACTGCATTCATTCTTGTCTTTCCTGCACTCAGAATCACTACTTCCAAAGGTTGTGCTTCATGGGGGGGAAAAGGGGGTGCTTTGCTACAGACATTTCCTTGTGGATAGCAACTGCAATGAGATTCAGGATGCTGCAGCAGCATCTGTTAGTAGGCTGCAAGGTCTTAGAACAAGCTGAGAAGCCAGATATCTTTGGATGGTTCTCCATAAAGTTTCTAGCAGCACATCCTGCATGTGTGAATTTCAGATTATGGTCTTTCAGATAATTGAACTACTGAATGAACTCCTGTTCAGCTATAAATATTTACTTTGGACAGCATTTTTCAAACATAGTGAAAATAAGTCCACTTGAAAAACTTGCTGCAAAATCCTATACATGACTACTTAGAATTAAGTCTTATTGAGTTGTGTGGCTTGCTTCAAAGTGAGTATCAGGTTGCAGTTTCAAGATGCCAGACAAAGCTTTTAAAGCACCATTACCATGTCTCATTCACAAAACATTAAAGGAGATTCTGACAACCTTTTCTTTAATATGAATTCTTCCTGTACTTTCTCACTATTTCAATTTTTTTCTTTTCCTTCAGAAAACCCATTAAGACAAAAAAGATGGAATCAATGCACAAAGAACTCCAACTAATAGTGGTAGAAGCCTTGCATACAGAAGTATCCTCATTCTTTCTGAGCCTTTCACTCAGCTGTTGCTTCTGCAGCCGAGCACAAAGGATCCATACAGATTTCTGCATATATACAGCCACCTGCTAAATGTTTAAGTATCTGCAGATTCGGCATCAGAGTTAGGCGACAGCTAAAACATGGGTGCAGAAAATATTGTTTTTAATCCATTTTAAAGATAAAAGAGCTATAAACAAAGATGAAGTCTATAAAATACTAGACTTAGCATTATAAGGTGAGGGTATAGAATCCATGTGTTTCCATCACAGTAAGAGGAAAAAAAAGAGACTCTCAGATCTGTCAGGTGTCTTGTCATGTTGCAAGCCTCAGGAAGTTTTGAACTCCCGCACACAAAATTTTGGCATCATTTCCCTCTAAGCCAAGTGTTGCACATTTGTGAAGTAACTGACAACAAAGGAAAACTGGTGAATTGTGACAGCAGGTGGAGCTTGCATAGTAATGAGAATCCACTACATTGCAGTTTTGGCAGACATACTATCAAAAGTACAAAACAACTGTGTTTTGAACATTCCTAAATACCAATTTGATACTCGCTTTTACCATTAACATTCTTACCTAAGGTATCTATATACTTACCTAAAGTATCTTTATATACTTCAAGTAGAAAGCCATCACTGAAATCTGGTTCACAAGCACAGGGAACAGGTTTAGAGCGGAAACGTTGGTTTCGAAAATATAAGCAGAGTGTAAAGGTAGAACAAATTTGACCAGGTAAAGCCTCTGGTTCCTGCAGATGTTCCAGAAAAGCTTTTCCACCCAAAACCTGAAGGTAAAGATACCTTCGTGTTGGATTTATATTTGCTGCAAAGTGTAGCAATAAATAGGAAAGAGTTACAAAGAGTCTGAAGCAAATTAATTTAGGGCAAAGCCTAGCTGCTAGATGCTGTCTGGGTGGCCATAGGAGGAGTAGGAATATCAGCTCTGACCTCAGAAATATACTCTAATGGTGAATGTCCCTCCACTCTTGCAGCTGACACAATTCTTTCCACACTGGTTGTAAGATTATGGGGAGGCATTGTACCAGGGAGGGGAAGACTGAGGATCCCCCAGTATATGATGACTTTTGGCAATACCTCTCCTTGTGAGCAGGCACAAAAGATTTAGCCAAATTTGATGGTTTGAGTCTTTTGCAGAAGTATGAAAGTAGCCTTCACCTCTGGGCTCTTTCTGCCCTCAACAGCATGCCCATATCCCTCTGAGTTTGCAGGTTTACAGGTATCCATCCTGCTAGTAACTAGTCTCATATGGAGAAAAGAATTCCATTTCAAAATATTTTGAAAGGACTGATTCATGATTGTGCTTTAAAATGTTTACCTCATGTTCATTGCAAACATGTATAAGTCTTTTCCTATTAAATCCTTGCAACACACAATATGTTTACATGTGATAAGAGTTATTTATTGCAAATGAATTATAAGATCATCAGTTGGAACCAACTTCACTAAGGATACACATCACATCTGTACGCCACATCATTGTTCACAGAAGAACACCCAAGAGAGAAAAGTAGGATGAGGACACCTCACAGAACAAATGTTATATTAATCCCACAGAATTTATTACTTAATTTCCAAACATTTATAAAAGAGCTCAAAGCAACAAGTTGAATACTAAAGATAATATACAACATACTTTTTTTCAACACTGCCGGATGTCTGTCAACAAAATGTGATGAGGGCTTTGGAGTTGAAGTCATTTCTCTGTCATTCATATCCTAGGATTACATTAAGGTATAATTAAAAGAAATTAATCTAATCAGAATCTCTTTAAATTATTCTGTGTGCATGCATGCAGTGAAGTGGTGTGGGTTGTACCCAAGAAAACACATTCTATCCTGCCCACATGACACAAGCCCTAAGACACAACAGGATGAGTAGATTGCAAAGAAAAATATGGCCATTTAGGTAATACTTATCTATAACAAATACAGTATATAGCTTAAACATACAAACTTGTAGTATTTATTTATTGTCACATCACTCAATAGCCAAGGGTTATCTCAAAATGCAGAGTACTCCCTTGGGTAGTGCAATATGCATACATATAGCATGCCATAACCAGAGCATAAAGTGTGCTCATCCTGAGACCAGAAAGATATGCCTGCCTTCGGCATGACTGGTCAACTGGGGGTTATATACTGGCAATGCAGCACTGTGGTTGGTTGCTGGAATATGCTGCACCAATAACTCCATCATTCCCAGGTGGGCCTAGCAGACGGGAGTGGTTATTTGGAAGCTGGTTTTTTCCCTCCCATTGAACTCAATGGTAGAGAATTTAGAGAAAGCCTTGGCCAGATATAACTTTAGTGCTCAATGAGTGTGTGTTTTTGGAACTGAGTTTCGTTGCCATGCAAGTTTCCATCTTTTTTGGACTGTCTGTTGGCACCCCAGCTATGGAGGAAGTCTTACAGGTGGTGACCAGGAGAGGGTGCATTCCATCAAGGGTAGAACAATCCTGCCTCATCCTTATCTTCTCCAGTCAGTACCTCTTCAAGTTAGGATGTCACTGTTATTCATTTTAGTACAGAAATCTAACACAAGGTACATCTTTTTAAATAATTTTGCATCACAGTAATATGAATAAAAATGCCTTTGTATACTTACACTAGTCAGTAAGTATTTCGCATCATTTCAGATCACTATTTCTTGAAATTATACTCACAGGTACAAAGTTAAGTTCCTTAATAACATCATCAATGATTCCTCGACGCATCAGGGCTTTCATTAGATCTTCTTCAGATAATTGCTTATGTTGAGGTTCCAGTTCTTCACGTATAGTCTCAGAAAGAACTTCTCGGATCCTACTGTGGACATCCATCTATATAGAAATGTTTTTGTTAAAGTGTGAGATACTTGTATGTCTTGAATGATCTCTTCCAACCTTGAATTAGATTCCAAATAAGAGAAACATTTTTAATACCCTTATGAACATACCCTCAGTAAAAGCATAACATGCCTTAAATGGAAAATGTACCTGAATCAGTAATGAACTATCTTTATAACATTTGGGCTTCAGTCCTACACATACTGACTTGCTGGAAATACATTTCATTGCAATCAGCTGGCATTACTTCCAAATGACATCACACAAGACTATACTGCCAATAATATATTATTATTATTATTAGAACATTTCTATGCTGCCCCTTGCCGAAGCCTCGGGGCGGCTTACAAACACAATAAAATACAATAAAATACAAAAATAACAATAAAAATTAAAATTAACAATATAAAATAAATAAAAAATATAAAAGAAGTCGCCCTTCTTTTATAGGATCCCAGTCATCACTTCAAACACTTTAAGCAGGGGTGAGCAATTTGGTGCTGCTGAAGGCTGCACTCCCCCATGTGAGCAAGTGGTTGGGAACACACACTGTCAAAGCTAAGAATGTATAGACCCAGAGCAAAGCATACATTTTTCTGCCTTCTCTCTCTCTCTCTCTCTCTCTCTCTCTCTCTCTCTCTCACTCACTCACTCATTCATTCTTCCCCATGCATAATTCTCTCCTATACTCAACCCTACTCCTTGTATTCACACTGCCTCCCCAACCCATGATCTTGAAACCTCCAAGAAGCAATCTTGTCTGAATTAGGATTTCTGAAGGTTAAAGCCTCTTGGTCCCTGTACTGGTAATAGCAGCATGGACAGTGATTCTTTCTCTGCCACATAGCTAAAGACTAATGAGGGAAGTAGGCAGAACTCTCATGGGCTGCTCAGCTGAACTCTTAAACAACAATTTTGAAGTTATAGCTTCCAGCTCAGTAAAAGTGAGATGCTTTAAACACACTATTCACAATAGTACACCTACAATACAGCAGAAATCAGCAAGACATAAATGTATCTGTTTGCAATTAGAAATAGATGTTTACCACTATAGTTTCTAAATGACCTACAATTATAGTAGTGTTCCAATCAAGTACCTGTCTAGCTTCTTTTGCCTTGATAGTTTGATTTTCAAGTATGAAAAGTAAAAAATCAATACAAACACACACAGTACTTGATTCTAGAAATAAACATAAAATCACAACTGAATGGCAAAAATACTTTTTATAGGATGCCTGAAATATTATTTGCAAAACGCTTGACAAGAGCATCAGTTACAGAATTGTTTCTTATGCTTCCTTAGAAACGTTCCTTAAATGTTGAAGATGTTTCTTAAATCTCTTCCAATGGGACTTGCTTTTAGTTCATTTAATAAGTTTCAGCCTCCTGGGAAAAAAGTATGCTTAAGACTAAGAGGGTACCTTCCAGACAGAAACAGTTCCTCAAAATATTATCCTTTTAAGGAGGCTGTTCTTTGTTACAGTCAACAGTTAAACAACCTAGAAGAAAATCATTTCCAGTTTATCTAACCGTTGTTTCAGTCAAGAAATCAAGTCTATGTTTAGGCATGTCTCACTAAACAAAGTCTTTTCACCATTAAAAAACAGGCAAAAGAAAATAATTACCGCTACGTGCCTCAGGTTTGCAGCACCAGCACTACTCTCCAGAACTTAACTACCGATCCCTTCGTTCCATTAAAGGCCACAAATAACACAGAGAAACACTGATACAGGGCTTCTGTGTTATATAGGATCTGGCTTTATATCACGAACAGCCCTCACCTTGCTTAACTGCTGGCGAATGATATGCTTCAGTTCCGAGGCTTTCTCCGGAGACAAAGCCATGCTCGCCAGAGGCAGCAGCAGCTACTACTCTGCGTAGGGAGCGCGGGAAGCAGCGGGGCGCTCAGACGGCGCGGAGCCCCTTGAGAAGCGAGCGACTGCACCATGGGAGGCCGGGAGGACGATCCCGACGGGAGCCTCCCGCTTCTTCGCCCGCCTATACCCTGCTTCGCCCCTTGCAGAACACCCATTGGCTCCGTCTTGAGCCAACCAGCAACTGCCTCCCCACCCACTTCCTCGCGGCGGCCTCCACTCGCGAAAGCCTTGAAAACGGCAAAGGCTGCCTAAGCAGTCGCCTGATGGGAGATAACGGTGTCACTCCCTCACGCCTAATCCCACTGCACTCCACCAAATAGCCCAACCTACATCCTTCCCGCGCGTTCTCCCATTAGCTGCTTTTTTAGTGGTGCCGTTTTCTGCCAAGGAAAATTGGGACAGGCATTGCCAAGGCCCTGCTCGTGCCATTGCGAGAGAAAGGACCCCCCCCCCCCCCGGGCCGGTTTTTCTTCGAGTTACGCGAGTGGGGCTGATTAGTGGGACTGTTGTTTCTTCTTGCTACCCTGACGGCCAGGATGTTCGTTGCTTGTGATGGCTGCACGCGACCTGACTTCCGAGGCTTCGCGCTTCTCATGGTAACAAGTGCGCCTTTTCCGCGCGCACTGCCCGGGCAGCCCGCGAGCGGCGAGCAGTGCGCTGCTTTTTCTGAGCTCTTGCCTGCCTGCCAGTCGCCAAAGGTGGAGCCCGTGGGAGGGAGCTCTGCATCCTAACCTCGTGCAATGGCAGGGGGGCAAGGTGTGGGAGGTGCAGAAGAGCCCGAGGAACGATCCACGGGCAGCTCCTGAACACGAAACTGTGACGCTGTTGGCAGCAGGAGGTTATGGCCAGTCTGAGCCCTATTTGGAGTAAATCCATTGAGATGAATGGGATTTAAATTAGATTGAGTTTGAATATAATCCAGAAAAAACAACAGAAGAAAGCTAGTACGAGAGAGAATGGCCGAGCCCTGAACCAGCTTTCGTCTCGCCTGTTAAATATTTTTGACATAATGGATGGTAATCCTTAATTATAGTTTATGTTTAAAACTTGAAAGCCAACAGCATAAAATCCTTGATTATGTTGCCCACATTGTTCATGAATTCAGTAATACACTGTTTATAATATTCCTAAATCCTTTAAAGCACTGTACGGAGAGATTTCTTTAAAAAAGGTTTTCAACCACCGGGTTATAATTTGATAGGATCCAAAAAGAAAAGGAATGGGAAAGGAGAAGAAAGGCAAGCATATTCATTCTTTTTCTACTGAACAAGCATTTAATGGCAGTGGTGCAAGAAGACAATTTTAGATCTTGAACAGAATGATCTTGGAGGCTGGGGCAGCCTTTGTGTATTGAGTCATTTGGGAAGTACACAGCTTAAGATTTCTCTCCACCACCCTGTCACTGCCATTCCATGTTTTACAACTGTTTCTATATTCTTAGATGTTAGTATGTTTCTTTTAAAAAGCACACACAGTGTGGTTTTGCATTTAAAGAACACCTGTATCATAGAACCATTGTAACAAGAATAAAATGGAGTTTGCTTCTGATGTCCTGTAGCTCACAGATCACCTGCAATTTTCTGGAGGGTCATTTGGAGGGTCCAGAGTCCAGCATTTGCTCTGTCAAGTGCTCTATTATTACACTTTCCTTAGATTTTCAGCAAATTATACTCACAATCAAAATGGATTATGGTTACATAACATTTTTAGCCTTTATATATACTAGTAGAAGTGTTATTATTAAGTATTTTTAAAACACTTTTGTTTTAAAAAAAGTATATATTGTGAAGTATATATATTCCCTCAGTCTTGATGTCACATTTCTTCCACTAACTATTTGCAGTGCAATTTGTGCAAACCTTGTTTGTGCGTGTTTATCTCTTTTCAGCCAGCTGTATCAGTGGGGAATGTTGGCCAGTTGGCTGTAGATTTAGTCATTTCTACACTGAGCATGCCCAAAGTTGGTTACTTTTATACTGATTGTCTTGTGCCAATGATTGGAAATAATCCATATGCAACAACAGACGATAATGCAACTGAATTATGTATAAATGCTGAAGGTAGGTACCTTAAAGACAATATTGCCAAGACACTCTTTGGTGTTGACTTAGGATCCATTTGTAGAGGCACCTATTCCTTATGGCAATTTAGACATTTTAATATCTTCTGTAGAACATCCTCAGGAATTAAAATAGGATTTAATCTATTGTGTTCGTAGTTTCAGTTGCTGTTTTCTAGAATTAGGGTGCAATCATATTTTTGGTTTCTGTCTAAACAAGCATGGGATTATTAATGAATGTGAGCGCTGCAGTGCATTTTTCAGTCAGACCACTCACTGAAAAGCCATATTTGTCTTTGTCTGGGTGCATGCTAAGGTTGCTCAAGCTGTTCCATGTGAAGAGATCTTCAGACCTCTGGCTTTTGTTGTATATATTGTAGTTCTCCCATGTGGAACTCATTGTAGCAATAGCTCTTGAAACTGAAGTACACTGTGAAGTACGCAAAGAGCATTATATATATTTTAAGCCAATTTGAAGACTGTTAGCTGAAAGATAGAGTATATAAAAATAAATGTTTCAGTAATCTAGCTATGTTATATATGTGTAGTGCTGTCTACATGATGCATCTTAAGGAAAGTAGGGCAAGCTTGGATGAAAATATTGTATACTTTGTGTTGGATGCCAGTTACAGTTTCCAAACTGAGTTATGTTGACAAGTCATGTATTTGGTTTTTAAAAAATCAGTCTCTATTCACTTTCTTATTCATTAGTCAGGAAACAGATACTTGTGTACTGGGACATATATTCACACCCCAAAAGTCTTTTAGATAATTAGAGCAACATCCCTGATAGTACTGACCTGAAGCTTCATACAGCAAACTGGAAGGAGGTTTCACGAACCCTGAAAACTTTGTGAAAGCATATAAAATACTATTCTGTTTTACTAGACATGTTATGAAGCTCTGAGACAACATAGTTTCAGTGTGTTAAGTCATAAACAAATAACAGACATTCTTTATCTCTGCTTGTTACATTGTCAAAATAGAATAAAAACCTAACTGTAGAATACATGTTGATCCATCTAAAAACTTCCTGGAATCATCTATAATATGATACATGAAATATATTTTAATGTTGCTTTTTGAAATACTGACTTTACATGATTCCAAACAACCTATTATGTATTGTTTAAACCATGGTGTAGTGGCACAGGTGGAGTGCATTTTGCATATTGAACCCCCAACTGTGGGCTGCCATGTTGTACAGACCTGGCTGGTGGGGTTTATGCATAACTTTGCATGCCTTGCATATCTCATGGTGGCCCTGTTTGAATGCAGTAACAACCACTGACTGTGGGTTGAATATGCAAAGTGTTTGCTATGCACAGCAAACTATTTGATCAGTACATTGTTTTGTACTCTTCTTTTAGTGTATGCAGCTCCTTCTAAAAAGTTGGTGGTTCTACAGATCAGATCACCATTCATAAAGGTGTGTATGTTCATTGGAGATACTCACATTATGTCACCTCGAATTGTTTTTAGGACAATTTTGATTAGCCCATATAGCTGTATCTAGGAAAAATCCAAATGCATTTCAATAGCGAAAGGTAAAATATTAAAAAACTAAAAAACCCTCTATCAAAAACGTGGCAAAACTCAATATGTGAATAAATAATATCATGATTTACAGTGAGTGCCATTTTTGTTGCTTAGAATGTCCAAAAGATGGGAACGTCATAGCCTAAATCATAATAAAATTACAAACTGCTGACCATCAACTTTGACTCACTTTCTAGATCTGTATTCAGAGATGTTTTCTGCTTTCTTGTCTTAGGGCTTTAGCTATGGGGTGTGGAATCCTGGGCAAAGACTGGGGAAGTTGTGTGTGGAGGGAGGAATGTGTGTGGGTGGAAGTGTGAAGGGTTTTAGTGGGTGTCTTGGCAAGCATCAGTGTGCCTGATGGCACCAGGTTGCCGCTTTTGTTTTGGAAGATTATTTCATCTGTCAAAATAGTCTTATTTTTAAAGCCTAGGAAAAAATAGATAGCAAGGTAATTGTAAATATTCTAAAATGTCACATGTTAAAGGACTAAAGAAATGACATTATTATTTCATGCAAGTTTCTAACCTGTTCTTTTCCTACCCTGATATCCAAAGAATAAATATAGACTCTTCTGTCAAATACTGCTAACCTGGGTGAAAAGTTGTGGATTTTCCAAAATTGTTCTTCTGTCCAGTAGTCATGCTTACCAACGTAATGACCAACAGCTTCAGGGGTATGTCTGGTGAACTGTGTAACTATGATCTTGGTGTGTGTACTCAGTCGTTTGTATTCTTTTTAATTTTCTCAATGAATATTCATTTTAATTTTCTTCATTTTTCCAAAATGTTGTCCATACACATGCACACAGAACCAGCAATAAAGTTTGAGTTGTAAGTTAGTTTAGCTGTAGTCTATATCTCTGTTGCCTGGGTGCTCTTAGTCATTTAGAATCTAGGTACTAATCTAGTGGTGGTTGAGTTTGCTAGGGCATTATCCAATGTAGTCGTCTGTAATTTTCCACACTCAGAGGTCTATGGACATTCAGTTGAGCACAGGAGGCGAGTGCTACCTCTACACTTCTACTTTGCAAAATGCATAGCTGATTTCAGCCATATATGTCTTTTCCCTTGCTCACAAGGAGGAGGGGCCAAGGCACCACTAGGATTCCTTGTATCCTGGTAGTTCCTCATTACTTCCCTCCCTGCCATCTAGACCCCCCTCCCCCCACAAGCTCTGGCTCTGATGAATCATTTGCAGTTTTGGAGCTGTAGCTGGTACAGAAAGAACCAGGCCACCTGCAAGGGCAGAGGTAGGGTGTTCTCCTGTCAGAGTCCCAGTCCCAACCTCAGGAAACATTTCTAAGGTGGAAGCTGGTACGCCAAACTATCATATGGCTATTTAGACAGTATACAGTGTCCATAGGATTAATACCCTTCCTTGGCAACATAGCTTCACTTGATATGTAGTCCGTTAGTTTGGGATTTAACCATCCAGTAGAGTCAGCAGAGGGACTGTTGGTGGCACAGTGGTTTAAACCGCTGTGCTGCTGGGCTGGTTGATCGAAAGGTCGCCTGTTCGAATCTGCACAACGGGGTGAGTTCCCGTTGCTCCGTCCCAGCTCCTGCCAACCTTGCAGTTCGAAAGCATGCAAATGCAAGTAGATGAAAAGGTATCACCTCGGTGGGCAGGTAACAGCATTCTGTGCACTTCGGTGTTTAGTCATGCCGGCCACACGACCATGGAGACTGTCTGCGGGCAAGCGCTGGCTCCCTCGGCTAGGAAACGGAGATGAGCACCACCCCCTAGAGTCAGGCATGACTGGATGTAACTTCAAGGGCAGGGGTCTCAAACTCAATTTACCTGGGGGCCGCTGGAAGTAGAGTCTGGGTGAGGCTGGGCTGCATCAAGTATTCCACCACTGTGGTGGTGGTGGGCTGCTCATCCTGTGGCCGGCCCGGGCGCCGCCGGCGCTTTGAAGGCCGCAGGGCCCCTCCCCCGTGCCCCGCCCATCCCAGCAATTGGCCCGCAGGCCACGAGTTTGAGACCCCTGGTCAAGGGGAAACCTTTAGCTTTACCTTAGAGTCAGCAGAGTGGGAGTGCAGCAAAGTAAAAATGACACACCTCCAAATTTGGGGCATCTGTTCCCTGAGGATTGCACCATTAGCTACTTTTAGTTCTAGGGACTAGGGCAAGCTATAAATAATGGTGCAAGAGGCCACACACCAAGATCCCAGCCTCCTTTTGATATATTGTCTATCTCTGCTATGAACTATTTCTTTTTCTGTATTTGATCTTAGCTGGAGTTCTAACAGGAAATAGTTAGAATTTCCTGTTGTGTATATGTTTTTGGATAGTGAATATATATGAAAATACTTTACATTACAAAGAAGAACATTGCTATATTAACAAATGTGTTTCTTCCTACTTTTTGGCTTCTTGTTAGGTGTATTTCAGTCTACTAATCAAATTAAGTTACAAATGCAGTTTTTGCTGCTTATGTGTATATTTTATGGCTTATTGACAGTACATCATTGCGATATTTGCTTTCGCCTGCTGTTGAGAAGGCAACTGGAAATATAATGGAAAGGCTGAATGGCAGAGAACTGGAACAAGTACCAGCTTTTCCTGGAGTAAATGGTGATGAGAAAGTGTTCCATATTCCAGGTGGTGGTATCACAAAACTATTGTTCACGGAGAGGTTAGTGAAAGTGGTAAAGGATTAAATACTGAAAATAGCCATTTTATTTATTTATTTAGCAAGTTAAAAAAGTTTTAAAAAGTTATTTTAAAAAGTTAATGTTCTATATGTTGAATACATAGTCCTGAAAAGCACTTATTCTTAAAGTAATTTGGCCTGGATTCAAAAAAACCACACAAAGACCAACCCTAGTGAAACATTCAATAAGAATGTTCCATTTTGTTTGAAAAACTTTTTTTGAAATCAAGGGGAATTGCACATGTAATTCATCAAGTGGGGTTGATGAATTACGTCTGGGGGTGGGTACATCTAAAGTAGCCCCTTGGATTTCAAAACGAATGTATGTACAATATGTGCCAATGGTATTAGGACTTTTTAGAAGATGTCACTTTGAAGCACAGTATGAGTAGACTCCATCATGATTGTAGTGAACCTTGCTTATAAGGAATTCATATAGTTTAGTAGTCTAATGACTTGGATCTGGATTCATGTCCCAAATCTGCCATAAATTCATGAGTTAGGGTTCAGTTTGGTTCCCTATCTGTAAAAATAGAATTCAAATTGACCTCCTTCTCCATCTTGAAAGAAAACCTAGTATGTACTGTAAGGCTTTCCTTCCACACTTAGGATAAGTTGAAGCTAAATCACTTGTATGAAGCAGCAGAAAAAAAGAGGCAAACAGTTTCTTTGGGTTTTGTGGGTGGCTTTGGTTAAAATCTTAACATGCGCTTAATACACTCTGCATTCACTAGCATTGAACAGAGTCTTCAAGTGCCCCTCAAACAATATTGAAAATGTAGTATGTGCATGGGAATAAAATATGTACAGAAGCATTTGCCAATATCATCCATAAATGGTAGCAGCAGTCATTTTAAGTGTATCTGACTCTACTCACTAACAAATTTCTGTGTTGAACACTATCATTTGGTTGAACTTAACTGGTAAGGCTTTTTTTCTTCAGTCAGATCCTAAGGAATTGCTTTTTCACTGTTTCCATAGTGTGCCTTAATGGTGGCCAATTTCTTAAATCATTGTGTGTATTCAAACATTGGCACAACCTTGTTAATTCCCATCCTGGATAAACCTCAGGTGGTAATTTTAACATAGGTAGTATTTACTGAGTTCAACCCACTTGTTTTTGTTATCTTGCTCCCATCAGGTCAGCCCTACTCCCAAGCCACATAAGACTCTTGGAGTGTCTGCCCCTAATAAACCATTATAATCCTTTTGTAGCCTTAAAACTGCATACTCAGCCCCCCCACTTTTCAGCATTGCAGTGACTATCTTGATTCATTTCTAAGTCACCTGAAGAGTGTGCTGAGATGTAGTCTAGAACCACAATGAAAATCCTCTAAACAATGAAGTTCAGTGAGTGGAATGCCTTGAGTTCGATGGCCTAGGTGCAGGATACTAATGTAATTAATAAATCTGGTGATTTGCCGTAAGAAAGGGAAATATGCTGCTTTAATAGAAGTATACTTTTTTCTTGGGCAGTACCATTTTGCACTTGCATAATGTAATGTAATTATGTAAGCACTAAAGAGATTTCTAGACTGCTATTGCACTGGGATGTTACTGTTGTTGATCCAAAGTTTGTGTATGATAATATAATGCAAGCTATGTGAATGTTGGTGCCACATTAAATACTCCACCTTCCTTCATTTCAGGAAAAATTCTTACGTGAATTCCAACCCAAAGAAAAGCAAGCATGTTTGTATAGCAATCTTCTGTTCAGTTATTTCATTAGTATCACTTTTATTCCAGTTGTTCAAAAGGAATCCCACTGGTAGTTTTGCTGAAGTTCTGCTCAGAGGGGGACAATATTCCTGATGCACAGGTCCTTGCAGACTACCTTAATGAATGGCTTCAACTGACTGCAAACCAAGTAAGTGTGTGCTGGAAAACATGGTAGATGGGGAGTCGCTCTAAAGTAAAACTACAACATTTCAGTGGATGAATATCAATAGGGTCGAAAGGGCATTGTGTCGCATATTTCCAAAAGCAATGAAAACTAGGGCTGGGTTGTGATGTTGAGTGGAGTGAGGCATTTTCCACATGCTATCTTTCCCATGGAAAAATTTCCATACCATATGATTGCATTGGTTGTCTGGGCTGTTGCACTGAATTCAGTCATGTTAGATGGATTAAATATTTGATATGAACTTCTGAAAGTAATTCTTCTAAGGCAGGCATTGGTGCTCAGTTGCACATTGAAAAATGGAGGCACTGAAAAATAAAGTTTGCATTTGGCTGGGTCTGGACCAGACTTACACATGCTGTATTTTCCCACTATTGTTAATATTTTTCAATAATAAGCAGAAGGGAAACTATTTGCCTCACTTAAAAACATAAAGGGATCCATGCTAGGTCAGACCAAAGGTCAATCTCATCTCACATGCCGTTCACTCAGTAGCCAGCCTGTTGCCTATGGGATCCCAGCAGCAGAACAACACCGCACTATATGCTACTACCTTTGCATATTATAATTACTCTATATTACAATTATTTTATTGCTGTAATCTTCACACAAAGCTTTGAATGTGTTTGAATCTAACATTTAAGCTATATTGTGTGCTAAATTTAATTTCCTCTGAGCAAATATTTCAGTTCAAATATTTCATACCAATTAGGAAAACTTTTGATATATTTATACAACACATAAAATTGATAAGGATTGCTTTTTTTTGTTACTGAGATATTTTGTATGCTTTTTGAGAAAGAATGTGTGTTGGGCAGTAAAAATGAATCAAACAGGCTCGCTACATCTGATAATATTTAGAACACGGGAAAACTTTCAAAAAATTGAACTTTTTCCCAGAAAACCCACATCACTGGGGCTCAATAGTTGCTTACTGAGAATATGAAAATATGTGTGTACCATGAGGCAGGAACTCCAGTCAACGTTAGTTTGCTGTAGAGCTGTGTTTATTATATTTTGTGGCATATTCTAGCATGCATAGTTGTTTTTCCCCCTTTGGTGAGTCTCTTGCCAGGCCTGTGATACTGACATCAACCTGGTTGTGGTCCTAGGGCATGCCACAGGCTGCAGCTTTCAAAGGAAATATCAGCAGTGGTGGGCAAGGTATCTTTCAGGGAAACTTCTTTGATATCATTCAGACATTGCAAGGTTCATCAGAACAGTTTGATATTGCTGTCATAGCCTAATTATTAGGATGAACGAAGATATTTCTTTGGAGTAGTATGATTCTACCATTTGACAATAATGTATATTTTTGAAATCAGCAGAGTAACAGTTCTCCAGTTAAGTGTTCCGGATGGAAAATACCCAGTTCCTGGAAACTACTCTTTGGCAGTGGACTCCCACCTGCACTGTTTTAAAACCCCTTTTTAAAAATCATCCACTTGTATAAAAACTAAGTTTTCTAATTTGGATTTTGAAATGACCAACTATGCATTATCTATTTTCACCAATAGTTTAATATATTCTGACAAGCTAAAGAAAATGTCTTAACTGTAAAAACTGAAAATGTGTTCAATAAATCAATTTTTAAGTTTCTGGTTTCTCTGTTTAACATTCCAGACATTTTCTCAGTATTGTTCAAATACTGCAATAATTCTAGCCTTCCGAATGCAATTAATAGAAATCCAGATAGTCATTAGGTACACTGAGTTTGAAAAGTATGACTCTTCCTGTTCCATGGTGCATAAATATGAGGTAGGTAATAAATGTTTATACTCGACACATCTAAAAGAATAGGCTTATAGCGTGAGCATTGTAACTTGGGTGGTATCTTGTAACTTCTGTCACAAAGTAATGGAATTTATTAAAGGAGTTAATACTTGAGTCTTGTTAAGTGGGAGCCTAAAATATGGGGTTATTTATGTAACCTAAGATCTGTTGTAGGGACAAAGCTGTATAGTACATAAGCAAAAGAATGTTTATAGCTATAATGTTTGAAATTTACATGTTAACAGCCAGCTGCTCTTCCATAAACCACCCGATTTACAGGAAAGTATTTTCTTGAATCTGGACAAATTATATAGATATTAAAAAGATTATATTAAGACCAAAGTTGCCAGTGTGAGAAACTTCACTAAACAAACTTGAAGGAGCTTTGTGAGAAACTTCACTAAACAAACTTGAAGGAGCGTTGAAGCTCCTTGCACCTTCTCCACTTCAGAACCTGGTAACTCCCACTGCAGTGAGCAAGCCACTGGCCCACTCTCTACATCAAGCAACACTGATAAGACTAAAACCATTTTTAACAGTGCAAGGGCCACTAGAGAAAAAATTGAGCACACTCACCAATTTGAAGAGCCAGTCAACAATGTTTACATCAGTTTTACCACCACTGGACAGAAACCTCCTCATTTTCACCAAGCCTTTTCTACGGTTGCTGTTTAAAGTTTAATTTCATTATTGCTTGTATTGTTTTCAGTTTGACATTTTTACCATCACCAGATTTTGCGGCACTAAAAAACTATTTAAAAAAAATTGGTCCTCTCATTTGGGATTAAAAATTACTGTGCATTGTTTGTGCTGAAAGCAAAGGGAAGCCAGCATTAGCAACTATAGACAGAATCACTGTCTATTATCTTTGAGAAATCTTGGGGACAAGGGAAGGGACTGGATAAGGCCTTATTTTGCCCCTATCTTCAAGAATAGGGGGAAAAGAATGTGGGAACTACAGACCAATCAGTCTGACATCAATCCCTGGGAAAATTCTGGAAGATTACAAAGCCCTCGGTCTGTAAAGCCCTTGAAAACAATGCAGTGATTACTAGAAGCCAACATGGATTTCTCAAGAACAAATCCTGCCAGACTAATCTGATTTCACTTTTTGATTGGGTAACCTCCCTGATGGACTGTGGAAATGCTACAGACATAATCTATTTTGGCTTCAGCAAAGATTTTGACCAAGTGCCCCATGATATGCTGATTAGCAAACTCTCTAAATGGAGGCTAGATGGGTTAACTATCAGATGGATCCACAGTTGGCTACAGAATCAGACTCAAAGAGTGCTCATCAATGGTAGCTTCTCAAACTGGAGAGAACTAACATGTGGGGTACCATAGGGTTTAGTCTTGGGTCCAATGTTCTTTAACATTTTTATCTATGATTTTGATAAGGATGTTTAGGAAGCAATGATCAGATTTGCAGATGACACAAAACTGGGTGGGATAGGTAATACCCTGGAAAACAGAAACAAGATTCAAGGCAGTTTTGATGGGCTGGAGCTCTGTGCTGAAAACAACAGAATGAAATATAATGGGGACAAATGCCAAGTTCTGCACTTTGGAAAAAGAAACCAAATGCATCATTACAAGATGAGAAATACTGTAATACCTCAGTTCACAAATGCTTCTGTTCACGAACAATTTGGTTTGCGAACAGAAAGTTCAGCAAAATGTTGCTTCCATTTGCAAAATCCACATTGGGTAATGAACATGATCATGGCCATCTTCCCTGCTCTGACATGTGGTCACAGCTTCCTCTAGTCAAGGTCGTGGTTGCAGACTCTCCCTCCAAACAATAACCTCCCCACCTACCTTCCTGTCCTCCACGGCAGAAGTTGCCTCAAGCAAGGTTAGTCTTCATACTCTACTGTATTGTACTTTGTTTCATATTTTTGTGGTTAAAAAAATTACATATGGGTCAGAACAGAGTAACCTTATTTTCATTGAACCTTATGGGAAAATTGGACTCGGTTTGTGACCAGAATTGTGGAACAAATTAAGTTTGTGAACTGAGGTACCACTGTACTTGGCTCAACAATACTGCATAGAAGGAACTTGGAATTGTAGATCACAAGCTGAATGAGTCAACCGCGTGATGTGGCTGCAAAAAAGGCAAATGCTATTTTAGGCTGCGTTAATAGAAGTATCATTTCCAACTCACATGAAATACTAGTTCTCCTTTACTAAGCACTGGTTAGGCCTCATCTGGAGTACTGTGCCCAGTTCTGGGCACCACAGTGTAAGAAAGAAGGGGAAAGGGTTCAGAGGAGGGCAACAAAAATGATCCAGGGACTGGAAACAAAGTCCTGGGCATGTTTAACCTTGAGAAGGCCAAGGAGAGATACGATTGCACTTGAAGTACAAGTACTTGAAAGGCTGTCACAAAGGGGAAAGACAATCTGTTCTTGATCATCCCAGACTGTAGTTCATGGAATACTGTAATCTGTTAACCATGGATAGCAAACCCGAAGTGATTAATTATACCAGGAAGCTTGAAGGATCAAATTTGCCAAAAGTATCACCAATATCCTTTGTAGAGGTAGGGAAAAATACACAGAACCGTATGTCCATTAAAAAAAATATTTAATGCTGCCAACGTATAAAAAAATACAGTAAGAATGGCAGTACGAAGTACTTTCTAATGTGATCTTACATATTTCTACAGTTCATACAAGCATAAAACAGTTAAGACAATTTATTTTGCAAAGTTTGTTGCTGGTGATGTACTTCATTCTCTGGTTGTTTACGTTGTAAACAGTTATGTATGAGGTCCAGACCTCACTTTTGTTCCTGAAGAGGAGTGATGTCCTCCTTTGCATGCCAAATGTGTGTAATTATAGCTGCAGAATATTCACACATCTTGGTGGTTTAGGTGTCAGTCACTCTTGGCCTATGGACACACAATGTAAAAAAAGTCACAGGTTCAGTATATGCGGGTGTATAATGCTAAAGCTTTACAGTTTTACTGGACAACATCCAAATAAACTGAAATAAAGAGATGAAGTCTAAGGATGTTGAAAAAAGTCATTTTATTCGAAGCAGCAGCCCTAAGCTTTTTGGCCAAAGATGAGCTTTCTTTGGCAGAGGGAGTGCATGTGCCTATAATGTCTGTAGAGATCTCTGAAAGAGATTCACTTGCAGGGTTCATCTTGGAAACTTTCCAGTCTCTGCAGGCATTTTTATATGGAAAAATGCCTGAAGAAAGCCCATACTCAAGGCCAAAATAAGCAGGGCTCTCTTTTAGAATAAACTACTTATTTACAGTTCTATTGCAATGGTAAAAAACCCCTTACGTTTTGTGAAAGTTAAATGGAGGCCTTGTTCATATTGATCAGTTCCTGCAGTTGTTGGGCAGGGTATGTTTGTGTATATACTTTATGCATGTGTGTAACTATTCTCTAAAAAGTATCTTTAAACTAGTTAAATAAATGCACCTATTTCCATTACTTACTTTCCTGAATGAGGAGAGAGAAAAGTAATTTACCAACTATTTTCCCTTTGAGATAAAACCAAATTCCTTTAATTAAAACATTGGGATAATGGAAATGCACACACAGGTTTACTCTGTCCTGCAATGTCAGTAATCATTTCTTAGAAATAAAAACTACATGAAGAGCTTAATATTACCATTAATAAATACTTCAAGGGCAACAGCAAGCATGAAGAATCACTGCAGTAGCACTGAGAAACAGGCACAAGTTCTTAAATGCATTTAATAATTCAAAACTGAACTAATAGTTTATGAAGTTAATCTTGAGAAAATTTCTGGTTTATGCTACAAGAACAAATCCCCAGGTATACTTAATGTTTATACTTTTACAGGCAAAAAATCCAATACAGTTCAACTGTTAAATGTTGGTGTTTAACATCCTCCAGAGATGCTTAGATCAGAGAAAGAAGAAACAAGCTGACAGAAAAAGGCAACCAAAAAGGATGAAAAGGCAGGATTCTAGAAAACTCATATAGCTACTTTTTTTAAGCTGCCAAAGGGGGTAGACAAACCAGGTTCTCCAGTTTTCTTAGGGTCACTATCCACTTCAGGACAGAACCAATTTCCTTTCCTCCTCCAAGACTACTGCTCTCCAGGCAAGGCAGCCATGCTCCCAAACTGGCCAGGCCTAATGCTTCCTGTAGATGCTTCATCCACAGCAACCTGACACATTTGGAGAGCTTAGACAGTCATACTTATGTTGAATAAGCAGGAATATGAACATTTCCCCATCACACACAGGCCTCTTTGTGCTAGCCACACTTAAACCAAGAAGGTTCTTAACCATGTAATTTCCTATTTTGCCCAAAATGAAAACTATGATTTAATTAAATCAATTTCAGAAACCCAGGCTTGTTCTGAAATTGGTAACCTTACTTTCCCGATACAGAAAAAATAGGAAACTATAGTTAAATGAATTTCCTGGTTTGCTTGAACTGGGAAGGGAGAAACAAAAGGAGCTGCATGCACAGGAGGCTTGTTCAAATCTGATTAAGTCACTTACTAAAGTAACTGATGGTAATATCCCCTTTCAAGGTTATGCCTTCTATTTTCCACACATCAGCTTTTAAAATGTAGATAGATACTGGATTATGTACTTATCTGTTAACTCAAAGGACTCCTGCTGAAATCCTGGAGAGGTTCTGCCAGTCAGTGAAAACAATTCTGAGTTACATGGACCAAAGGTCTGGTTTTATATAAGACAGGTCTCTATGAGACTCAGGGCTGCATTATGTCATGTGGGTAGTTAAATATAATAAGATGCTTTAAATGACTTTATGTGCACTTAAAGGCTTTCAGGTGTGCATAATGAAAAGATTTGAAGCCTAGTGAATTTCAACCAAAGTTAAGACATGTCCTTCTATCATGTTTCTTATAAAACAAAAGTCCATGGAAATCCTGGACATTTTGTTAAATATCTTTCAAATAATTGATTTGCACCATTTCACCATATTTAGAACATTCAGTTACCCATACCAAAATGAGAGTTAGGAATAAGACTATCAAATATGATACCATTTGAAAATTAAGTGTTGCCTAGGCTCCAAGCATAACTCATTACATGACAAAGGAGGTTACCAGGATTATTGTTTGCAATTAATAGTTTTTAAGACTATAGTGCAAAAGTCAATGCAGTTTCATCTCAACACTACTTGTATGTTGTATAGGATCCAAAGAGATGCTTGTATACTTATTTCCCATTCTCCCATGAACTTACAAGACCTTTGCATCATGCACACTAACTCAAGATTTTTCAAGTTGTATCATTAACTACAGTGAAAGCCTTGGAGTTTTACTCTTTTTAACATTGGCTTGGATCAGTGACCTACCAGTCTTAAATATTTGTGACTTGGACTATCACTGTATACTTATTATTTGCATCTATATCCATATGTAGTTTATCTTATATATGCTATGGTTGTTGCAAATCATAATCACATTTTACCATCAAGCAGTAGCTCTAGTATTATTCCCACTACAAAGTTATCTCATAGGCCAACAGATGAGAAAAATAGTATTCAGTAGTCCTTTTCCATCTCCACTTTTCCTTTCCTGAAAAAGAAATCCTGTATTATGGCCATTTCCTTCTACCTACAAATACTTCTGTTTTCAGAAATGTTCATGTTTGTCATGCACTGTCTAGATCCATTACAAAGAATACTTGAATGCTGCAAGGAATGGGACTCAGATCAAATCAAGCTGGACACAAAAGTATTTTCTCATTTAATGGCAGGTTTGAAGAAACAGAAGCTATGGCTTCCAACCATAGTTGTAATCTTAAGACAAGTTCCCTTCAGAAGAGTCAGCTTGAGATCCAGGACCCTAGCTCCTAGCAATCTCATAAACAGTAAACATTTTGAACTGTTGTTCTAAAAAATAAAATGGCAATTACAAACACAGGTACATGAATGCAACTTACAGGCTGGGTTAGCACATAATACTAATCTATGGTATTGTCCTGTTCAATTTTGGGTTATGTTGAACAAACACACTGTGCTTTGTTAGTCACAAGCAATCCAGAAAGAACTAGTTTGTGAATACTGGATTGTTTAAACCATGGACTGATGTCACATTTAAAGTCAAGAATCATGTATTGTTAGGCTACAATGGCAGTAAGCTACAGCAGTTAAAAAAACACTGTTCTAAATGCACGTGCTACAGCATCACAAAGGCATTTGGGATATAAGTAGGGAATGAGTGGAAGGAGGAAGCAACAAACCCAGGGACTAAGCAGACAAACTGTGGCTTTTTGGATCATCTGATGGACAAAGACCCACTTTACACAGTGGCTTGTTGGTTGCAGTGTATACTGGCCATGGTAGTTTTGTCCAAACCCAGACAATATGTCTTCTTTGAGGGAAAACAACTCCGTAATAACTCATCAGTTATGGATTATGTTAAAGTTGCTTTCCCACTGAAACCAAGCCATTCCACCAGGTTTCAGACAACATAAGCTGTACTCAGGCACAGTAATTAGGTAATCAGGGTAACTACTTAATAACTGAAATTATCAGGTGGGTGATTAAGCAAACATTACCCAGTTTAAATAAAATTTGTGCCTTAAGTCATAATGATTGTACAAACTAGGTCATCCTCTAGATAAGTCAACAAATCATGTGTTACATAAACAGGTGAGCATTATGGTTGAACGAGATCACAGACTAGAACTGGGAAATAATTCTTACCCGTTATCATCAAATATCTCAAAGTAGTTCACTAGCTCACTGATTTGGGAAGGACTATAACTCAGTAGCAGAGCACCTGCTTTACATCCAGAAGGTGCCAGGTTCAACCCTTTCATCTCTATGCAGCATGCAAAAAAACTCCTGTCTGAAGTCCTGGAGAGATACTTTGTGTGGACAATACTTGGCTAGATAGAACAATGGTCTGGTTCCATATAAGGCAGTTTACTATGTTTCGAAGTTGGTAATACTGGTATCAGTGAATTTTCAAAGCACTTTTGAAATGTTGATGATGGATGTACTGATAATTCAGACTCTTTATCAGAGACACTTCTACAAACATAGCTTTTAAAAACACATTTATTTACAGAAAGTTTATATAGAGAGCTATGAAATCATTTTATGTCTGGAGAATATAAACAGTAGATGGTATATTACACGCAAATCTAACTATTCTGCATTCAGAGTATAATACCATGTTTATTGCTTACATCAGGGATACCTGAACTGGCAGACTGAAGCACTGGCAGTTCAGTCTACTAGACATAGTGAACTATTATTTTTAGTACTATATACATTGCTGCTGAAAAAATGTCCATTAGTTTACCTAACAAGAGTGTACACTTTTATTCCACGTGGCAATTTGGTTTCAGATGTACCTGAAGTGAAAAGTCCTGAGACCCTGACAAGTGATCAGGTCCTCAAATATTGGGCATTTCAGAATTACTGCATTAATTTCAGATGTAGGAATATGATGTTCCAGGTTAACTTCCCACTAATGAACTAGCAGCACACTTGTTCCATGAACTATGGCAGCAGTTTTGGACCCAGTAATACTCACTTTAAGTTCCACTGAAATCAGTTGGATTTAAGTGTTATTATTAGTAGATGCGTAACAGCATAAGCATTCACTTACATGAGAGCACTTTGGAAGTACAATTTCCAGCAAGAATAAACTGCAATGAAAATGGCTGAACCAAACCCAATCTTAGTGAGAATAGGTTTCCAATATAACCACCTTTTTCTTTTCCTTTCAGCCTCACTCATCCTATGTTTCATCTGCTGCACCATCTGTGCTGTGTTAGCTTTTCTGTCTTCTCTCAGCCGCTTCCGAAAAGCACTAAAAAGCAAAAACATACATCAGTTAGATTAGCCCATCCCTCCTTAAGATCACTAGACAGGTAACAACATAATAAAAGACAAAAGAAAAGACAGCATTAAAAGTAGTATGCTTGTATTAAACAGAAGTTTAACTGTGCCAACTGAAAAGTTTTAATCCTATGAAATAAGTCTTTGTGCTTCTGAAAAACTTCAGAAGCACTTCAGAGTATTCAGCAACTCCTTTCTGTTTAAGTGGACGTAACACAGAGGGTTGAGCTATGATCCTTTCCCTGTTGATGCTGGGATGTTTACAAGTAAAAGTCATGACATATAGATGTGTTCACTCTTCAAAAGTGTTTATATACAACTGTTTTGTATTCTGAAGTCAGTAATGAGAAATGGCCCTCAGGTATCAATGTGACATTTTGCTGTTACAGGAGATCTCCAAGGGTTAGCAGGCCAAGCCGTCCATGGTATATAGCTGAAAACCAAATTCTTGAATTGTACCTGTAAACAAAAACCAGTGTGGAAAGTGTATCACTGGTACGGAGCGATTCTAGCACCTATGACTGAAAATAGACTGGTGGTTAGGGAGAAGGACTCCAGGAAGAATCAATGTCTGTTCCAACAGTTATGCTAACAAACTACATTTATCACATAGCATTTCTTTATAAGTTTAAGGTTTGAACAGTAGTTGTTAAAGGGGGCTCAGAAAGGCAAGCAAAGTTATACTGGGTTTTGATACTGAAGGCAATATTGGTACGCTGCTTGTGAATACAAAGATCTAATATGTAATTCAAATACTAAATTGCTACCCTATTCATGGAAGGATAGGAGAACTCCAGAGGGAAAGGGAAGATGGAAGAGTATCTTTCCATGACTATGAAGTGCTCAATTCATGGAAGAAAGTTTAAGACTTAAAGTTCCATGTGGTCATTTTTATGCCTCAAAGCCAATTCATGTACGGGAAAGAATAAATTTGCACACAGACTAGGACATATGTAGCACTTACACCATGTGATATTTAGTATACATATGCCTACTTCCTGCAAAATTTGGGGAGGAGTGGGATATACATATTGCCTCAAAATAAACAGTGCTGTACACTGCTGTTGGCCTACTACTAATCTATTATTTCTGTCCATTAGATACATGTAGTAATCTCCAAGTATTAGCAAGAAGTGAGATATTTATCTGCGATGGGGTAACAAAATTGCATAGCTCAGAGATGTTGTTTACAGTGACAAAACAATGTGCATTTACAAAGGAGAGCAGTTCCTTGAATCACATGCTTAGAATCATAGGGCCTTTTCACACATGAATATTTCATATTAATGTTAATCCTGTACAAAATGCACATAATAGTATCCTGCGTAACATACTACTGGCTTTCGCATCACAGGAAACTCTTAACTGTTGTTTTCCACCCCACATACACAGAAGAAAATATGCATGCTCGCTTGTCACATGTATCAGTGAACATGTGAGTACATGTGGCTTCTTCCATCATGGTTGAATCAGTGATTTGTGTAGTTGAATGTTCTGTCTGAACACCAAAATCATAAACACTGACCATAAATTAGGATTTAAAACCATAGCTTGAAGTGGGCTTATATCAGCTATGGTGGAGTGTTGTACCTGACTAAGCAGGATACAGTTTTGGCAATTTCTCCACATTTTTCTATCTATGGCAATCTAGGCTGGCTGACATTGCTATCTCAACCAAAGTATAACTTGCCAAACACTGCCATGATTTCAAATTACAGCAATAACTTAGGATCTTAACAGTGGTTTCCAGCCCTTAATTACAGTTAGCACACTTAAAACTTATGCATTAATGATTACATCATGAAATTTTCAAAAGTCTTTAGGTACAATCCCGTAGAGCGCATAATACTTTAGTCTGATGCCAAGGTTAACCAACATGAATTACTGTCAGCAATATGAATCTTGTAGAACAGGGAACACTCTTTCTCAGACAAAACAGGTGAAAAATATGGTCAGAGGTCAATGTCATGTTTTCAAACTATTATAAAAATGATACTCACCTGTCAGCATTTGCATCTACAATATTTTGTATTGTAGGAGACAGATCAGCATTTAAGTTCTCAGCTTGTTCCACATTTTCCAATTCCACACTGTTCCCATTGCACTTCTCTGTAGTTTGTTTGTTTGGGTGAACAGAAGAGCATTCAGAACCTGGTGCATGGTCTTCTTTTGAGAGTTCCTTCCACTGATTCTGAGTGGAGTAAAAAAGATCTTCAAAGGCAAGAAGCTGCTTTTCAACCTCAGTACAACTGTTTTCAAAGATAAACTGCAACAACCTTACGCACACACAGAGATAAATAGGTTCAAGGGGCAGTGTGAACATGCAGTTTTTATGTATCATTACTAGATAAAAACGGCAATTTGGATCAGTGATGCTCTTCCACGTGTGGAATACATTTTCATGAAAGTGCTCTCATACTCAGGTGAAGCACTACACAAGAAATATAAACTAAAAATCTATTTGCATAAGTAAAACAGCAACTGAACCTATATATTATAGTGTTATGTGAGCCTCTTCTCAAAAGCACTGGTAGCTATTTTTTCTCCAAACATTTTTTAATGTATGGTATTTATAAACCACTTTCTAGCTAAAGCCTCCTAAGCAGGAAAGTAAACAATCACAATGTAATCCAATAAAATATTCAAACAAACAAAACCAACACTTGTTCTTTGGTTCTGACTCCAATTGCAGAGTGTTTATCACAGAGAATATTATTTTGTACTTTTGGTAATGGCCGTGTAGGTTCTTGCAAGTAATTCTAGTGAATCTTAAAATAGGGAGCAGCTTAAAAACAAATAAAAATCCCTGCCTACATAATGTACTCCTAATGTGTAAATCTGTGTTCCTTATCAGAAAACAAGTTCTAGCAGCGGGGCTTTTCATTCAGTGCTGGGAAAGTAAGATGTGACATCTCAGAGCCTAGGCAATCAGATGTGAGATTTTTCCAATTCTGCCCTCAGTAACACATGCTCACCACATCATGGAATGCCACTTCATATTAGCACTCATATCCTGACCACTGTATATTAGCAAACCAACATAAGCCAAATCCTGCCAATCTACTAATGTTCCAGATATGTTCCTTGCACTCCAGTGTTCCTAAGAATTTACTACTATATAATGTGTGTAGTTGCTGTTTGATGGAAATAATGAAATCATTAATTTGTTACAGCACTGGTCTGAAATAAATGACAGATACAGGCTGGGATCTGGGAAATCTGGATTCCAGTCCCCATTCAGCCATGAAACGAAACTTACTGGGTGTCTCTGGGCCTGCCTCTCAGCCTAACCTACCTCACAGGATGGTTGTAAGGATAAAATGGAAAGGAGGAAGAGGACTGTACACTCTTTAGGCTCCATGCAGGAAAACAGGCAAGCCAGGAATTTAATAAGATGCTATTATGTTTAACAGCAAAACATTGTCTTCCATGCAAGGTAAAGCTAAACTTGGGCTACATCTCTCACTCAGCAGGACAGCCACATTCTGTCCTCCCCTCACTCACATTCAGGACCTGATTTAGAGCATTTTGGCTCCCAGCCCTCTTGAGCATTTTAGAGGACACTTCAAGGGAAGATGTTGCAGGGAGGAAGGAAATTCCACTCCACCAGCAGTGTGCAAACTGCATTGGATACAACACACCACTTCCTCATTAAGTGCTTCTTCATTATTGTCATGATCTTTCATCACATCAAGATCAATCATCCCTGTCGGCATTTAAGGCAGCCTTTCCCAACCTTGTGCCTGCCAGACAAATTTGGACTGCAACTCCCAGAATTTCCAGTCAATGGTCCTGCTGGATGGGAATTGGGAGTTGTGGTCCAAATGCCTTTCAAGGTCACTAGACTGGGAAAGGCTGATTTAAGGCCTTTTAGGGGGGAAAAATCAAGATTAGAAATGTCTGTTTCGTTTCAGAATGATATCCAAAAACATAGTTACAATTTTTAAAATTAAAAGTACATAATAATTCCAACAGGACAAGAGTAAGACACTCAAGGATATACATCTGATGAGGAGACAGAAATATTCTATTTAAATATTAATAAAAGGATACAGACCCTCAATAGTCTTACTATATTATGTTAGCAGGCATCATGCTGCAAGACCTAGAAGTAGGCAACTAGCTATGCAGTAAAGCATTTTACACTATCCTACTACTCGGCATCAAAACAAGTTAAAAAAGGGACTTCAACAGTGGTATCCAATTAACCCATCTAGATATATGACATGCATACTCAAACTGGGTTTGCATGACATGACAACCCATCATGGGTAAATAGCCATGATGGCACGTTGTCTTGTGCTAGCCTGGGCTGTATGTAGGAGACAAGCCACCTGCCAAGCCTTGTTTTATTGTAGGGTTGTTGTGCTCAACAATGGGTTGTTGTGTCAGCTGAGTAAGGAAACTGATTTCACTGTGGGTACAGAGAAGTGATCAACTCAGCAAGACCAACAAAAAGCTTGTGCTGCTTTTGCTAATTTCACCTGGGCCCCCCACCAGTGGCACCCACCCCACCAATATCCAAGCACCATGGGTACAATGTCCTCACACCAACTGCAAGCCCTTTGCTGCAGCTTCACCCTTTGTTTTTTCTGAAGTTCACTTGTCATGTACTTTGAGGTGGCAGCCTCCCTGAATTGCCCAAGTGATTTTTCAACCACTTAAGACAATTTAAGAGCAAGACATTCACACAAATGTTGTCTTTTTAAAAATTAGATGGCCTTGCATAAGGATACAGGTGTACACTCATGGGGGTGGGGGAGTCCTAAGCAGGAGGCCTCATCTGAACAATGTCCCAAGAAGTACCTGCTATCAAGTATGGCAGGCACTGTGGAATGTTCAACCAGAGAAGGTGCCAAATTGATTTTTTTATACTTTTGACTGGTGTCAAGGTGAGTTGTCAAAGGAAAGCAAATCTGCAAGGGATTTTTGCTTATGAAAAGGGGGAAGAGACATTTTTCCCCCCTCACATGGTTTTTAGGGCTACCCTCACAGTTCCGACTGCTTCTACGTTTTCCATCCTTTCCAGAGTATCAAAGTGGTCAGTAAAGGGGGAAAATGCATTCCACCCCATTTTTGCTAACAATTATTTTTGACAGCCATCAAAAGTAAAGTTTCCATTTAATACAAGGACTTATGTGGCCTGAATAGGGCCCTACAAGTAAAGTTCAGGTACCTATGATAAGTGTATTTGTTCTACAATGTAATTTAGCATCCAATACTGGAACATCATCCCAGTAGAACAGTAATCATTCCAGAAAAGGTAAAAATGCATGACAGATGGCTTAGCACAATTAACTATTATCATCTATACCCATAAACCCCGATAACACTTTAAGCTAGTTTAGGACTTGTATCATAAACTTTCCAAAGTGAGTTAAAGAGCAGTCTATGTATTTGAGATATTTACCTGTATATTAGAATCACCCATTATGTATTTTGCTCCTTCTATTACAGCCATGTAGGAAAATCTTAGCTGATCAGGTGTCTGGATAAGACCCATTCGATATTTCCTCATATTCAATAATACTTGTTTAATGTCTACAGAAAATGGGTATTTTCTTTTTTCCATCTGTGAAAGAAGAAGAGTAACTAGTTCTTTAGCAGTGATACACATTAGGAACACAGAAAAGGTAACAAGTAAAATATTTTTCATGCATGCATTTCAGTTTAATTGTCACACCACAACTACCAGTATAAAAATGAGATCAGACTGTTGGTATTCTAAGACAACACTCAGGCCTCAGCGACCAAATTAGTAACTCACTAGGGGAAGAATCACACATTTTAACAAAGGAAGTGGAGAAGAAACACACACAATGCTAGTCTAACTGCCCCCACTGACAACAGTGTAAAAATAAACATTTTGACTCCCCCTGACCCACAAAAACATTGAAACCGAGGACAGTAAGCTAATTCCAACATTATGCTAGCAACTATCTGCTCTCTCACTGTGAGTTTCCCTTGCCCTCCTCTTCCCTACATGCTGCCCAGAGCTCCCAAGGGTCTCCTGGGGTTCCAATGACAGAAGAAAACCACTGAATAAAGTCCACTGTCTGCCCGTTTAACAGCACACAGGGGAGAGAATATATAACTGCAGGAATTCTACCTTCATACTTGTAACTAGCCTCAGCTTGGTACAGATACTTGCAGTGACAGTTTACATAATGTAAGCTGCAAAAACCCAGTGTAAATCTTGTCCATGATACCTTCATCCCTGACTGCAGCCTTTTTCCTCCCCATGGAAATCAAAAGAAAGTTCTGCCTTGCTAAAAACATAATAATCCTGGTCCAACAAACCACAGCTTGCTGGAATGGGAACAAACTAAACGTTTGAGAGTTCCTTCCTCCTCCTGTTTGCTCAACTTCAGAAAAGATATGCTAATTTGTTTAACCAGTTCCCCATGAGGTCTAAACTAGAAAATTGTGGTATGTGTGACCTCTGCAAACCAGGATCAAACCAAAGCTCACAGTCTTGCTTCATGCTGACTGTTCAAACAAGGAGTACTTAAACAATAGGACTGCTCAACCCAGTTTCCCAGCTCAGACATCACGGAAAGCAGGTTTAATAAACAAGCTTTTTCTGAAGCTCAGCACAAGGGACCCTCAAGCTTGTCTGACTTCCAGCAAATCATAGTTTGTTGAAATGGAAAACTGATGTTTGAACAGGGCAATGTAAATCCATATAGCAGGGGCATATTGTGATCTTGTTTGATATTTATTTTCAGTACCAGTACACATCATATTTTATATTTTCATTGTTTGAGTCAATTATTACCCAAGAATAGTGAGATCTGTTTCTTATCATCCTAAAATATTTGCATAGTCATTTTGGGAACTAACTTACCAAGACAAGACATGTGTCCACCAATGAAAATGTGCCAGAACGGCCAATTCCAGCACTGCAGTGAATGACTGCTGGCCCATGTTCCAGACTTAGAGATCCAGATTCTCTTACTTTAAACAAGAAGTTGAGGAATGAAGCTGGTGATTCAGGAACGCCAAAATCTGGCCATGTAGTATAATGAAAATGAAATATCACCCTGGACTCACCAGTCTAAGGAAAAGGTAAGACATCTTAGAGCGTTTCTTTGGGATAAATTTAATACATTTATGTATCAAGCAACATGGCCTACACTCAAGAAGCTTGCTTAAACTGCAGCACTCTGGGCTGCTACAGTAGAAGTCCCACTCAAAGTTCCTCTCCAGCTGCTTAGTGCAATTACATTAGAACTTAATTCCTAAAAACAGACGGGACTAATGTTGTACACATATAGCCCCAGCCACCTTACTATTATATTGTCAATGGTCAGATACCTTGCCCTAATTAGTCATTTTTGAAACAGGCCCGAAAGAGAGTTGGGCTGCTGATCTTAACCACAAACCTGACAGCTGCCCAAAGGTTGCTGAAAGAGCATGTCTTTTTCTCACCTTTGCTTGATTTTCTGGCATGTGTGCTTGTGCATGTGTGTTACAGAACCAAAGATAATGCATCTAAAATTATTCATTTAATATTGGCCCTTCACATTTTTATCTACTACAACATGCTTCTCAGTGCTGCCACTTTACACATTTTCAGTTATCTACAATGTTTTCAAAAGGATATGCAATTGAGGAAGGGACACAGCTTTGTTCAATTATGAAAGAGAACTGTTGGTTGTACAACCAATTCTTTCACTTTAGTCTGCACACGAGAGAATAATTATTTATTCCTCACCTAAAAAGTTTTCTAATGTATAAGGGAACATTTTTAAAAAAATCAATCAAAGAGTAGGCTTTCTACCAATTATTAAATTGTACTATTAATTATAATGCAAATATTTCAGTAATTTGTATCCTCTCATACTAAAATTCAAATAATGTATCCTTAGAATTTGTTGTCCTTGTGTGCCATTATCTCTGTCTTATGGCAACCCTATGAATGAATGAATGCCCTCCAAAATGGCCTTATCCTTGATAGCCCTACTCAGGTTTTGTATGCTCAAGGCTGCAGCTTCCATTATAGCATCAACCCATCTCATACTTGGTCTTCCTCTTCTGCCTTCAATTTCCCCTAGCATTATTGTCTTTTCCAGTGAGTCCTGCCTTCTCATTATGTGCTCAGCTTGAATTTTGCTATTATTAGCATACTAGCCTTTTCTTTCATTGTCAGATTCATTTTCAGAGAACCTCATGGTAAATAAAAATGCAAAGTCATAGATAAATGTATTAAATCAAAGGAAAATTAAAGTATATCTCTACATTCTAAGTAAAGCAAGAAAGAGAGATGTTCTATTCCATTCTATTATTTTCAACATTATCAAGTTATTTTCCATTCACTGTGAAAAATGATTACTCTTTTTGATTACTGATATCAGAAATACATCATAAGGATTTTGGAAATAGTATGCATAATTTTAATGCAAGCTTACAGTGATATTTTCTAGCTGAAGTTGGCGTACTGTATAGTAGGATTTAACATCTTCAGATTTTAGCCTCACACAAAATCCTGTCTCTTCGTACACCATTTGTTCTTCTTCCTTTGTTGGCCAGTATTGTGCGCATTTCACCTAAGTAGTAAAATAGTATTTTTTGAAGATTTCATGTTACTATATTATACCTATCATCATAAAAACAGAATCAGGCATATATAAATAATCCCTCCCCACTGCTCCTAGATAGAAAGTATTATTTTTAAAATGGGTGAAATTAAATAGTATTAACCCTGATGAACTGTTTTAAAAGCCAGAAGGCCATACAGCAGTGTGTGTACATATTCTCTAGTTACAAATATATACAAGCAGAGCTTTTTAGTACATCCTACAGATTAAGACTACATGCACTGGGTATTTTCAATATCAAGTATAAATACTAGCAGTCCCCATTCATTGCCTTTATTTAAGTTCTTCCAGATTCAAAAAGTGAGGAGGGTCTACAAATATAGGACATCTATATTTGTCCTACAGACCATTTTAGCATTAGAAAGTATATTTTACTTTTTTTCTACTATTATTTAAGTCACTAGACTTCCAATGCCAAGAATGTATAAGTATTTTATATCATAAAATCAAGATTTAAACTGGGAGTAATTTATTTAGTAGTTGTGTATATTGCTCAATTGACAAATACAGTAGGAATCTCATATCTATAGGTTAGGTTCCAAAACCCCAGTGGATGCCTGAAACCATAGATAGTAGCGAATACTATATACTATACAGTCAGCCCTCCACATATGCTGAGAATAGGGGCACAGGACCCCCACAAAAGTGGCATAACCGCTAATATATGGTCTCTGCTTGGAGATGCCACACTCTTTATTTTGATACTAGCCATCCTTACTCACATGCTGGGCACTAAGACTCTAAAAGTATTTGTGGTTTTTCACATTTGTAGGGATCCTGCACCCCTAACCCCTGCGAATGCAGAAGGCCACAATCAACTGTGGTTAAATGAAACCGAGACAGTGTATACAGGGATCCTACAGTACCCTCTAATCAGTTTACATTCATAAAAATCCCAAAAAGTAAAACAACTGCCAGCATGCTATAACTGATGAAAATACAAAAAATAAGATATCAGATTATAGATATTAAAAAGCCAGCCCTAGAACTGATTAGAAAGATGGAGCATTAAAGATTAAATATTCGCCTGAAGACGACAGTCTTAGCTCAGCAACACAATGAATACACTAGGGTCAATACAGACACTGCCCACTGCACAAATGTGAGATGGCAGCCAGAGAAGAGCCTAGCACGATGATTTAGACCAGGAACAAAGGGAGAAGGCATTCCTTCAGATAGAATAATAGGCTCATGAATGGTTGATGTCACTGATTTTCATACACAAGCATAACAATTAAGGCAACTCACTGAATCTTTCTCTACAATTCTGTTCAGCATGACAACTGCTTTGGTCTTTTGTTGCCATACCATTAGCCAGAAATGGCAACATGTATTAGGAAGTGGACCCTGTACAAGTAAAAAAAGAGAAGATATTAAATCAGCAATCTAACATGATTCTATACAGGACAGACTTCAAAAGAAAGCACTTACCATATAATTAGTTATATAACATAGTCTAGATAGGAGTAAGCACCTTTTGGGCCCATAAATGCATTTGCAAATTTGTGAAACTATCTTGGGACAATCATAAAATGGCTGTCATGGGAAATCATGAAAAATCACAAAGGACGAGTAATCTATCCAGAGCCATTCATGGGTAGATTAAGATGGCAGCATTAGAACTTCCCATTTTGCTTTGAAGCCATCCCAACTGCCCATGAGAAAATATTTTTAAAATAAAAACTGAGAGCAGCAGGGTACCTCATGGGCATCAAAAAAGTTGTCTGAAGATACCTCATCTTGTCCACCCTGGTTCAACAAGCAGAATATATGGAAAATTCTACAGCTGGGACAAAAGTATCCTTTTGTGCCACACTGAAAGTCTTCTGACCTTCAGAAGTAGAGGTGAAATGGAAAAGGAGCAAGCCGCTAAAGAGAAATGGAACTCCACACAGAACACTCAGAAACCTTACCTTATTTTAAGAAAACAAGATGATTTTACAAAGTTCCAGATAATGCCAAATGTGAAGTATTTAATGTTAGCTTTCAAGGCAGTATATGAGTAAATGAGATAGACTCACAATGAAGGCAATACATTTATAAATATATCTGACAGTTAAGTGCACTTGAATTAATTACTACACAAAATGCTTGCAGATTTAAAGTATTCATTTGCCACAGATTTAAAAGATATTTTAGATTATGCTTCATTACTGTGACAAGAGCCTATTTTTACTCATGCTCTACTGAAGAACTCACAGATGTTCTTTAGATAACCTGGTAAACAAAACGAGAAGCAAAGTATTTATAGTGGGTTAGATCCAGATCTTCCCCAGCTATAGGAAGTGGGTGGAGCAATATTTGTCACCAGTGTATGTTTCTTCGTACAGCCTGCATACATCATCTGATACTGTCCAGGACTCCCCAGCCATTCACAAAAGCTTTTGAGGTCATATTTTTGCCAGAGAAACTGGTAAAAAGTAGTCCTGCATCTCTCCCCTGCATAAAAAGAACTGGGGTGACCACAACTGGGGATCCAGTTGTGAAGGCAGGTACCCTATCCCGTTACATGACAGGCAGGGACAAAAGGTTGCTCTGATTCCACCCCAGGCCTGCACACTGGCTACCATCATACCTTACATCCAAATCAGCCTGACCCTTCAAACTGAACAAGACAAAAAGAAAGCAAACGAACTCAAAGTAGTCTTTACTTTCCTTGGTTTTATACCTAGAGGTCTTTAGTGAATCTCCAGTGATCCCTTATAGCCAAGTCATGAGTTAGCTGTAAATGATCTGCCCAAACTTTCTGGGCCAGCAGAAAACTCCTACCAACTCTCAGCTGAACCTATTCAGCACAATTAGTGAGGGTTCTGCTTTGCCCTTGAAACCATAAAGCATATGGTATAAAAGCATATGGACAGCATAAAAGAACACACACAGGTGGCTTAACAACTTAGAGGCTGCTAAAACACTGGGGAAAAGAGATTTGTTGATACAAACCCACTGTCAATACTCTTGTCCTGAAAATCCATGAAAATATAAATTTGAAGATTCTATGGATTTATTTCTGTAATATTTATGATATTTGATTTTATTTTTAGACTTTCATCTTTCTGTTTTATTTGTAAACTGTGTATAATCTGCGGGGAAGTCTATGGGTGGGACATGAAGGAAGGTGGAAGATGTTTTTAAATACAATATTTAATAAAAACATTACAATTATATCAAACAAAAGGATAAGATATGAAATAGCATCACTGAGTTTACAGACTTCCACAATATAGCAATTTTTTCAGTTTATTTCCAAATGCAACAAAATGGCAAGAGAGAGAGAGAGAGACTGCTGCATTCATTGTAAAATAAATGCAGGCTGCTTCTTTGCTGACTGGTTGCGAAGTTTTGATTTTAGATAACTGCCAAGCTTAAATAAACTGCTAGCACATATGGAACTGTTTAAATGCAGTAATCAAATTTTGGTTATGTGTAAAACTATGCACAAGATTTATAGAAAGAAAGTAGGCACTGAAGATATTTGCCTGTTTTCTAAAAAGCAAGTTGGCCATTTATCTCCAACATAAATATTTATCATAAGGCACATAAATGCAAAAAATATTCTATTAATGTACTGGGAAGGAGAAGGGAACCCTATAAGCCTTTTAGGCAAGTTTATACAAAAAGGATCTTCCATAAAAAGTAGCATGAAATCATACTTTTAGAGTAACACTATCTTGAAAAAAAAAGCTATCATATATTTTTGACTTAGAAGAAGCAGGGTATAAAGATAAATACAAAGACTGCATGTGACCACAGATGGACGGAATGAACTAGACAAGGGGTCGGCAACCTTTAACACTCAATGAGCCATTTGAACCCATTTCCCACACAAAAGAAAACGCCGGGAGCCGCAAAATTCTTTTGACATCTAAAATGGAGATAACACTGCATATATATTTTTTTTTACCTTAATGCTATGTATATCTTCATTATGATTTAGCTGCAGCTCTTGTTCAGTCACTAAAAACTGTTATTTTTAATCTTACATTATAAACTAGTAGGACTCCTTTCATATATTTTGAATAGGAGAACAGCGTCCTGAAGAGTCAAAGTCAGTGCTAAAGGGCTGCATGCATTAAACAGCAAACCCCATAAGTTCGTTAGCAGTAAAAGCAAATGAATCTACCCACGTATCATTAAACATTTGGTTTTCTTCAGAAACTTTTCTTCGATTTATCCATGGTTGGCCTACAGCGGGGGGGGGGGGGGGGGGGGGAGCTCAGTAAATTGGCGCCGGTCTGCAGATCGGCGGCTGTGCAGTGCCAGAGATATAGGTGTGTTTAGTGACTGAGTAGCAGATGAACAGTCAAGTGCTGTGAATTGTGACAGGTCCCAAGCGCAGCTTTTAACATTCAGATGAAGAAGATTACATTGGGACAAAGAGAACCCTTTCAGCAGCGTTTCGTTTCGTGTAACATGAGAGCCTGCAGGAAGCTTGTTTAGCAGAGGAATGTAGCGATTTACTTAACTAGCTAGCGCTGCTTTCCTAAGTGGAGCTTCGAGCAGATCAGCGGCTGTGCAGGCGCGTGTTTTGAGGGACGGAGCCGCAGCAGAGGGGTTCAAGCCACGTGCGGCTCCGGAGCCGCGGGTTGCCGACCTCTGAACTAGACCATTGATGGCGAACCTTTTAAAGACCAAATGCCCCAAATGCAACCCAAAACCCATGTATTCATCACAAAGTGTCAACACTGCAGTAAACCTGAATACTGAGGATTTAGTTTAGAAAAAACTCATACATTAACATCTTTTGTCTTAAAAGAATAACACAATAACAGAGCTTTAAGTGATACAAACCTCTCTCTCTCTCTCTCCTAGGCAGCACACTGACTAGCCATGCAAAAGCTCACGGCTAATGAATCGTGGCTCGTGATGTCATCGCCAGGTGCCACTACTCCTTTCTGAGCATGCACATGGCCCCTATGTGCTCTGTTATCTGATGCTCAGCTGCTGGGGCGATGCTGGGGCAACTTGGCTTGTGTGCGGACAGAGAGGGCTCTGTGTGCCCGCTGTGGCCAGTGTGCCAGAGGTTCGCCACCACTGATCTAGGCAAACAGGCTCACTTATTTGCACACAGAGCTAGATATTTGCAACATTTTCCCAACTGCAGTGAAGCTGTGACAAAAATTAGGTTTATTTCAGATTCATTAAATTATTAATTTTAATTTGGATTGTCACATAACAGTATTGTATCATCTTGACTGGAGAACTCTGCTACCTCTCTGTTGGCTTACTAGCTTTTGAAAATCGGTTTGGCAAGGGGTATGAAACTGCAAACACACTAAAGGAAGAGTTTAGTTATTCTGACAACCACTGAGATGCTTATGCTCAAATATGGTCTAAATAAAAATGGCTTAGTCTCTTCTGGAACAAGTGTAGAGTGAAGGACTCTGATAAATTACTGGAACATGTACTTCATTTACTGCAAGAGATTTATTTAATGAAATGTTACTGTTTAACCTCCTCTATTGATATATTATTTTGGCCACTTCTCTTTACTTCTTTTAATAATATGTGCAAATGACAAGCATTGTACACAAAATACATCTGTGAATTTATAAACTCAGATTTGCATATATTAACCAGGGATAACTGTTCACAGCAGAGCTTTGTTAATCAAGGCTGGTATTCCTTATTTCTCCAAACCCAGTATTTGTGGCTCAGTTTGAATCAGGGTTTACATGCCAGCAAAACCGTGAGGGTTCAGTCACAGAATAGATACTGAACAACTACAATCAGCATGCGTAGATGTCAGGGAATGTGAAAGATGAGAGGAAGCAGCTTACTTGTTTTTAAAAAATAGGTATTAGACACCCAAAACTAGATGGAAAAACAAAACCAAACCCAGCAACCCATATACAATATGAAAGCCATAGCTAGACTTGAATAGGTTTGTAATACTTATCCTTTTCCGTATTTCCAGAGAAATGCACACACATAACTCATTGTTTTCTGTCCCTACATGTTTGCATATTTTATAACAAGAAGCATCATGACAGCCTTTACAGTTGAATTCTGCATGCATTACCAGCTCATTACTAACCCTTGCTAAAGATCAAGCATTTGGACAAAGTGTCCAAGAATGAGTAAGAGAGTAAGATGTCTTTCTAATAGCTAGCATGACTGAGCTGTTATAATTTACCGGTCCTCTGGTAGGAGTGATGGAACAAAACAGAACTCACAGGAGGCTTTTAGCAGGAAGTACCGTGTCAGTAATATACGTATGTACACCGGAAGTCCTATACCAGTGTTCTGAAGGGAACAACATTTATTGGTGCATAGTTGTGCCTGTAAATTCCGGTCCAGATCAAGCTTCATGAAGCTAGGAAAGGGGCCTCCTTATCTGCGTTATCCCCCACCCCACTGCGCACTCACTTCAGTGCTAAGCCACTAGATTGTATCAAGACAGTATTCCTCTTTACAGGCTAAAACCTTTTTATTTGCCCATTATTTTAAGGCTGCCTAGGTTTTAATGTGGGTTTTATTTTATTGGATTCATTTGCATGCTCTGCATCACCTCATTTTATTTTGTTTTTATTGTAAGACCATTCCGAGACTTTTGTAGTCAGACGGTATATAAAAACTTTAAATAAATAAATATAGATGAACCAAGAACCTCCAGACACTGGCTAACAAACCAGGATAATAAGACAGCATTTAATGAACAGAAAGGATGAGGGAAGAACTTGGCTTCAACACTCATTTCCAGGTACATAAACCTTTGGAATTATCATCGAAACCAAACAACTATCTTCATTTTAGAACTAAGACACTAAAAATAAAAGTCTAGTAATACTTACCTGTGTTAATATATAATTCCTCTGAGCTTCTTCATTAACCACCAAGCTTGCATTGATATAATCATTGTCTGTGTTCTGCAGTATTACACGACTGTGATCATCTTGAAATGAATATAATCAGGAAAACATTAAAATTAAGGTTTTCAGTATTGAAATGACTTAACATATGGCTTTAACTATATCTGTTTCCTGAAGTGCTGCTAGGTAACTGTGGTTTGACATTTTGGATATAATCCAATTAGTGTCATTCTACTAATGGAAGGTTTCCATGAGTAAAATGAGGAAGGGGTAATTCCTGCATCTCCTATGATCCCCATCTGATCTAGAGGGTGGGGGATCCCTACAGAGCATATTTAGGGATTTTCATGGGAATGCAGAAGTTAGGAGAATGTTGGATTGAACATATTTTAGATTATTCAAGTTTCCATACCTTATTGCTAAATACTCGTGTGCACCCAGATTTTTTTACAATATCAAGTTCTTTCCCACTCCACAGATAGTTTTGGAAGCAAATGCTATAGGTGGAAATATATTATGAAGCTGAAAATCCTTTCATTCAAGTATCAATTATGTAGAAAAACAGATGTTCATTGTTTATAATAATCAAACTTGGATTAGTGCATAATACTTTCCAATGCACAACACTCTTTTTAGCCAGAACAGATTTATAGGATGCTATAAGATGCAATATTGAATCTATATTGCATTGCTGTTTTCCATCTTTCTGAAATTTTAGCACTCTGCATTTTATACATGGGAACAATGTTCCCAATTTTGCATCTACTTAGGCATAAGGACATTGATCACCGATGGCTCTGACTGTCACACAGATGGCCAATGTTAGAAACAGCAACATGAGCCACCTCATTTTCAGATTATCATTTCAGGAAGCAGTTGTAATCTACGTCCAACTATCTATGAGCAGACTTCTTTTCACACAACAATTAGATTCACATACATGACAACACTTTCTGGGTAGCCACACAGGATAGGTTGTAGTACTGTGAACCAGTTTCACCAAGTTGGCTTGTTTGTGAGCACCAAGCCACCCCAACAACATGGACTGTCTGAAGATATCTGAAGCTGGGTGACCAACCCCTCTGTGAGTACAAGGAATTGGCTAGTAAAACCCTTGGTTTAAAAGAAACAAAAACAAAAAAAACTTGTCACTCTTATCAAATTAGAAATTAGCTGATGTAACTGTTTAGAAATAGAAGAAGAAAAAAGAACAAAAATGCTCAAAGAAAGAAAGAAAGAAAGAAAGAAAGAAAGAAAGATAAAGATAAAAAGAAGGCCAAGGCCATTGACCAGAAGGGGCTCCAGTTTTCCCCCCCTCGCACTGGGTTGACTTGTCAATTGTCAAGCAAAGTAATACTGAGAGCAACCAAAGACATGAATGACCTTCACACTTTAAAGGGAGATGTTCAGGGATTTTTATTCCTTTCACAGCAAGCTCCTTATCTCTCCCCCACACTCACCCAGATATTCTACATGCAGATGCACATCTTTTCTGAACTGCTGGTGCTCAGGAACATGCAAAACCACTCCCTACTGCTATCTAGGGAAAAAGTGTTTTGACAGCTAGCTACAGGAACCCCTCTGTACAGGGTTTCAGCCAAGGCATCAAATCTTCATGAGGTTAACAGTTGCAGAAGTGCAGCTAAATCATCTGTTGGGCACTACGTGGGTTTTTCTTAGAATAAACAATACACTGTGACTTATTACCAGGGTAGGTTGTTGTGATATGTGAATGTGCCCAATGTGAGTTTCTCCTCCCTTCCACCCAAATCTTTAGGGCAGATTTGGAAGACTCATAGGTGATTTGTTCTGCTGGCAGGATAACACCATTGGAGAAAACCTCATCACCCTATCTTCCCATTACGTATGTACACACCTGTAAGAGGACTTGTCGTTATCACTGAGCCCAGAGTCTGTCTAGTTCAGTTTGGGGCAACTTTGTGGCTTATAAAATGGCTCTGATTCTTTGGTCATTGTTATAGCAAAAGGACCAATAGTATGCCTAAGTCCACCACGATACTTATTGAACTAGGGATTTTATGGCTCACAGTTATTACACAGTATCAGTGGTTATGTCTTATCAGTAGTTTGCTGCTAAGGTACCTCAGACTCATCCTTCTCACAGTTCTAACCAGCAACTATCTTGCCCATGACAGGCATTTTTTCACCCATCTACATGAAGATATTTATTCAAAATTGCTAGGCAATCAATTTGGTATCAGAAACTACATATACTAGCATCCCACTGAGATGCAAAGCAAACAGAAAGATTTTATCTGCTGAACAACTCACTGAATATTGGAAATGAAGCAGCAAATGCCGCACATAACATCCTAGTTCTACACATAGTTTGCTTATGGGAAATTCACATCTCATTTGGGTTAGAGCCAGGACTTAGGTACTGAGTGTACCTGGACTGATACAATATAATAAGCACAGAGCTTGAGACTGGAGTCTTAAAGCCACAACCAAAGATGATTAGGGCTATGCTAGTAAAGAGTATTTTCACTCCCAAATCTTTCTATAAATATACCGTATATTTAATATGAGTGTCCACAATTAAATAATGCATACATTTTCTCAATAGCATATAAACTATTGAAACCTTTGATTCATAAGAACTTCCTGTTTCCCAGAAAATACATAGTGTCTGATAGGTTGTATAGGCACAACTGGTGCAATCAGCAGCAAGGTACATGTTTTTCAAAGGATATATGAGCTTGTACAAATCAGAATGACTGTATTTTAAAAGCTATGCTAAATATAATTGCTTTCAAAGCAAACTGTTTGCCTTTCTTGGAAATGAACATGTTAAAATTTCTCTCTTCATGTATCAATTTATTGGAACTCAAATGTTTCTGCTGGACAGAAACCAAAGCCTTTGTAAATACAACATGCCATTTGCCAACAGGAAAAACTTAAGATCTTGTTATAGTAAATCACACATACTGGTACTAGTGTTCTCGGAAATATGTTGTCAGCAAGTACTGTTTTAACTATTGAGTCACCAAGAAACTGCTGTTTGATTTTACATATAGGACAGCACTCTTGCCTCACTTCTATGCTCTGCTTCATCTATGGCATCAAGCAAGCTTCTTGTTTAGTTTTTCAAGTTATTCTTCACTTCCAACCACAACAAAAAGGGTAAAATTTCTCTGTGCATGTCACGAAACAACAGTTTCATTTACCCAGGAAGACATTTACTTCTGAAACAGCCAGCCCATAACTTAAGCATATGGGCATGTGAAAGAAAGGGTCCTTCTGTTAAAAGTGAGCTCATATAGTGAACCTTCCTGTAAGCAGCATCTACATAACCCCAAGCACAGAAGAACTTCACTTTCCCTGACGGTAGAGGTGACACACCAAAGTTTCAAGGAACAGATGTGCGATCCATTCTGCCTGGATGCTCCACACAATTAACTTGTATATTATTTATATACTTAATGTCCCCTTGGCAAGAGGAAACAATGATGCCCTGATTATTCAAGGGCTGTTACACTGCAGGCAAAGTGTTTGTTCAAAAAGTGAATGAGAGGATAGACTTCTAAAAATGACTAGGATGTAGCACTGTGTTTCATATACTAGTTCATGATCTGACAATTCATCCATAAGCACTTCATAACTTTGTTACAGTTTATGCATATCAGTTGCAAATACATTATAGAGCAAACTTGCCACTTTCAAATGTGTAATTAATGTTTTTTCAGGTGATTATCCCTAGCAAGTATGCTAGAGAATATGAATCTATCATTGATATATGTCTATGCCTCAGTGTAAGCTAGAACTAATAACCAGTGACAGTGAAACTGAAAGTTCCCCAACAACTTTAGTGGAAGAGGGACAGACTCCACTGAAAAAGAAAGGAGCTGTCAGCATGCATGGTTCTTCTGAGTGCCAGAGGAGTGTCTTTCTTTTGAGTGTCTTCCCCAACCCAGTGCTCTGCATGTGTCCTGAACTACAACCCCTTGCGTACCCAGCCATGACTGGGGAATTCTGGTAGTTGTAACGTAACACAACTGGAAGGTACCAGGTCGAGAGAGGCTAAGTTACTCTCCACAGTTTCCAGTACCTTGATTTCTTTATTACCCAGAAACAATGCTATTGTTTTTAAATTACTGAAAATATTTCAATAGCATTTTCTGTGAAAGATAACACTGAAGTTATGTTAATTGTATTTTACTTTTCCCCTCTAATATTTCAAGTCAAAGTGGTACATTGGATCAAAATATTAACAAGGGATACTTTTCCTGTTTCATTTATATTTGATGAACATACTAAATTAGATCACTTTAACACAACCTGAAAAAATTCCAGTGCAAATAATCTTATACAAATTAATTCAATTTACAGTGCAAATGTTTCCAGAAAATTAATGAATTTTCTGGAAACGGATAACCATGGATAACCATTTACCTTGGAAGAAATAGAATTTTAGAAAGTTCTCCAGTTTTTATTTCGACTTCACCAGAAAGAGACAGTAAACTCAATTTATCCTACTTTCAGTAAAGAGTTCCTGAAGAATATTGTGGCCTGGAATCCTTACTGTTCTCCAGTAGCTCAGAAATACATGAAAATCTAGTGTACAGGTAGTAGTACTTTTCAATGTGTAGGTTGCTCATTTAATCTTTTTAACAATGCAAACCATGTTATTCAATTCCATTCAAAGAAATGAGACTGTATGGGATTCACATCTCTAACCACATCCACAAAGAAGAACATTTGCACAATGTCTGAAATCAAATGTTCATAATACCACAGAATTTGCTACCTTCCAAAGAGCAGAAACCTTGAAACGCAGTTCCTATTTTGACTGTCTGAATGCTTAAAATATTTGCAACCACTTAGCTTGCTAGTCTAAAATCAAATGACTAACAGAGTAAATAGCACAGAAAAATCCCCATTTCCCCAGACAGAAGATGCTTAACCGCAAGAACAGGCTCTCTTCCTTCTGAAAGATACCAGAAGTATCATTTTCTCTTGTTCCAACAGCATTCCAAAGTTCAGATAAGCTTTGCTACCTTAACAGCATAAAACTAGCTCTGCCAATATTTTTATAGGAAAAAGAATAGGCAGACAACACAGGAAGTAACAGATACTTATTGAAAAGTCAGTCTTTTTAATGTATTTGGCAATCTGAATAAAAATGTTTATGCTGGTTTGTAAAGCATCTTTATTAGGTAAATGATACCTCAACTTTGCTGAAGTAAATCAAGTATAAGTTTGGTCAGTTTCTGGATGGAAAACTACCTAGGCATCCCATGTAGACACTCTGAGTTCCATAGAAGGAAGGTGAGCTCTATGTAAATGCACTTAAGAAAGCAACATAATTTTTGTAACCAGTGCACTTTAGTTTCAATGACTGCAGTAAACCTTGGCATGCATATGAAAGTGTATGCTGGACTAGCCTCAAATATAACTAAGAATTCCGTTGAACTATTAGAACTGATCATATCATAACTAGATTATGATAATTAAAAGCTTACTTACATGGGCTAACATCTCTGTATCTGTTACGATTTCGGTTTTCTGCATACTTGGCAACTTTATGCGGATAGTCATTGGATTGGTGCCGAATATCCTTTATGAAAAAAGATAGCATATTAGGTCTATTTATATACTGGCCTTCGAAACAAAAAGTTTTAAGTAAATCTTTTTTAATATATTCCCACTACAGATTTCCCGCAATAATTTTGCTTTTACTTTGTAAATTAAAAATCTAGTGGCAAACATTGCAGAATTAATATAAATGCAGTACTAAAGATATATTTATGATTAGAAACGATTAAACCTAAATTGCTAAATCATTATTTTCTAAGACATACTCTTCTGTCAAGTTGAAATGCTAATTTAATATTAGACAGTCTAAGGTTGCTCTGTCTTTCTAAATGAAATGAAACACTGAGGACCACCAACTTGAGATACAATAAAAACAGTCTAGGTCATGATGCATAGTAAGTTATTTATGGTATCTGTTACTACCAACTGAGGCACAGAATAGAATATGCAAACTGGAACAAAAAAGATTTTCTATTTCCAAATGTAATTGATGGAGTCTAAACTGAATGTTAACACACAAGAAACCACAATAGAAAACTCACATCAATCTGCTATAAGTAATGGTGGATTCAAACAATATAAATTATTAGAAGAGAGGTTGAAAGTATAGAAACATAGTACCATTATCTAACCCCATTAGCCAGTTAGAAGGCAAGAGATAAGGTTCTAAAGCAAAACAAACATCCAAACAGAACTAGAAAAAAAATCCATTAAGATGTTTTAATTACCCACACTTAAATTTATCTTTACAACAAAATCAAAACACAATTTGACATTTCAATTTGTCAGATGATGGCTCTGCTCCTAGAGATCATGTAAGCCCCAAGGGAAGGAACTGGAGGAGGCAGAATCAGTTAATGCTAACAAATGAAATCTGCCATGCCATTTGTGAAATTGTGAATACAGTGAAAAGGCCTAAGGTCCTGGCCTTAGAATCTGACTCATGGACGTTCAGGCTTAGGAGGGTGCTGAGAAAGGTTTGCATTGACAATATCACCTAATGATTAACCTATCAAATAACTGACATCCAAACACTTTAAAAAAAGGAAAAGACACATGTATTGTCAGTAATAGTATAGCTGGCTAGGGCATGCTATCTCAACTGGCATAGGATTGCACCTGAAATGAATCACACATCATGCAGCAGCTTGAGGGACAGAACCACCAAACAAGATTTTTTATAGCTAGTTGAAACCCAACAGTGTACTGCTAATTATCACATTTCCTAGAACATTTGTAATGTTATACAATACATATTCAGCATTAATTCCAGAAAGTAACTCACCAGGGGTGTCTTCATTGGCACATCTTTCTAAATATTTCCACAACTAAGTACACCTGCCAGAATTTGTATAGGAGGTTACCCTATAGATTTGTTAGTGACATTCACAATTATTCTATTTACTAACAGAGAATCTTGAGATACCTTCAAAATTAACAAATTATGGCATAAACTTCCATGGACTTAGTCAAATTTTATAAAGTATTTTCCTCAGTTGCAGGTAAATACTTGGGTGAACTGAAACTGCAAGCAATGTGGTCAGAGAGATATGAATGCAAGAAGTATACAAAAATTCTCCTTCTCCTTTTTGCCAGAACACTGACTGAGACCACTACCACTCCGGATATTCATCTTGACAGTTCAACCATTTAATTTCCAAAATATTCTTCAAAATTTTTCTTCCACATAATTTAATGTATTCAAACCATAATCAGCAGTTCAAGATATTCTTGTCATTGGCCTGGTTTTGACATAATATCAAACTATGGTTTAGTGTGGCTGTAAATACAAATCCTAATGCTTCTATCTTCACGTAGCCACATGTAAGTATTATATCCAAAGCTGAACTGCAGTTAGGCAGAATGGTAATTTACATAAACAAACCAACTCCCTAAACAACTTGAAGTTGGCTTCTTTTCCTAAACTGCAGTTGAGTCTGGATTTTGATGCACTCTAAGCTGCAACAATTTGAAAATGGAACTGAAAGCTTCTGATCTCTTCCTTTTTTTATTGTTGCATTCATTTCTATATGCCCAATAGGCAAAGCTCTCTGGGTGGTTTACAGCAGTTGGGGAAGGCCAATCCGACAAACACAAGGCTCTTTAAGGCAAAATGGTGAAGCTATAATTTAGTCTGTAAATTTTAGGAAATATCATGTGCTTAGGAGTCAGATGGTTAGATTGTCCTGACTCTCATAGGTCTATGTCTAACAATATTAAGTCTCAGTTCTAAAACTGTCTTCTGATATGAAATCTCAACTAGTTCAGATTATATTTCTTCACATTTGCACTTATTTTTGGAATGGAGTAATTAAAATAATTTCAAAACTAAGGAACATTCCACATATTACTTAAAGTATTTTATACTGCTCCTCAACCTAAAGGCTTCCAGAACAGCTGACACAAATCACTTAAATAAGATAGTTTATGGCTACAGTGTAAAAAGATTTTAAGTCACAAGGGAAAAAAGGAAGAGAATGAATTCTTTTACAGGGCTGGTCGAATGGCTAATGGAAGTAACAATTATGGAAGGAGAAGCCTTCATGTTATACAGAAGCAAATGTGAGTTTGCCATCAAGGATACTCAAAACAGGGATTTGCAACCAGTTACAGCTTCATAATGAGTGGGCCAGTATAATAAATATGCCTTTACAACATTCACCCAGATCTCGCCGATAATGTCTGTCATGCTCCTGGGTCAACTAATGTTTCAAACAAGAACTCTGATGTATATTTTTTTGTTTGGTTGGTTGTAACACCACCATACTTTTGTACTTAAACTGTATCCAGGGAGTATTAAGTCTACACAGCAATTGGTAGTACAAAACTGCAAGGGCACACAGAACCAGCATTAACAGGCACGAGGAAGAGAAAGTGAAGCCCCTTTTACGGGGTGACACCCTAATTTCTGATGTGTCGACGGGATATTCCGTTCAATCAATCACGAGCTAAATGCAAATAGAGTGTTCAGCGTGACAGCCACGTGGGGAGCAAATACAGAAGTCAGTGAGAGTAACACAGAAAGGCCTCCACGAAATAAATCTTAAGCAACTCCATCCCTCGAACCTCACCCTTCCCTTCCCTTCCCCGACTATGCCAAGCAACTTAAGCGGACCACACGGCCAGTGCTGGCGGAGATACGAGCCCGAGCGCCCCCTCCTCTTCCCCGCGCCAGGAGCCGCAATCGCTTTCCCTCCAACCCTCGAAAATTCTTTCTTCTCGCTCGTCGCTGCTCCTTCCTTCGCTTCTCCCAAGTCTCAGCCGGCACCTGAAAGAGTCTGTCGTGGCCCAGCGACTTCCTCCTCCCTCGCCCCGAGGCAACCTCTCCTCTCCCTCCGGCGGCGGAACTCCTCCGCGCCTCACTCTCACTCACCAGATAGCGAGGCTGCCAGTCGTTAGCAGCGTCGATCTGCTGGAACTCCTGCTCGATAGTCGCGGTGACGGACATAATGGCGGCGACAGCCTGAAGAGGAAGGAGATGAAGGGCCGCTGGAAACCAACAAGTTCATCACCTACCTCGCGCTACTGACTACAACCCACCCTCTGCCCGGTCGCGCTACCTTTGACTATATGCCGTAACACGCACGCAGCGTCAGCGGCTTCCTGGCGTCCTGCGCAGGCGCGCTCCCCGCTCGCTACCGCCCACCAAAAGCGGATGAAGCTCCGCCTAATCCCTGGACCGGGGAAAAGAGCACCTGAGAGCCCGGCAGTAGTCGCTTTGAGGGTGAAGTTAACGCAAAGAGCGTTAGGTCCGCACTCGGCAGAATTCGGGTTCCATTTTTGTGCTTGTGAAAAACGAACCCCTTACTTCCCTGGCGCATAAGGCACAAGCACTACCCCCATTAGACATTAGATATTGGCGGTAAGGAACGCATTCTGCAAAGCGTTTACCGCATAGCATCTTAATTGGTCCCGTTTGAAGATAATGGAACAATCTTTCCATTCCTATGTACGCACAGTCGCTATCAGAGTAATATTGCACTTTCGACATATATCTCGTATAATACAAGTTAGCGGTGCAATCTATGCAAAGAAAAAAAATACAGTTCACTGGGCCTTACTCTCAGGTTTGTATAAGAAAGCTGCCAACAATACCATCATACATGTCTATTCAGAAGGAAGTCTTGTGAAATTCAATGTTCACACTTGAGTAAATGGGCATAAATAATCGATGCTTGCCTACCCAGAAGATCAATTATTTTTACTAGAGCTTACTCCCACGTAAGTTATATTTATATTGTTATTTATTTTATATTGTTAATTTTGTATTGTTATTTTTGTATTTTATTGTATTTTATTTGTGCTGTGAGCTGCCCCGAGGCTTCGGCAAGGGGCGGCATAGAAATGTTTTAATAAATAAATAAATAAAAGTGCATATAGGTTTCCAGCCGTATAGCACAATCTTACACAGATTTAAGCCCCATTAATTTCCATGCTGCTTATTCCCAAGTAAATGGGCATAGGACTGCAGTCTTATAGGATGAGCTGATGCATGCCTCCTGAGGCTCCCAGGTAAGTGGCTACACTAATGCAGTCCAAGTGACTTTAACAAGTGTATTTTATACATTGGATTTGGCACAATAAGTAAAGTAAGTTCTAAGCTACGGTAAATGGGGAACCATCAGCCCAAGTCAAGCACTTCTATGTCTGCTGATTGCAATGGAATAACCTTAAGCATACCTCTCTCATTGAAATACACAGGATTTTAATTATTCATAGGTATTCAAATGTTTAACTTGTAGCTGCTTCATGCGTATATTATGCAAGCTCAATTATTTAAAATTATCCTAACAAAGAGTAAACGTTGTTTACCATTCAACTGTAAAAGGAAAAGTGTCTAAATTTTAAGGTGCTTTCCTGCTGTCCCTGCCTGCTATGAGAACAATAACTATCCAAATTCTGTTCTCTCTCATACATAAATCTTATCTTTAGTATACATGAATGGACCAAAAGATAAGCTATGTTTCAAAATATCGAAAATAACAAATGAGGAACAGCGAGGATCCGCTGCGCCGCCTCGCCCCCCCGCCCCCAAAATCGGTTGCAGTTATGCAAAGAGAAGAGGCAGCTTATTTAAACACTTACAGATTTATTATGACCTAAACTTTCTTGGGCGAGAGTTTATCTTCTGATACATTTGTCACTGTGTAATCCTATACACATGCCTACTCAGAAGTTAACCGAATTAAGTTCTGTGAGACTTACTGCCAGGTGTGCATGGGATTATAGCCTTGCATTTCATTCCAATACGTGCCTACTCAGACCCTGGTAAGCAGCGCTGAGTTCAATTGGATTTACTCCCAGGATAAGATTGCAGTCTTAGGTGTAACCCTTCATATAGACAGAAGAGAGTCTTATAACTCCCAGCATCTCCTGGAGGGTATTAGTTGCTTTTCTCTGGAATGTGTCTCCTCCAAACAAGAACTGCACCTCTCAACGTCTTGTCTGTGTTGGTTTTCCGTGATTTACAGCACCAGTCGCTGCTGCCCGATTAGGCTGTAGTCAAACTGGCGAGGAAACAGTACCCCAGTGCCCCGCAATCCGCCTTCCTTTCCTGCTCGAGCGCAACCGCGAGGCGACAATAAAGTTCCGGGCGTCCGGCGCCGCCACCAGGACTCTTCCTCTCTCAGCCCGGGGGAAGCAGAAAGGCGCAGGCGTCGCCTCTTTCTCCTCCCCGCCGAGGCCTGGCGGTGCACGCAATTCAACTGAGCCGAGCGCGCCTACTGAAGGCGCGTGAGAAATCGGTTGTCCTCGGGACGAGAAGCCGCTGCTCTTCCTGCGGCGGCGGCTGCCCTACCTACCGAAACGCTCTCGGCCGACAGGAGGGGGGTCCGCCGGGATGTTTGTGGCGCGCAGCATCGCGGCCGATCACCGCGACCTCATCCACGATGTTTCCTTCGACTTCCACGGGCGGCGCATGGCGACCTGCTCTAGCGACCAGAGTGTCAAGGTGCGGGGCGGGAAGGGCGGGCAGACAGAGGCCGAGCTTCTCTCGATGACGCCGGGTCTCTTGCTCTCTGCATGTGGATCTCGCGACTACTAGGTCGGCATGGGACCAATTCACGGGGCTAGGCCAGCCGGCCACCATTACAGCTTAGTCGCGCCGCGCTCCCTATTCCTGCTCTCTATCTCTCTGCACCAGGCGCTGCATCTCCCTTACCTGGTTCCTTCGCCCCGGCCTTTGCTTGGTCTGGTTTAGGAGGGCATGCAACTGCTGTGGGTGGGCCGAAAGCACTGGAAAGCAGACCTGACTAGGAGTTTTGGCACTCAGTATTTTCCCCGGTGGAGAAGGATACCACGCTCAGAAGGCCGAAGGACCCTGTTTTAGAGAAGTGTTTATATTTTAGGAAAAGTCAAAACTGTTTTATCAAGCCAAGAGCCACCTTTATCTTACGCTGCTTGCTTAAATGTAGGATTACTGAACTACAGATATATGTATTGTAGTTTGGGGTTGCAGATTTTCTGGCCACAAGGATGACAAAATAATTAGTATTTACTATCTAGACCTTTCTAAAGATAGATGGCTTTCTTTTAGAGACTGAGTGCCCAAACTGCAACTCAGAACGCACGTATTTATTGCAAATTGCCAACACTGCAATAAAACCTGAATACTGAGGTTTTAGTTTAGAAAAAAGTAAATATGATGCTGCAGATTTAAATATGCCAGGGGGGACAGCACAACATTAAAAGAATCTCAGTCTCTTAATTAGAACATCTCCTTGCTAAATCTTAGATATTAAATTTCAATTTTTCATAAGAAAACTAAAAGCTAAAATCTGGCATTAATAAAAATGAATGTATTAAAACTCACAGCCAGTCCAAGCATTGGCAGCGCACTGACTGGCCATGCGAAAGCTCAGAGGGGTTGTGGCTAATGAGTTGTGGCTCGTGACGTCATTGCCTGTCGCCACTACTCCTTTCTGAGCATGTGCATGGCCCCTGTGTGCGCTGTTATCCGATGTTCAGCTGCTGGGGTGATGCTGGGACAACTTGGCTTGTGTTTCGATGGAGAGGGCTCTGTGTGCCTGCTGTGACACGTGTGCCATAGGTTCGCCACCACTGATCTAGACCATCCTTCCCCAACCTGGTACCTCTGAGATTGTTTTAGACTTCAAATTCCATCAATCCCTGCCAGTATGGGTACTGGTCTGGAAAACTTTTTGGTATGTTGGGAACATGTAAGCCAAGTACTATTTTAGGAGTAGGCCCCTATTAGATGTTACCTTAAAAAAAAAAAGAAGTGGAATTTGCCAACTAGTAAGCATATAAGGGACTGCAGGTGGTACAGTGGTTTATACTGCTGTGCTGGTTGATCGAAAGGTTGCCCCTTCGAATCTGCACAACAGGATGAGTTCCCGTTGCTCCGTCCCAGCTCCTGCCAACCTTGCAGTTTGAAAGCATGCAAATGCAAGTAGATAAAAAGGTAACATTTTGTTGGGTAGGTAACAGCGTTCCGTGCACCGCGGTGTTTAGTCATGCCGGCCACATGACCATGGAGACTGTCTGCGGACAAGCGCTGGCTCCCTCTGCTAGGAGATGGAGATGAGCACTGCCCCCTAGAGTCAGGCATGGCTGGACTTAACGTCAAGGGGATACCTTTACCTAACCTTTTTAAGCATGTAAATCAGTCTATCCTTAACCAACACCCTTCCATAGTTTCTTAGAATGCAGTGCTATTGTACTTATCAAAAAGATGGGAAGTTCTCAAATAAAATATGCAATTGAAGGCAGTGCTGCAAAAAAGATTTATAATTTATTAAAGTCAAAAAAAGGGATTCATGTTGTAGCCAATTTTAGTGATGTTTATCTTATTCAGCAAAGTATATTCACACATTTATCACATATAATGTATACAACTTTTTGCATACAAAAGTAATACTTGTGCAAGAAAACAAGAGTGTGAAAAGTACTTCTGCAAGTAGTTTAGATTCAACAGAGCTATCCGAACTACTGTGGAATAGATGCCATTATAGCAAGGAAAGTCTCTAGGATTTTTCACAAGCCCTGATCTTTGGGCTTGTTCTTGGAACTCTAATCCTGTTACTTCTCTGCTTTTTGAATTAATGATTTAGATATAAATGTTTTTATATTTTTCTTAATAGGTTTGGGACAAAGGTGAAAATGGAGAGTGGCATTGTACTGCCAGCTGGAAGGTAAGGGTTTAAATCTGGAAAAATCTGAAGGGAACATGAAAGGGAACAAGGATTACATGAAGGGAAAAATTACTCCTTAAAATGGCAACCTAATGCATGTTTACAAAGAAAGTTTATGTGTATTCAGTGTGGCTTACATCCGTCAAGGTAATTTAGGATTGTAGTTCAGATACATAAATGTATCTGATTTTTTTGCAGCCATAATTCAGTATAAATTGCTATACATTTTAAGATCATCATTGTACATGATGTTTCATTGTACCAAAGTCACGGAACAGAGTTTTTACATCTTTCTTTGTTGAAACTAAACACATATTCATGTTTCTGTTTTGCAAAAGCCTATTTTTTACTAGCTTTTCTACCTCAATGTTACTTTTTCTCTTTCTTCACTATCCAGACCTTCTTAAATCTTGGTAGGAACTACGGTCGATAGCTGATCGACCGATTAGTACAAATTCTAAACAGCAGTACAGAGATTTCACCTTCTCTCCGCATACACACCTCTGCTAATTGCAGAAAACTCATGAGGTATCTCGTGTTTTGCTAAGATTAGGAGAAGGCAAAAGCTGCTCCCTTTCTCAAAGCTCAGTGTATTTTGAAGGCTTCCCCTGCCCCCTCTTTCCAGTTCTCTTGGCAAATATAGAAAGACTCAGTTGTAGACAGGTATTTCATGTTATATGGAACTGTGGAATAGGCAGAAGCAGCACCACCAATGTCATAGTACTTCTGCCTGCCTCAAGAGTACAGCAAGTTGTGGGAAGTATTTCATGAGTTCTTTGTGCAAACTAAACGACTTGAGAGAGGGAAGGGTCAGTCACATAAGAGCATAAGAAGAACCATGCTAGATCAGACCACTGTTCACACAATGGCCAGCCAGCTGCCCATCAGATCCAACAAGCAGGATGTGAGTGCTGCACCACCTTTCTGAAGTGTCCCAATAACTGATAAAGGCTTGCTGCTAAGCCAAAGCAAAATTTGTGGACTCCCTATTAGTACCATTGCTGGATTTTGGCTATACTGTATATTAGGAGGAGTTTTCTAATAGTGAGAGCTGTTGACAGAGGAAAAGACTATCTTGAGAGGTGGTGGTGGATTGGCTTCTCTTTACCAGAGGTGTTTAAATAGAAGTTGTTGGCTTGGCTGTCTTAAAAGAATCCTTTAAGTAGTTTGTATTGTACAAAGGGTAAACTATATGAGCTTCAGAATTCCTTCCAGCTCTGAGTCTTTCAGACATGATACAAGTGTTCAAAAATTGTGTGTGTCCTTCTAATTTCCTGCCCTATCTTCTATCATTCTTTGTATTAGAACTTTCAATAGGTACAGCCTATTCCACCTATCTTATCATCTGGTCCTATTATCAAGGCAATGATGATGATCATCACTCTCTTTTCAGTTTTCTTTCTAGTCCTCTTTCAGTCTGCCCACCACTTTGCTGATCTGCCTTTTAAAAAGCTACTGTGAAGATCCTAAGTGACAAATGGAAAGGTCCATACCCTTTTGTCTATACAGAGTCATGGTGGCTAGGACTTTAAGTCTATTCTTGTTAAAATAAAAGGTGGGGGATTTCAAAGCAACTGGGATTTAGTGGGATGTTGGTCTGAGTAGAAAGCTTTGGAGTAAGAACTACCAGTGGATCTTTGGCATTCAAATTTTAAAAAACAGACAAGATGCATTCCCATGTAGTAAAGGACCTCCAGAGTCTGCTTAAAATATTCTATATGTGTGGATCCCTTTCCTTCAATTTACAAAGTAGCTTGTTTGCTGCTCCAAGTAACTTTTAAGCTTGGGCTTCCATGCTGGATTACGAGAAAATAAGTATTCTAAAGTATCTTTGAAGTTTGCTGTTCAATTTTTACAACTACGGTCTTTTCTCTGTCAAACCTGTACATAAAATTCAATAAAGCATTCAGTCTATGAGTTCCAATTCTTAACATTCCAGACGCATAGTGGATCTGTGTGGCGTGTGACATGGGCACATCCAGAGTTTGGACAAGTCTTGGCTTCCTGCTCTTTTGACAGAACAGCTGCTGTCTGGGAAGAAATAGTAGGGGAATCAAATGATAAACTTCGAGGACAGAGTCATTGGGTAAGAGTTGAAGAGTGACTGTTTTGTTGAACACGTTTTATGTTTAGAATTAGTTTGTGGCATTCACGGTTTGAGTACTGTGTCTGCTGAATTTCACAGAAAAGATTTATTGGGGATGCTACATCCAGTACAAACTTGCTTTATTTCTATAATTTGCTTTGTTTCTGTGATGCCCTTTATATACTATAAATGAGTTTAGTGGGCACATAGAAGCTGGATTGCTCTTCCATTCAACGAAGAGGGTGAGTATAACATTGGAAGGGTCCCATTGCAAGGAGGAGAATTAAGGGCTGCATAGAGAAATTGGGAAGGCCAACAGAACTCTGTATCATTCATAAAGGAAAAAGTTGGAATCCAAGTGGCATGTCTGGTGTGATCTTGTTGTCAGATTCACTTACATGATTCATGAGAGTGGAGAACATGAAAGAAGAGCCATTATCCAAATGTTACGCACAATGTTCTGTCCATATGTAGAAACTTTGCGGGGGTCCCCTTTCTGTTAGTAGCCCCTGCAAGCTATGGGAAATTCTCCAGACCAAAACCCAATAATGCTTGAGGACCCAGAGTGAGAAGGAAATATCTCAGCTTTCCTGTCCTAGTACATGCACAGAAGCCCTTTCTGCTTGCATATGGTAGGGCAGGATAAGTGTATGCTTAATTTTATGGTTATTTTCCACATCCCTTCCTTTTATTATTGTTTTTTAAATCAATAGAGGCACTATGACTAATGATAGGAAATCGTACTAATGGATTTTCAAACATTATAAACCAGGTTTAAAACCAATGTTGACACAAAGTACTATATGTTATGGTATCACTTATACACTGTGCCAGAACCAATCAGGAACAGGCCAAGCCTCAATGGGAGAAATGAAGATTAAAAATCAGCATCTGTATTCAGCAGCCAAGAAGTTGCATCAATAAATTTCATGGCTTATTTAATCTCATTCTGCACAGTAATACTGGTTTTTAGCAGATCAATAAATGCTGCCTCTTCAGTCTTTCTCTTTTGAAGGCTCTGTTCATTTTTTAGCAGAGATCTTAAAAAGTTGTTCTACCAGCATGTTTGCATGTATTTCCTCTGTTACAAAATCTTTTCAGTTCTTGCATTTCTAAGATACAGACTGAAAAAAAAGTTCCAATTGTTACGTTGGAATCATAACTTGATTAACACAGAGAGGCAACTGATCAACTGTTCTCCAAAAGGAGGGCAACTTACGGCCTTTCAGATGTTTTGACCTCCAACTCCCATGACCCTTCATATTGGCTTTGCTGGCTAGGCCTGATGGAATTGTAGGCCCAAATAAATGGAAGGCCACAAGTTACTTATTATTACTTTATTTTTTGATTTATATCTTGCCTTTCCTACAAAGGGCTCAAGGCAGCTTGCATCTCCTCCTCCATCTTATCCCCACAACAACAACCCTGTGAGGCAGGTTGGGCTGAGAGTCTGTGACTGGCCCAAAGTCACCCAGTTGGCTCCATGGCTGAGCGGGGACTAGAACCCAGATCGTCTGAGTCCCAGTCCCATGCTCTTAACCACTACACCACACTGGCTCTCTCAGTGTCTGTCCTACAGATTGACTGGCTTGGTATCTTTATTTTAATGGGTGACTTTGAGTCAGTCATAGACTCTTAAGCCTAAACTATCTCACAGGGGTGTTGTGAGGATAAATCCAAGCCACCTTGGATTTCTTACAAGAAGAGCAAAGGCAAGACATAAATGCAGTGCAGTAATGGTTGTAGTAATACTTTATTCATGCATTTATGAAACCTGCTATTGGTGAAGGCAGCCCTTTTAGGATTACTAACCAATTTCACCTTCTGGAAAATGTGTTCCCATTGTCATATTCAAATAAAAGTTTATAAAAGCTAATCAGCATGGGACTGTTCATTTAGATGTTGCCTGCAGTATTAATACTTTTTGGTTACTTGCAATATGCAAGGGTATTTTTCCTGCTTTTAGGGTTCAGGCTAGAATATTTTTCAATTCATTTATTTAGTACATTTCTATTCTGCCTTTTTTCCTTCCAGAAACACATTTAACCATTTTGTAGTATAAAATGAATGTATTTGCTTTCCTTAACTACTTTATATCTTGTAAATTTCTAATATGAATGGTGATGTGTCGTTTAAGTTTTTCCACTAAGAAACTCCTAACCATAACATTGATCTGTCTGTTTGGTAACACTGTTTACAGATACACTGATTTTTATCTAATAACAATCATAGTGAATAAATGAGATTCTAAAGCCTTTTTTCTCTCTTTCAACTGTTGTGCTTATGTTCAGGTAAAGAGGACTACTCTGGTTGACAGTAGGACATCAGTTACAGATGTAAAGTTTGCTCCTAAGCATATGGGTCTTATGCTGGCGACATGTTCAGCGGATGGAGTTGTTCGGATATATGAAGCGCCTGATGTAATGAATCTTAGTCAATGGTCACTTCAGCATGAAATCTCATGTAAACTGAGTTGCAGTTGTATTTCCTGGAATCCTTCAAGGTGCATTATTAGCTCCTTTGACAATCTGATAAGTAAGAAAAAGTGGGGTAATAGGGACAGTGTTGAATGGTGGGATTCTGTACTCAAGTAGCTTTATTAGAACTCTTTCCATTATGGGAGTGCTTGTGCAACCATGCTGCCACAGCTGTTACTCAAATTCTCTTCTTGCACATAGTTTGGTACTAGCCCAATATCATTTGCACTAATGGAATAAGACCATGGGATATTCCATGATATTCTGTCTTTTTCGTGCAGTACAGTATTTAAAATAGTAATTGATAAATTAGGAAAGTTGGGTCTGGCAGGAAACTGAGGCTATTGAATTCTAAGGACTGACCCTGTGAGGAGGGACTATAGCTTGGTCCTAGATCATGTTTTACGTGGAGAATGTACCCTGTTCAGTCAGCCTCTCTTTCTGAGATCCTGGAAAGTCACTTCTTATCAGAATGGAAAGTGCAGTGCTTGATGGGTAACAGCCTGCCCTGCTTTAAGATAGCTTCTTCTGTTTTGTCTTATTTACTATCCATGTATCCTTGGAAGGAAATAATTTAGAAATTTGTCTTCATTGTTAGAATTCCTTTATGTTAATTTGGTGGCCCAGTGTGAGTTTGAATGTGCACCTTTGCAACCCAATAGTAAGTGTATTTCATTTTGCAATTGCAGCTCTCGTGCTCATGCTCCTATGATAGCTGTAGGGAGTGATGACAACAGTCCAAATATACTAGCAAAGGTGCAGATTTATGAATACAATGAAAATACCAGGTGAGAATGGATGGGGTGGGGAATGCAGCAACTTCTGTAATGTATTTAAATGTTTCATAATATTGCCAACATAATTCGTGCTGTTGGTATTAATGGAAATACTTAAGCACCTTGCTTCTGAGAGTCAACCATATCATAATAGTACCAGTGTGCATTACCACATGGGCCTATGTAGCCTTAAATTTTAGGAAAGTCAGGAAGCAAGTAGTCATGAAACCACTTGTGTAAAAAGTAGACACTTGATTTAATACAGTGATGAATTACAAATGCAGATTATGAATAAACAAGCTTATACACATCCCTCCAGTCACAAGCTTTCTAATACAATGGAACTTAGTATCAGTGCACAAAGACTCTTAGATATTTGTGTGGCCTTCATTCTAAGCAGAAAGCCAAAGGCTAAGTTAACCAGCAGAGGATTTTATAGCTGTTTCCCTAAATCTCATAGCTTGCTAGGGACTGCTAGAAGCTGTGAAAAGCTGCCAGTGAGAAAAAGGAGGGAGGGCAAGGGAAGCCCAAGTAATTCTAATTCTATTTTTTTTCCTTCAGAAAAGTATATAAACACAAGAATGTATAAACATCCTTCATCCAAGGATGCAGTGGCTGGAGGCTGAGTCCCCTCTCTACACTGCATGTTTCTCACCATAATTAACTAAAACCCATTGTCTCTTATTGCTGCAGTAAAGTTCTGTGCTGGACACTGTGAACAGCCCATGTTAACTCCTTGTCACAGTGGGCCAGTTTTATGGCATGACAAGCAATGGTGGGTTTTTTTAACCTTTGTTGATCTGTTCTGTTATCTAAACTCTATCATGGTATTTCCAAGGCCAGAGCCACAGAGCTGCTTAGCAAAAGGCTAACCAGAGAGTGCCGTTAACGGCTGCTACTTGGTACAACTGGTAAAGGAGTCTGTGCACACAGCCCCCAACTGAGCACTACTTCCCAGTTGCTTCTCACCCCTTCTGCTGGCTTGTTCATATATATTAGGAGCTTTGCTGTGGTGTGTGCACTTGGGGCAGAGAAGGAATCCTTTCCACAGCACCAGCCAGCAGATTCTTACTGCCGCCCCCCTTTCACAAGGAACTTTCCTCTGGTGAGCAGAAGGGGTAGCATGGTAGAATTTCCTGTGGCATGCAGTCCCCAGCTGGTGGTGGTGGCACCCACCACCCAGCTGCTTCTTGCCCCATGCAGGAAGGGCTTCTCTCGGGCACTGGTAGAGAGGGGTGCAGCTCCTTTCTACAGTGCTACCCAGCTAATTTCCCCACTTTTGCTTGCATGTGGATCACATACACACATCCTGTTTGAGCAGTGTCCTTAGAAGGGGAGGTTGTGTAGCCTACTATTGTCCTCTTGTGTTTCAGGGCATGAGCACTGTTTGTGCAGCAGAGACTGCTTGACATCCATGGCAATGGTGGCTGTCAAAGTGAGGTGCCTTATTTCTCCCTGTGGCACTGTGATATCTCCTGCAGGAATAAGAGGGAAGAAAGTGGCAGATAGGAGGAGAGTTAACATGATGAGCCTGATCATCTTTCAAGAATTGCTTGTCATGACATGTGAACTTTGCAAAGGCTAACATCACCAGTCAGAGAGATTATTACTTTGATAAATGCTGCTTGTTACCAATTGTATTATTGCACAGCCAGCTCAGTTTAACGAAGGACTGTATTTTAGAAGCTTTTAACCCTTCTGGAAAAGAAAAAGGGGAGGGAGATGCTCACAACAATTTTCTTAATATACCATACTTCAACATATTAACTTTTATACTTCCCTGTTAACCAGCCCTGAAGGGTCAGTTGACACTGATGATATAGCAAATTCACTGTTGCAGTTGTACAGTGACACTAGTTTTCATATTTTACATCAATTCTAGGAAAAAAATGCTCATTTAGGGAGCACCTCCTTAAAAATATTAGGCCATATCCACGGTGACTCATTTGTTACATTGTGCTAGCATAAATGACCTCTAGCACAGTATGAATAGCACATGCTTGTGTAATGCTTTTTCTGTGCAAATTGTGCTGGCAAGCACTATTGGCTAGAAGTCATTTTGGCTAGTACAGTATAATTTTCTGACTTACATAGGAGAATTCATCCATAAAGGGGGTTTCCTTAAAAACAACCCTGCCTCTGGAAAGGTGGTTTTACAGAAAAGCCTCTTGTCTGTGTTTTACGAAATTAATGGCTTGACTGTCTGTTCCTTTCAGGAAGTATGCAAAAGCAGAAACACTTATGACAGTCACAGACCCTGTACATGATATTGCCTTTGCGCCAAATCTGGGAAGGTCCTTCCATATACTGGCAGTAGCTACCAAAGATGTACGGATTTTCACATTAAAACCCCTGAGGTGAGTCTCTGAAGCAGCAGCTATCGTATAATGAGCAAACAGATGTGTGTGTGAGAGAGAGAAAGAGAATATTTATCTCTCTCAGGTACAGAAGCAATCATCTTCATAGTCTTATCTAGTAAGTTTATTGGCTGGTTAGTCCATTTGTAATCCATTTTTAAAAGTAGCATCCAAATAGGTAATATAATTTTGTTATTGTTAGCAATCCCGTTGCTCTCCAGATAGTCCATAGGGTACTGTAGATTGCCTCCTTGGGGCATTGGATGTTACTCCATCCATGAAAGGGGAGGTTGCAGATCCACATCCTTCCCCTTGCAGCTGGCACAAAAAGTCCTGCTCTCCATTGTCAGAAAAGCAACAAAGGTAGAAGCACTGAAGGGGAGGGAAGAGAATGCAAGAGGCCAGGATATGAATTACCTTGGGCCTCTTCCTGCCTCAACCTCTGGAATACCCCGGCTAGATAGACAAGAAAGTCTGTCTACTGGAAAAATGCAGTGTGGGAGGGTGGAGAGGTAAAAATTGCGTCTGCTGTTCTTCCTGTTCGTTCAGGGGTTTCTGAGCACTGAGGATGTAGTTGATAGGCTTCCACCCTAGATTTCTAACAAACATATTTTAAACAGATTAAACTGTAATATCAAACTTTACTTTTTTCCTCTCTAGAAAAGAACTGACTACTTCATCAGGATTGACAAAATTTGAGGTTCAGTTAGTAGCTCAATTTGATAATCACAACTCCCAGGTCTGGCGTGTAAGCTGGAACATTACAGGCACAGTTCTTGCATCTTCAGGAGATGATGGGTGTGTAAGGCTCTGGAAAGGTAAGGTTCCCCCCCCCCCCCGCCCCCGGTTACTCTATGAGATTAAATGCTGCAGTATTAAAAGATGAGGTCAGCTTCGGCAAATGGGGCGGCATAAAAATGTTTTAATAAATAAATAAAAATAAACCTAAGCACACATATTGTGAAGTAAGTGTTTTGTCTTTATGTGCTACCTCCTTTACCAAAGGTGTCATGCCTGCGTACATCAGTTGAAGAGGAGCTTGGGCAGGAGGAGGTCTTTTTGAACTTAATGGACTTTTCCTCTGAATAAGCCTGTTTCAGATTGTGCAGTAGATCCTCTTGACTGAACTTTTATATAAATATGTACTATATGTATAGTGCACTCCAAATATTTAAGATGACAATTTTCAACATTCCTGATTGGCCATACTGACTGAGGTTGATGGGAGTTGAAGTCTTAAGCATCTTATGAGCATCAGGTTAGGGAAACATAGTCTAGAAATACTTAATTTGTCATATTGTTGGCCAGAAAACATGCGATTGCAAACTTGAGTGATGAAAAATAAGTAGTTTGACTTTGAAAGCCTATGTTTTGAAGAAGAGGTTCACTTCTGCCAGTGTTGCCCTGTGGCAAAGTGGAAGACATACATGGAAATTCCCATTTAGTGCTCAAAAAACATCCTTCATGGGTTAACTCCCTGTTCTTCCTCCTCTGATCCCTTCACATATCTTTTTAATGAATCCTTTCCGACACACAATCCTATATTTTTAAAGCCTATCTGGTCTAGAACCAGATTCAAATCTAGATCTCAGACTTTCAGTCTGGGTAGATCAGGCCCACCCCAGTCCTCCAAAATTCCTCACCAACAATTTTAACTCTCTCCCTGCATGTCTGGGTAGAAGACTAAAGCACTTCATTCACACATGGGAACACACATGGGAAAGTGTATTCCATTATTTTCCTACTCCCCCGAAACAGAGGGTCCTGGAATGCCATACTGGATATGAAATACCTGAAGAACACCTGCACAATTCAGGAGACCCCCTCCCCAAACTATCAGGGAGGCCCTACATCAAGGGGATTTCCTTACCACAAACCTTACAGAAGCATAGCTCCATGTCACTATCACTGAAGAACACCAGAGATATCGTTACTACAAGAGGTGCCATTTTCTGTGCAGAAAGGTACCCTTTGGGCTAGCATACGCACAAAGTTTTTTTCAAGCTAATGCTAGCAGTGGTGACCTTCCTCAGTCTTAAGGCCATTCACATATATTCCTACCTATACAACCTTCTTCTGAGGTTCCCATCACAAACAAAGGCCCATGTGGATATACAGATGCCATTGTCTTGTCTCCAAGACCACAGGTTCTTGACATACTTCCAAAAGCCACTCCTGACCCTTCCAATCCCTCACTAGGTGGCTAAAGGCATGCATTTTTCTGGCCTATGAAATTAAAAACCTCCTCAGCTCTGCACATGTTACTGCACGCTCCACCAAGGTTGCAGCTACCTCAGCTACTAGATCTGTAGGGTAGTCATATAGTCCTCACACCACTTGTTCATAAGGCGTTATAGGCCAAACATGCTTCTGGCAAAGCCGTCTTTGGGTGCAGAGTATTATGACAGATACTACCCTCAACTGTAGGATGAGCCTGCCTTAGGTACCTGCCCTGTGATGGATATCTCCTGAGCAATGGAAAGGAATGAAAAAATTGGATACTTGACCATGAAGTTCTACCCTGAATTGGAGCTTGGGAGACATCCATACATGACAGGCTGAACACACCAATTCATAGTAGTTACCATACATGGTAAGACATCAAATCATAGAGTGTACCAATCTTTATGGAGGGATTTCCCCCCTTTTTCCAGTCTGCTTTTTTCCATTAATACATTAATGGCTCCTTAAGAACTATTCTGTTCAAATGCTCAGCCAGTAAGAACTGTCTGGGAGGACCCATAGAAGCCAGGATTTAGGCATGTTCCTTACTGGTCCCAAGTATTGGAAGGAGTTAATCCATGATGAATGTATCCTGAGCACTGATTTGGAATGGAATTTCAAATACCCAACTTTCTAGTTACCTTTATTATAATGTTTTGCTGTAAGCTTCTTTTAGGCAGGCTAAGGCCATCCTGAGGTCTTATATAATAGGATGGCATACAAAAGCTTTTAATAAATAAATAACAGGCAAGGTTGGTTTTTTATAATGTCTTTGAAGAGCCACAAAATAGTAATATTTTGAATAAAATTGCAGAAGCATCTTATATTCATATCCTGCATTTTTTTTCTTTCAAGGAACATAACTAATAACCTTACGTTCAACAAAACTACAATTGGGATTTGTGTTTTTTCTCCTCTTAGCTAATTACATGGATAACTGGAAATGTACTGGAATTCTGAAAGGTAATGGGAGTCCAGTCAATGCTAGCACCGCTCAGTCAGGAGTTTTTAATACTCCTATAGGCACAGGCAACACAAGTCTCCAGAACTCAGTCAATGGAACGTCTGCTGGCAGGTAGGCTAGTTCATATGTAAATAAAATCTCCATTCTGAAAACATTCAGACTTAGTCTCACTAAAAATGTAAGCATTTCTATATCGTCTATATCTGTAGGTAATACTAAAAACCATTATCACATCATCAACAGGTTACAGGTTCAATTCTGCTTGTTTTACCAGAATTGTTCAGAAATGCATAGTAGATCAACTATTGTAAAGTAGAATTTTCATCCAATTATAGTTCACATACTCCAGATAATGACACAGTTGTCAAAATACTCAGATGTCTCATCCGTCCTTGTATCCTTCCTATTTACAGCATCTCCCTCCTGTATCTTCTTGTTACCTCCACCGCTAATTATTCTACTGTCTCTCAACCAAGGTCTCTTTGACTTCGCACTTCTGTCCTCTGCTACTTCCTGAGACTGTTTGGGAACAGGGAGCTTCCACCAATCCTGTCCTTTGGTAGTTCTTGGGAATCACTTGGTTCAAGTAGCTTTCAGCATATGTGTCAGGCCTGCCCTCACAAATGTGGCTCTGAAAGGAGACATCGTTGACCAATGAACTTTATAAGACTGCCGCTGCTGTAGGCTACATCAAAGTTCAAGAGTATATGCTGTAGTTACAGCTTGTTCCCAGTGATTATGACACTGGTAAAATTGAAGTTGAATCATTGCAATGTGCTTTATGTACTACTGCCCTTAAGGCTGTTCCTTAAGCTTCAGCTAAGTTGCTGAGCAGGGCCACCTATCAGCAGTATGTTACACTTTTGTTAGGGAACTGCACTGGCCTATTTACTAATGGGCCAAATTTAAGGTTTTTTGTTAAGCATCTTGCTACCTGGTTACCCAAGAGACTCTTCTTCTCTATAAACACACTTTATCCTTGTAGTGCCACATTCTTCTGTAGTTCATTTCTCACAAGCTCAGAACAGGGAATTTAGTAGAATGGTACCTATTATGTGGAATAATATCTCTGACGATAGACATGCAACAATACTCATTAAGTTTTAGGCAAATATTGAAGACCTATCTGTTTATGCAAGCTATCTTTGTATACCATAGCACCTTGTGTAAACCCAGTCTGTTCCATGTAATAGTCTTTATGTTTCTATAAAATGTATACACTGCTTTGAAATTTTTAGATGTAAGCTGCTTATCAATTGATTAAATATTATTCACAATTTTCTCAGCAAAACTTAATATTCTATAAAAATATAGCTGGTGATGCTCATAATGCTATGTGCATCATGCCCCTACTGATAAGAATGAACCAAACAAGTAGGTAGCTTTTTGTTTTTTAAACGCTTGTCTAATGTGGTTGCATTTATTCAAATTAATTCACCCATTTTTCTGATTTGTAATAATTTAAAATTAACAAATTTTAAATTTGAAATTTCTCCTGCCAAATGTAGGAGAAACTGGGCAGTTGACCTATGGTGACATCTGTGTTGCTGTTGGGCAGAGGGTGGGTGTTTTATGTCACTGCCTCCTCTGCTTGTAGGTCCCTCTTGTGAACGAAGCTACAGTAGGGCTTATTTGGCATCTCTGAGGAGAAAAGGGATATTGTACTTTCACTGAATGGTGAGAGGGTTCTTACTTTAGAATTTCTCTATTTGACTTTGAAGTTATCTTTTTAGATGAAATAATGAATTCTAGGGTGCAGTTTTGATGTAACAATTAAATGCATACCAGCAGTTGTAGAAAAATCTTTAGTTGATAATGTTGCTTTATAAAATCAATTTGAAAGTAGGGCAGAGTCAACCATTCTATAGCTAATATTCTGCAGGTTCCATAGGAATAGAAATGTAAGTGCTGACTTTTACAAGCAAGCTGGTATAATACATTAAGAAATTGCTTTTATTGTTGTTAGGCCTCAGTATTGTTGTTAGTAAACTGTAGTAACATTACTAACATTTTTGAAGATAGTGTTTTTTTAACAAAAGTAAAGTTGCTTGAGAAGTTATTTGAAAAGATTAATAAACCTACCAAATACTGTTCTACAGTATTCTTATTGTGCTTATAACCATGTGTGTCTAAAATTGTGATGCATTTTCCCTTCTCCATTTGTATTATGTCCTTTTTAACAGAAAGCACAGCTGATACCAAGCTAACTGGAGTAACTTTGCTGTTTTGCTGCTTGTTGCATGCACACAGGAATGGAAAGCGAACTCCTTTTTCCCCTCCCCAACGCCGTTTGAACTCTTCCCAAGACACCAGCAGTCTGCCTACTACTAAAAGCAAAACAAAAGCCTCTCTTAAAAAAAAATGTTGTATACCTACTCTACTAGCCAGCACAGTATGATCTTGTTGGAATCTGAAAACAATGTAACAGGAAGAGCCTTCTTAAAGAAGCATTTCCGCACTCTACAAAACAAGTGTGGGAGACAGGGGGAAGTGCACTAGTGACAAGCATTACTGTTCTTGCAGGTGTCAGGAGAGAAAAATCTTAGGTGAAACTATTTCACTTTTCATTGAAATTGTTTAAATACTTGCTTTTCTTCTGTATTTTAAAGTGTTCAGATACATACTTAACCATTACGATTTTGTTCATAGATTTGTAACACATAAACATAAGTAGTCTCAAACAATGTTGGCAACATTGTAAATTGACAAGTACACAATTCACATCTGAAATTGGTTGGTACTGCTTCACAGTTAAATACTACTTCAAAATAAAGGGGAAAAGCCCATAAAAACATTAATGCCATACTTTAGTTGTTTTAGTGAGAATGAATGTACCTGATAGTTGCATGTTCCTTTGGCATGATTCCATGGAATAACGATTAAGCCTCCTTTTGGTCAAAATATGGGCTAAGCCATCTCCAAATGAATGTTTGTCATATGGCATTGACAAGTTGGTTTAAGAATTATTATCTGTTGCATTAAAGCTGCCTCAGGTTCTCTGTGGTACAAACATACTGCTTTTGTACAGTGGAGTTACTGCCCAGGATCAAACTGAAGCAGAGTCCTATTGCAAATATTCATCAGGACATGACCAAAACAAAAAGCCTTTTACATAGCGGCATGTCAATGTAACTCTAAATAAGTCCTGTCTCAAAATTGTACTAACTTGGCCATTCTGTTCTGTAAAGTTGTCTACATTTCCAAAGATGATAAAGATTACAAAGTGGTGTCTTTAATATTACGGGTAAGTCATAAAATGTGACACGGAATAGTCTGTTCAGTCTTTAATTTACCTGAAGTCTTACCTGATGTTTTTTCCAAAAATATGTATATATGCACATAGATTGTATTTGAGTGGAAGAGGAGTCACTTTTGTATATTGTGGAAATCAAAACAATTTGTTTTTACATTTATTCTATAAAATGTGCAGACAAGTTAAAGCTAAATTGGATGCAAATGCACCTGCATTATTGTGTGCCTGTCTTTCTGCAATTCTTACTAAAAGTTAGGATAATGAGTTGCATGATTGAGCGGATGTGTTGATAAGTAGGGACTCATTTTATTTACAGGTAATTTATTGTTTTAAAATGTATATAAGGCATATTGTTCATTAAGCCCTATGGTTGTGTTTCTACCAAACAGTGTTTAAACCTTCGCAATCAATATTATTTTTTGTAATTAGATATCTGATTTAGTCATTACATTTTTTTGGCATGGATTTACAAAACCTTTTCCCTCTAGCACGTGTCTCTCTTCTTTGGTTCTCCTTGTATTTACCACTATTCTTTCTTTTCCCCCCCCTTTTTCTTTTTTGGTGTTCCTGTGTTAATTGTTTTCAGGTATTTCTTTCCCCCTTTGGATTCCTCCCGGGCTGGATCAAGGTGGTCCTGTTATGCCCAGCTCCTACCTCCTCCTCCTCTGATAGAACACCCTTGTGATGCTGACACTGCCAGTCGCCAGTATCCTCACCCTCGCAGACGATATATCTCTCGACCTCTTAACCTCTTACCTGAACATGAAGGGGTTTAAGACAAATTTAAAATTGTATTAAGGGCCTTGTTCAGATGCTTGTACACTGCTTTGATTTCTGGTTGCTTCTATTATTTCTTTTTCTTCTTCCAGCAGAATTGAGGAGTGGGGGGTTTTAGGGTGTATTTTGCAAAACAAACTATAGTATTTGGAATCTACCATGTTAGTGCTTCTCCACCAAATAAGAGCCCCACCATCAATACATTTTCACTTAATGAAACAAACAGTATTCTGAGTGAGTGATGCACAACAGACAAGTTCAAAGTGCTAATCAACTTTTTAGAATTCAATTATTGTGATCTTTACATTTTAATAATTTGTATCATACATTATTTTTGATAATATACAACTGAACAGGTAAAGTTCTTCTGTATTGTAGAGGTTAAGTATTTCATTCTTCAGCACCAGCATCAAACTTCTAGGTGACCAGATTTTTGGGCATTTTTCCTAGTCCTGAGCAATAGTACTGAAAGGAAATGCAGCTCTCTTAAAATGAAAATTAGAATTGCTGTGCATTCTGAAGCAAGAGAGAAGTGGAGCATTTTAGTCATCAATATGTTCACCTTGCATAATATTTCCACTACATTGTTTTATGAAAGTAGGTTAATAAACACTTGAAAAGGTATGTAGTGTGTTGCTTTTGTTTACTTCTAAAAGTATAAAGGGGAAATGGGGTTGGGGATGGGGAGTCTAGCAGTCATCCCTCCTGTGACCAGTTTTGTTATATATACCCATATATCTTGTCTTATGCACTAGTTCCTTATCCATCTTCGCCCTGACATTTAGCACCAGGAAATACCATTTCCTGCAGGATCTAACAGCCCAAGTCAACTGGAGGGAATTGTGGAGGAGCTGATTATACTAAGAGGGCAATCTAGAACTGAGTAATGCTACCTACATCTCAAAAGGAATTCTGTGTATGGGGTGAGAGGGGAGAAGCAAAAGGAATAACAGTTACCTCAAGGCATTCATTCATTGCACACATCTCTAGAAACTGTTGCAGAGATCCCTTTGGAGCACTTCACAATCCCTTTCGGTTTTATGCACTCTAAATAGTTTGGCATCATTAGAAAATGATCCATTTCACTGTTCACTCCTAATTTTAGATCATTTATGAACAGGTTGAAAAGCATTGGTCCTAGTACAGAACCCTGTGTGACCCCACTGGTTACATCCCACCATTGCTTTTCACGTTCACTTCCCTGTAAAGGCAAGGCTAGAACTATTACCATTGGTATCTCCAGAATGTAAGGATTAACTATTGCCCTGTTTGAGTTAAAACGGTTTTTCCTTTGAGGATGTGGACTAGGAATGTCTTTAAAACTCTTGTGTATCACAGGGTAGAGCAGTTTGTGGCATTCTAGGTTTTTTCCAGCGTACAACTCCCATCGGTCCTAGCTAATAGAGTATCTCTGGGTCGTATAGAAATAAATAATAAACTTATTTAATTTAGTAATATTATTGTTGATAATAAAGCTGTCACAGCTACCAGCAACTTCAAACTCCCCTGCAATCCACAGCAGCCAAGTTTAGTTCCCCTTCTAAGCCTATTTGAATGCGTTCAGGTACTTGCGTCACTCTTTATCGTCCAATGAAAGAAACGCAGCATTTCGGTTCGTGTCTTTCTCATAAGCCAATAGAATTATTCTGCGTTCCCCTGCCCCGCCCCTTTCTAAAACGAACTCTAAAGCGGGTTTCCTATACGCCTCATAAGGACGCGCGGGGGGGGGGGAGCGCCTGCGCAGTTGAAGAAGGGGAGGGGGAGTTCCTCTCTCGTCAAAAGAGTTCGGCGGCTGCGTAAGGTGGGAGTCGCCGTGACGCTTTCGAAGGGTTCGTCGCGTATGAATTCGCGTGTTCTCGGGCATCCGCTCTGTGCTGCGACCCTGGGCTCAGGTGAGCGTTTTGTTTTCAATGGGAGGAAGGCTGAAAGCGGCCGTTTCGGGTCTTGGGTGGGGGGGGGGGGGCTTTCATATCTCGCTCTTCGTCGCGAGCCGTTTCGCGCTTCTTTCCCCCTGCCCGACTCCTCCCGCTTCCTTCCGCTCCTGCTCCTGGCGATGTAGTCAGCGGCTCTTGGGCTGGCGCGAGGAGGGAGGAGAGCGGCGGTCCCGTTGAGCGGACTTCTTTCCTGTCTTCGCCCTTTGCAGGGGAATTAAACACGCGAGATGGGAGCTCTCCTCTTGTGTAAGGATTGTCCTGGGGGGAAGCCGTGATTAAGCCACGCCTGCCCTATGCTGCGCGCCTGCCCTGATAGTGTTAATAGCCGCGTGTGGTACTCTTCCTGAATACGAATACTGCTGAAGGTGGCTGATAATTTGGCCATCTTCCTACTGAACCCCATGACCTACTTTAAGTGCCAGGGGTTGTTTTTGTCAGGAAATGTGTTCACTGCGATTGGGGCAGGGTGGATTTGATTTAAATCATTAGTAAGATTAGATTTAAATCAAGGTTTTCTACATAATTTGCACGCATGCCTGCCTTACCCAGAGGAACTTAAAAAATTCTATCACTGGGTCTCTTTTAGGACCTGGTACAATTGTAGGTTTTCTCCTCCAGGGGAAGAATAATATGATAAACACAGAAAAGATCCAGTAACTTGTGAAGTATTCAGCTCAGAAGGTTTCACTTTGGTTTTTGCTGCTGGCTCCTCCTCCCTCACACTTAGCTTCTTGTGCAGATCTATTTCACTCCCAACAATCTTCTATTCATTGAATGTTTTGAAACTTAGCACTTAAGAGGTAAGGGATTGACTCTGTGTACATAGATTTGCAAAGGAACAATAGGATTAAGGTCTTTTTCTTAATTCTGTATATTTTATAGCATTTTTGCATGTGAGCTCTGCAGGCACAAATTCACAGCTTTCAGAACTGTAAAACTAAGTGTCTGAGATAATATTGTCTAGGTGGAAAAATTGCCCAGTAATCTCGCAGAAACCTCTGGAAGAGCATGATATTGTGAATGGGTTAATGGCACTCATTTACAAAAAAATTAAACATTGCATGAATATAGAGCTTCTTGCTACATAATTGAAAACTCATCTTTATTTCATGATGAATAATATTTGTACTACAAAGTATCTTAAATAGAAAACTATATTTAGATATTTTTTTACTCAAAAAGCATTTTATTTTTTAAGAAATCCAATTTAAATTTTAAAAACAGATTTTTACTTTTTTTTTTTTTAAAGAAAACATGGATTTTTATTCACCCTGGATTGGGATCTTTAAATATGTGCAGAGTGCTGCTCTTTCACTCTATTACAGCCTGTGTTCGCATGCTGCAGTTGAAGCTGAGGCCCTTTCTGGTTTTGTTGGCAAGTTGTGAGAAAGTTACTGCTGCTCTTTTCAGCAATATGCAGATGGCAGTTCTTTGAGCCAGCACTGGTGACCCATCTGTCTCTTTACACAGTTTTAGTAGAAGGGAAGTTCTTTAATGAGTTTCCACAGATTTAACGTTTGTAGCTGTATTAATCACAAAAGGAAATGCATTTATTCTGTATATTGTTAAAGGATTTAAGTTGTGGACTTTTTTGCTGTAGGTTTATGTGTTTGGAATTGTATGAAGCTCCCCACGCAAATGGTTTACTTCCAAATATATATGCATATAATAAATACTTAGCGGCTCTCACTACTCAAGCTCTTCCTTTTGAAGTAAATAAAGATTTTGGCCCAAAGAACCTTTATGAAATACTAAGTGAACCAGGTTTTTCCTGTTCTTGGTTCTCCTTCAGCTGCTGATCACACTAGAAACAGGTGGGAAATCCATGCCAATCAGCTTTAAAAGCTAAATTTAGTGCCTACACTGTGTGTGTAGGCTAAATTATCTAATAGCCTTTTCTTTGGGAAAAAAATGCATATTGTAAAACAGTTCTCAAACAGTGCATATATGTTGGTGTTTACTATTTGCTCCTAGATCACTTTATTGTTACAAATACTTTAAATCTGTAATTTGTTTAGATTTTGGGAGGGGTAGGTGTTCTAGTTCTAATTTTGGACTACTGTGTCATTCTGCATCCAAAGAATTTGTAGTACCTGTTCCAATCCTTCAATTTTGTGTTTATAACTCCTAGTGCCTTTTGTGAAAGAAAAACAAAATACAGTTATGTGTGTGTCTTTGAGGGGGAAAGCGAAGTAATGTGTGTTCTTATTTTCCTAGTAGAAAAGCAGAACAATAATCAAGAGCTTTTTCAGTTTGCTCTTGATTATTGAGCTCTTGTATCAGTGTTAGAACTTTATGACATAAAATGGGTTCTGGCTGTACACTTAAAATCTAAGTAAACAAAAGGACAGAATGTAGTAGAACACTGATATACCGTACTCCTAAAATGAACACTTAATTGGTGTTTTCTTACTGTGTTCTCAATTTTTATTAACTTTGTAGGATAGTTATGAGAGAATGGTAATATGGAAGACATCAGAAACATTGCGGATGAGACATTTCCAAGTTTTTTGGCCAACTCAATAACTAGCCATGCTGGTGAAATTTTGGATAATATTACAATTTCGTCAAACTTTGGTCTACCAGTTGCTGCTTCTACTGAAGCCAGACAGAGAACTAGCTCTTATGACAGGTAAAATATATGCTAACATATAATTAAACATATGTACAGGATTACAGAGGGGATGTATTGACTAAAGAATTGTTTGTGGCTGTTATTTTCTATATTTAAATTTGCTTCCAGGCATGGCTTTCCACTTCACAGATCATATGATTCATGATATAAAGAAAATCTGGATGGGTTTCAAATCCTTTTAAAAATTTGTTAAAATAGATTGTAAGAACTGGATGGGATCAGATGGGGAAGTTGACAAATAATTCTGGACTAGTAAAGGGGCTGTTGGAGAATACTCTTTCCATTTGGTCAGGACCTGGCGCTTATCTTCCTGTTTGAGATAACCATCTACTTTCTTTAGTAATGCTGAATAGTGGAACTGCTGCAGTAGTTATGAAGCATCATGGACAACAGTAGCTGACATTAGTGGTAGCTTCTAGTGCACTTTCTCGTGAGCTGCCAGTTTTGGGCAAGAACATGCATGCGGATAACCATGGCATCCACTGGCTTGGATCCCTGTTTGTGATAGCTAAAATCCTGCTCCTTATTTTCAGAGAAGGCATGCACATAATTGGAATAAGTCTCAAGGTTTTCTGTGGGAATTGCTCCCAAGTAAGCATGCATAAGTTAGCCACTTAGTTCACTTAGTCCATGCACACTTACTCGTCTAAATCTTAGCAGACTTGGTGTGATTTTTGAGCAGCTTCACAGACTGTTTATCCCAAATCTCACATTGAACTTCTGTTTGAGATCAGAGATAAGTCTTTGCTCTCCTTTCCTAGCTCCCAGGTTTGGAATTGCAGTTGACCAGCACAATTCCACGTAGTTATGCTGGGCAAGAGGTGTTGTTGGATAGCCAGCACACCTGTGGAATGATCAGTTTTGCCTTCCCTCCATCCCACAACTCTAAACCTAAAACTTGATTTGACATAAAAGAGCCAAAGGATGTTTCCGGTTTTTTAAGTCTAATTATATAACTGTTTGTTTATTTATTAATGTTGTAAGCCGCCCCGAGGCTTTTTGCAAATGGGGCAGCATAGAAATGGTTTAAATAAATAAATAATGGACTTGGAGCGTCTCTGTTGCCTCTTACCCCAAACAATCATCTCCAGTCTTGAGCTCCAGACCTGGAAGATTGGAACTATACCTTTCCTTCCTTCTGGGAGCTACAGGAGGAAACCTCCACAGTAGCTTGGTCACAGTCTGAATGTCATTGTAATTCTGCTGGACAGGAAGCTGGAACACCTCCTTATTCTTTGTAATGGTGGTGGTGGTGTTGTTAGTCGCAAAGTTGTGTCCGACCCATCGCGACTCCATGGACAACATTCTTTCAGGCCTTCCTGTTCTCCACCTTCCCCCGGAGTCCACCCAAGCTCATGCTGACTGCTTCAGTGACTCCATCAGGCCACCTCATCCTCTGCTGTCCCCTTCTTTTGCCATCTGTTGTTCCCAGCATTTGACTCTTCTCCAGGGAGTCCTTCCTTCTCATTAGGTGGCCAAAGTATTTGAATGGTGGTGTAGTGAGTTTGAAATGTAGAAGGCTGCTTGGATAAGCTCTATTTGCTTAGGGAAGATAGTACAAGAAGATACCCGTGAGTGCAAGGATCCCCTTGTGATCTTGGTATAGACCAGGGGTTGGCAACCTTTTAACACTCAAAGAGCCATTTGGACCCATTTCCCACAGAAAAGAAAGCACCGGGAGCCGCAAAACCCTTTTTACATCTAAAATGAAGATAACACTGCATATATCATTTTTTACCTTTATGCCATGTTTAAAAAAAATAGTATAGTGTGTTGCATTTATGAAATCAATTAACTGCTACAGAGAAAACAAATTTTTATTTCTGCATGCAACAAAAACATTTTGAACTCCGAAAAAAAAAGATGCTAGGTTGAAGGTTACTTTCAAATAAAATAGTCAATGTCTATTTGAGTCCTCCTTGTATTTATGAAATAAAAAGCCAAACTTAAATTATCCACCTGCAGCAAACCAAAAATGCTGTCTGCTTCTGTGTGCCCTCATCCTTTTATCACATGTACTGGAGGGTGCAGTCAGCAGTCAACCTGAATAAAAAAGGGACTAATTGGTACTTTCATACAGTAAGTAGAGTTTCTGCAATACAACAAATATAAATATTAGTCGGGTGAAATATTGAACAAACATCCCTCTCCCAACGTTAATAATGTTGGTGGAATTTTTATAAGAATCTTAAAACAAGGAAGTAGATCTATAGCTTCATTGTGATTTAGCTGCAGCTCTTGTTCAGTCACTAAAAACTGTTATTTTTAATCTTACATTATAAACTAGTAGGATTCCTTTCATATATTTTGAATAGGAGAACAGCCTCCTGAAGAGTCAAAGTCAGTGCTAAAGGGATGCCATGAGTTAAATAGCAAACCCTGTAAGTTCGTCAGCAGTAAAAGCAAATGAATCTTCCTACATACCATTAAATGTTCGGTTTTCTTCAGGAACTTTTCTTCAATTTATCCATACTTGGCCTACCGGGGAAAAAGCTTCAGTAAATCGGGGGCAAGTCGCAGATATAGTTGTGTTTAGTGACTGATTAGCAGGTAAACAGTCAAGTGATGTGAATTGTGACAGGTCCCAAGCACAGCTTTTAACATTCAGATGAAGGAGATTACACTGGTACAAAGAGAATCTTTTCTGTAACATGAGAGCCTGCAGGAAGCTTGTTCCACTCTTTCCCTGCACAATAGCAGAGGAATGTAGCAATTTACTTAACCAGCTAGCGCAGCATTCCTGAGTGGATGCCTCATCATCACCTATTGGTATTTTGTAACTCGGAGCCTAGATAGTAGATCAGCACTATGCCATTGCGTGGTTTGAGCATCAGAGCTGCAACAGAGGGATTCAAGAGCCACGTGTGGCTCTGGAGCCGCAGGTTGCCGACCTCTGGTATAGACTGAGATATTATTATTATTATTATTATTATTATTATTATTATTATTATTATTAACATTTCTATGCCGCCCCTTGCCGAAACCTCGGGGCGGCTTACAACATGATATATGTACATAGAATTATAAATTAGTAGAGTTGGAAGACCATCAGCTCCAAGCCCCTGCTATTGCAGGACACTGAGTTACACCATCCAATTGAGATGACTGTCCAGATGCTTTTTGAATGTCTCCAGTGAGGGAGAGCCCACAACTTCCCGAAGTAATAGGTTGCATTGTCATACTGCTCTGAATATGAGGAAATTCTTTCTGGTATCTAGAATAAATCTGGTTTCTTTTAAGTCTGTTATTCTGTGTCTTGTATTCTGGAATGAATGAGAAGAGATCTTGTCCTTCTTCTTTGTTACAGCATTTCAAGTATTTGTAGAGTGCTGTCATATCACTCCTCATTTATGTCTTCTTGAGACTGAACATGCCTAGTTCTCTCAATCTTTCCTCATAGGGCTTTGCCTCCAGTATCTGAATTACCCTTGTTGCCTGTTACAGAAGAACTACTGACAGAGTAACCCTTCTGTCTCATATTTCCATTCATAAAATGGAAGTTGAGAAAATCCTACATAATGAGATCTTGGTGGGTGAATACAGGTGGCCAGTTTACCGTGTGGTTAATCTGAGAAACTTTATTCACTTCATAAATGTTTTGAGTGAAAGTGTACAGAAAACTGGAGATGTTTGCAAGTGCCACATTGGGAGCCTATGATCTAAAACCTTTGTGCTCACATGGGTCATGATTGACATATGTTTTGGGGTAATGGAACCGCATACTTTATTATGATTAACACAAAGACAAAATGATATTTACCTCTTCTCTCTAAATATCAAATCCTGCAATTAAATGTAGCATGGTATTGCTTTTGTGCTTGCAGTTTACCTAACAATTGCTCATTATTGGTTTGTTTTTATAATGAAAGAATATGTATTGTATCAATATTATAAGAAAATCATATAGAATATTTCCAAAAATCCCTGATAAGAACCTTGTTGAAAATGTGCCTGGTAATAAATGTTTTTATTGCTTTTACTGCAGACTTTGTGATCAAATTTCTTATACGGAAAGGAAATTCTTAGCCTCTTCCAACAGTGGTGAATCAGATCCCGATCCAAGAAGGAAGCTGATACTTAACTTTCAGGATACTGTGTAAGATATTGATTATTTATGTTATATGTAACACAGTGCCCTTTTTTGAGAATTAATAAGATTATATTGTATCCAAAGGTTCTGTTCACAAAAGGGTCCCTTTTGCTTGAGGATAGGAAGCTTACGTTGGATCCATAATAGCATTCTTGTTCAGTGTGAGCTTATTAATCATTCTCAAGTGTGCAATACATAGCTTTTATAAAATACTCATATTAGTAAAATACTAATACCATTTTTATAAAATACTAGGTCCTGCATGATTTTTTCCCAGTCTAAAAAGTTGAAATGCCTATCCTAAGGCTTAGAATACAGTCCACTGGGGCTGACCTGAACCCTCTTAACTCAGAATATTATGCACATCCTATTCAGAGTGACAGAACTGCAGAGTCAAAGGTAGCCTCCCTAATTTTGCCCAGTAAAGCAGATAGGGGTCTGATTTCTGTTTTTCATGTTCTCCATTAATCACACATATGCAGATGGTTCTTTCCATGGCAGCAGGAACAGAAGGGCAGACTAATTGCAGATCTGTGACTCCAAGGCTGGAGCTATTTGTTGAGAGCTAGTCCTTTCCCTTCTTCCTTCAGGCTTCAGGAACTCAAGACAATCCTTTGAAATGCAGTTCTTTTTCTGAAACTCAGCATTTGACAGAAGAGTTTAAGTTCTAAATAGCCGTCTACCAAAACTGGAAGGAGAAGTATCCGCTCATGTAAAGAGCTGAATCCAAACAGTAAACTTCTCTGCAGTCCCTTACTTTCAGTAAGACTGCTAGTACCACCCTCAGAATGTCTCCGACCATTGAAAAGCAAGGCGCTGAGAGTGATGGAGCACCTCCAGCTGAGCAGTTCATTTCTCCTGACAACTCTTTACTGGGTCAAGGGTTAGGTATTGCATACACTCCCCCTCCATTCCTGAAAACTCTCCTGTCTTTTCAAAGCAGACTAACTCTCATGCTTATTATGGGAAACTTCACTATGCAGGCTTGAAGGAGTATTTCGTTCCTTGCTCCTGGGCTGCCACCTCTGCTTCAGAACTTGATGTTACCTTCCAGTGCTCTGCCTGCAATGAGCTATAGACTGACCCGCTGTCTACACTATATTACAACTTTGCAGCTGGATCTAGAGAAGCTCTCTAGGGATTGCTCTGTCAGTTCTTGGCAGTAAGAGCTTTGAGCTCGAATTTGTTGGTAGTTTTGGCCCTGATCATCTCTAGAATGCAGCTCCTGGTTCTCCAAAACTGAAATTACTCATTTATTTTGTTATCACATTTGTTTGCCACCCCATGCCCAAAGGTTCTCTTAGTCCTCAGCTTGGAAGAGGATCAAGAGCCTTACTCTAAAGGCAAATCTTACTACTTGCCCCTGCTAGATTATGTACACTGTGCTTGATTGCTAATATATAAGGTCTGTTAAAGGAAAAATAACTTTCTGCTGAGAATCCATCAATAGATGTTGCCAGTAAAACAAGCTTGTACTAATTTTTTAAAGAGTAGTAGGGGACAACACCAAGTCATGGGTTAATTGTGTATATTAGTAGGTATAAAGGACTTGTATCTATTTGGGATGAACCTAAATGAGTTTTCAAATGTTTATTTTAGTTCCTATTGCTTAATTTGATATGTTAATGTTACCAGCTGAAAAATATGGGTTTTGTTTGTTACTGGTAACAATCTACACTGTACTTGTGCAATATATTTGCACTTGGGACTGTAGTTTATCATTAAAGTCCTCTAAATATATTCTAAACTAGATAGTTCGGTAAGATTAGTTTAACAAAATTGTTGCAGCAGTAAGTACTTAAAACTGTTAGTAGCTGTTATTAAATTATTATTAAACATAATTATAACTTTCTTAGGGAAAACCATAATAAAGTTACAGAAACTCACTTAGAGTTGGACCAGAATGAATCTAATATTTTACAGAGAAGACAAAGCCAAAATTGCACTGATACCTGCTCAGGTAACAGTCAGGATATTCTGCATGAAAAGCTTTCACTTGAACACCAGGAAGGTATGTGGTTTCAAGCTATCTGTTGATTGAATTTTAGTATTATGCAATGCATCCTGAATATCTGTACAGTATGATATTTTGTTAGCATTTGGAGAAGTACTAGTGTGATGTCTTTGAATGGTTTCATTTCCATATCACCTCATAGACAAAACAATAAAATACAATACATATACCATAAAATCAAAGCAGCATTAAAAACTTAAATGGATAAAAACATACAATAACGAGTTTTTTAATGATTGACACATGAAGAAAGATGGGGAAAATGCCCATTTCCATTTCTTTCAGTACCATCCATAGCTTCTCATGATCCAGACAGTGAACAGCTTTGCTGTAGTGTATAAAGCATAGACTGTTCTTCTGAAATTCTTTGCACTCCAGTAGCCAATACATATTTGTTGGAGCATAGTTTTGAATGATTGCTATGTTAGTAGGTTTTCTGAGAATTCTGGTAAGATCTGGCCAGATTTGGCGCTGTAGCCACTGTATGTGCTACTGTATGTCTTGCCTCAGTACTAAGAGTCACTCCATTTCTTCTGAGCTTATCATTTCCAGAGCAAAGTACTTTGTGTTTATCTGACTGATAGCATCCCATTCCAGTTCATTAACACCAAGTACTGCAATGTTTAACCATTCCATTTCTTGCTTTATGAATTTGCAGTATGTTTCTATAATGTAAGCTTTAGGAATCCTTGATCTGAGATTTGTATTCATATTTGTATATCGTAAACTGTATGGATTACTACTATGAGGGGACCTTTTTGCTGTTACCACTCCATCTTCTTAGAGAGGCTTGCATTTCTGTACCACCAGAGGTTAAGCTTCCTAAGTATGGTTTACATTAGATTCTAAAAACAGTACAATATTTGGAGTCAAGTGCTGTGAGTATGTTGATGACACATAGCTGTCTCCTTGTGACAATTGAATCAGGAAAGACCGTGCAAATTGTGAGTCAGTGCCTGATGCACCACTGGACTGGATCCTGACAAGATGGAAGCTTGGATGGGTGGAGTGGTTCCCAAGTCTGAGAGAGAAGTTCATTGCTTCTTCTGCATTTTGTTGCCCTTCCACTGAAAGATCAAGTTCCTAAACAGATTTGGGGGTGGGGGTGTTACTTCTAGATACATCATTCTTGTCCCAAACAACCAGGAGCAGCTTGGAGTACCTTTTATCATCTCTGAAAGGCCAGCTGTGGCCTTTCCTGGACAGGGACAGCTTGGTTAGAGTGATACAAATGCTGACAATGCCAACGTTGGATTACTGCAGTGCATTTTGTAGGGCTGTGCTTAAGGCTGGTCTGGATGCTACAGCTAAGTGCAGACTGCAGCAACTCAGTTATTGCTGGGAGTGGCCCCTTTTCAGCATGCAAACACTTCGCATTTTTGCTGCTGGCTCAGGTTTAAGGTTCTGGTGTTCAGTGTCCTAAATAACTTGGGGAAAGGACACTTGGGAAAGTGCCTTTTTCATTAAAAACTTGTCTGGGCATTTAGGTCATCAGAGGCTTCTGTGGAATTCCCTGCCTCTGGATATCAGGCAAGCTCCAGTACTGAATTAGTTTTGATGCCTGCTACAGACATCTTTTTTTCCTGTACCAGTCTGGTTTCAATGTTATCCTGTTTCTAAAGTATTGGGTTTTTTTCTTTTGTTTTATCTTTTTATAGATATTATCTATTTGTCTAGATACTAGTGTAGTATGCAAATGCTGGGAATAATAAATTGCATATATTAGAAATAACTGGTTGCTGTTTAATTTTCAGATTTGACAACTATAACATTTGCTGCACTGGGGAAAGACAGTGAAGGCCACAAGGTGACTTTTTCTCTGCAGTCTGATAATGTAGACTTGACTGAAAAATAATGAGATATGGCATTAGCTGCTTTGTTTTTATTCTCTGCTTTCTCTTCATCCATTCCTAATCTCTAAGAAGATCTTTTCTCTTAACCCATTACTAAATTTACTCAGCTCGATAAGGGATTTTGTATTTAGAAGCCTGAAGTGTATGATTTCTTTTTGAAGGCTCATATCTACACATTTGTTGACACAAGAATAATTCTGAATAGTGGAAGCGGAACTTAGATTTGCCAGAGTCATCCTGATTCTCTTTCAGCAAGACCTGTTCATTGATATGTGTTGTTTTAATGCTGTCCATCCATTTACTTGGAATAGAAGTTAAATGGCCTATACTTTATTGGATTCCCATTTAAATATCCTTATGGGATAACTATGCCTTGCCTGTGAGTTTTTCCTGCAGTCACCTGGAAACCTTTGAAAATTTAAAAGGCTTTTGAACTGATCCAGCAAGAAACATAAGTTTGAAGTCAGTTCTATAAGTGTGTTATTAAAATGTATACATTGACTTTGATTTGCAGGTTGCTTCATTGGAATCCGGTCAGAACTGGATAACAAGTGAAATGGGTGACAATGCTGCTGTGACTGGTTTTTCCAGATTTATAGAAAATGAAAAACTATTGAGCTTTACAAGTCTAGAAGAACATTCTACAGGTATATATTTGTAAAAAGAAAGACTTGGCATAGTTCCTGTTTCTACTAGCTGTTGCTTCATGTGGATAACAGCAAAGCAAATGTGTATACTGGTGTTTTTCTGTAGTATGCATGTTGAGTGTACAGGACATACATCCAGAGACTAGAGGAAGAGTGCAAACAGTAAATACTGCATGTCTGCAATCTTGACAAATGTTTCTTTTCCATATTAGATGATGATCTTGGAGATGAAGAGTTCTGTGATGAGCAGTTGGAGGCCTATTTTGAGCAACTGGTATTGCCAGAAATGGAAGATATAGAAGAACGTGAGCTTGGTGAATATATTGAAGATGTGGAATTACCTACTAATCAGGTAATACTTAGTCAGTGTAATACTGAAGGCTTGTAGGTGAACTATTGCAACATACTCATAAACCCAGTTTCTGATGTTCAGGTGAACAAACGAATTTCTTCCTAAAAGCATGGAGTCAAAGCATGTTGGAGGATTTCAGTTAACTGTGGGGCAGTTGCATTTCTTAAAGCAAGGGCCCAGCAAAATTTGCTGCTTTTGGATATCTTTGGATAGGTATACAACCCTTGCTCTTGTAGTGATTACTAGAGAGGACCTTGTAGCAAACTTTGTAATGTAGCTGCTACAGATAAAAACATATGTAATTTCATGTTGAAGAACGAGTGGTGTGGTTTGCTTTATTTCCGGTCAGATTAGAGCTGATGATCAAAGTTTACATCAGAAAGATTTAATTTTTACAGTAGAATAGTGCTATGGTGATATTTTTTTCCTTACCTCTTTTAATTTAGCTGGCAAAGCAGCAGTTCTTAAGCATTTACAAGTGTGACTGAAATGCTCCCCATGTTGAACAGTCTAGGCAAAATTCTCACATCTTTGCCTGAAATCTTTCTAATCTTGCTTGTATTCTCAGTAATATTTTTTAAAAAGTTTATTCAACAGCATGTAGCAAAAGCTTACTCATAAATTTTTTAGGAAAAATTCCAGATTCCAAGTGTTTGCCGTGCAACTGCAGGAACTGATTCTCCTGTTCCTAGTGATAAGGAATCATATGATCTTAAGGGAGCTGGGCACAAGTTCATCCATCCAATGACAGCAAGGCAAGAGGTAAGTAATTAGTTAGATACACATAATATTTAGAGCAATATGTATTGTTTGCAGGTAGTACAATGAGGCTTGATGTTCGTGTGTAGTACTTCAGAAATTTTAAAATGATTCTTCCATTAGTTTTATGTACATAAGTCTTACTCCTTTTTCTTCCCAACAGGAAGAGGAGTGCTGTAAATCTAGTCTTAAATCTGGGCACAGTGGTAGTTCGGATAAATCTCATGTTGGAATAATAGGTGATGCCTCTGAAGTACACAGTAGAACATTGGATTCTCAACATACTACTTCAGATGTAAAAGGTAGGCTATCTTTGGCAGCTCGTTTATTTATTTTATTTTATTTAGAATTTTTGTAGGCTGTCCCATCGCCTGAGCCTTGGGACGGCTTACATAACATAAGCCGTCCCACGTTTATGTTTCATATTACTGGATATATGCCAATTTGGTATTCAACTGTTCATGCATTTGGTGTCTCCCAAGAAAGGTTCTGAACTAGTTTTAAGTATCTGTTTTAAAGTGAAAATTGTATTTAAAACTTGAGGAAAACAGATGAGGAAAACATAAATTTAATGATGGAGCAGAAGCCCTGAAAAAAGATTAAAAATGCAACCTAAAGTATAGTGAGTTTATTTATGCTTTTGGGTTGTATTCCTTTTTACCAAAAATAGCACTCAAGCCAGCTTATCACTAATAAGACTTGATAAAAACCTTAATAGGCAAATAGCTTTCAGCTCAGCAGACCCACTTACACACTGAAGGCCCATTTGAATAAAGCAGTGTTTACCTTGCTGGCAGTAAGATATTAGAGATCTAATGAACTTAAGCCTCTTTAGCAAGAAGTTCCACAAACTGGGAGTGGCCACTGAGAAGGCTTTGTTCTCCAGGTTGCTGTAAGGAAGGCTTCCAACAATGGGTTAAGGCCTTCTGTTGTTCAGGGAATGCAAGCACCTGAGTCTGAGTCTTAGTGTGCCCCCTAAGATCTGTAGGAAAGGACCTGCTCTGGGAACCCTCACTGAAGGAGGTAAAGAGGGTGCCTACCTGGAGGAAGGCCTTCTCTGCAGTGGCTCCCAGACTGTGGAATGCGCTCCCCAGAGAGGCTTGCCTGACACTGACTATATTCCTTTTGGCGCCAGGTAAAAACCTTTCTATTTACCCATTATTTTAAGGATTAAGGATTTTTTAACTGGTTTTAATATTTACTGTTGCATTTTGTTTTTTGTTGGTATTATGCATGTTGTTTACTTATTGCTCTGTTTATTTATTGTTCTAATTATTGTAATCTGTCCTAGGATGATTTTCATGTAGGACTGGGTAGAAATATTTAAATAAATAAACACACAGAGCTTCCTTTGTGCCCATGGGGCCAGGACTGCTTCCGAGGGTACCAGCACTTCTGCTGCTATGCAGTTGCAGCCTTTATCAGGCTGTTTACTTGCCTATGATTGTCTTTCTACTCAGACTTTAGATTTATCTTCCATCTCTGAGATGTGGAGACAGATGCAACTGGGGCAGGGAAAAGCCTGGGATTGGCTCTTCAGGAATTTGTCATATAGTCCCTGCTTTTCCAGGGCAATTAAGGGAATTAATCCATCCCACGCACCAACCCAGAAGACCCCTCTTGATAAGAACAAACGTTAAAATTCACATGGCAACCAGTTTGCACCTCTGAAGGCTGTGGTCTCAAAAGAAAGGCCTGCACTAAAGATCTTAAGAACTGGGCAGGCTGCTATAGGAGAAGATATGGCTTGGAACCAGGTAGCCTGGTTCCAAGCCATATAAGGCTTGGAATAAAGATGATGGCAGTACATACTGCTTACTAAATACCAGATTTTCTTCATTGCTTTTATTTCAGTCAGTAATTCAAAGTGGGCACTTGCAGTCCCTTAACTAATCAGTTATTGACAATGTAAACAGATGCAGTTAATGTTTGCTGTGTTAGTTCTCTGGAAAAAAAAACTATTTTAAAGTCAGTTTTTAAACTGAACTGTTCCCAACTGTTTCTCAAACTTATTTAAAGTATATGTAGACAGCAGATTGTGTTATTAAAACTCCAACAGAGATGAAAGGAATAAAGTGGCTAAGGGTGTAGCAGTGGGCTAAGCAGCCTTCTGGCTATTCAGAAACTGGTGAGAACCTTCAAAACACACAAACCCAGGTGTGTGTCCAGATACTTGGACAGATTTTACCTTGTCACCTGGAGACAAAATGACAGGCTATACCCAGGAAATCCCACGTTATGATTTAAATAAGCCATAGTGAGAACCAATTCATTATGTAAAACCAAACACCTCTTTTATTTATTTATATATATAGAGAGAAGGGGGGGGGTAATTGTTTAAAGTATTTTTATCACACTCATCAGCCAGAAAAGAATGAGTTGCAAACAGTTGACCAAGATGGTTCCTGCTTTCAGTATTGTAATCTAAAAAGACACAACATATGAAGGAAAGGGGTTGGAAAGGGAAGAAAGAAAAAGTGGACTTTTGGCTGAGTTGAAGGAATCTTCTTGCATCTCCTCTTGGGTGAGCTTTGGCAAGATTGATGGAGTGATCTTGCTCCCCTCTCTTTTCCCTCTGTTACAGCCTACTGATTGGCAAGTGGTGAGGTTTCCACGAAGATCTAATTACCCCATCTAAATCTAGCATATCAAGTATTAATAACGTAAAATGCACACTGGCACAGTCACATTGAACCACTTCTGTTTCATATTTGTACCTGGGTACAAATAACTGCTACTTAGGACCCATCAAAACTAGAAAGGACTGAAAAAGTATTTTGCTGATCTTAGTACAAAATGTCTCTTTGCATTTGTGTGTTAAAACTGGAAAAGCAAGCAAGGTACATAGGGCGTCTTTAACCCAAGTACTGCTCTGGTTGCATATTTGAGGTGGTTGTTGTGCTCATAATTGCATGCACCAGAATTCTAGCGAAAAATGTGCATTTAACTGTGTACTATAATTGTGAATCAGCTACTGGCAAAGTAGATGTGAAGCAGGAAAATGCCAAATGACTTGTGACTATTAACCTAAAGTTATATTTATCTTGTGAAAGCAGAAATAATATGAAATAAATAATGCTGAGTAACTTTATATTATTGCAGTTCATTTTGACAGTGGTGGGGAACCTTTCAAGATTAATATAGTCGATAATAGCAGAAATGAAAGTGAAGGACCCATTGCAAAACAGACCACAGACAACTCTTATTATACGGTAACATTTCTTCTTATTCTAACAACTTGTTTTTGGAAGTCTGTTAGGAATGCTTTGTTTCCATTTTGGAGGTAAACATTCTGATTAGCCTAAACTGCTAAAACAGCTGGACTCTCATATTTTTGTTATTAGTTGATATTTGTCCCATTATAAGAACTGGAGCTAGGTAAAAAGCACAGAATTTTTTATTTTAATAAAATGGCAAGTAATTTTTTTAGGAGCCAAAAAAGGAGCCTAGGGTTTGTTTCATAGGGCAAAGGCTGTCTCATGCTTTAAAGAACATAGGAATTCAGAGCATAAACCAGTGATATGAAAGAATGAAGACGTTTACTTTTGGAGCAGGCACTCAGGTGATAGAAGTCACTCCAGATGATAAAGACTTTGGGGTGATAACCAGGACATTAAATGTGATGTGAAAACCAGTGGGTGGCCATTGCCATTGTACTAAGTATAGTATGTTTTCAATGCTCTGCACCTGGAGACCCCTGCTTGATGCTTTTGGCCTTGAAATTTTGGCAAGACAGTCCTGCACAGAACACATTGTAATATTCCAAGCTAAAGATCCCTCAAGCATTATTCAGTGCAACCCAGTCCTATACAGGGTAGGTTTACAGTTTACCAGCTGCAGATAATGAAAGCCTGATCAGTCCCCTAGATTATATCAGTAGCCCCAGAGTTTCTGCTTTAAGGATAATACGATCCTGTCACACAATTCTATCTTACATTTTACTAGAGTGCACATTCTGCTCCAGTACCTTTGCCATTTGATAATAGAGCAGAATATTGAAATATATTTTTGCCTGGAAGACAGATTTAGATGCTCTCCGGCCCCTTTGAGCCCACAATCATGTGCAAGTGTTCACAGTAATTCATGTGGTGATGAGTTGTTATCAAAATAGCTCATTGAGTATGGATAAAGTTATTGTCCATTAACATAGAATCTTACTATGTAAGACTTTCCTAGGTATTGCCAAACAGACTGGAAAAATATCTGTTAATCGACATGGAAAGGAAATGAACCTTTTTTTAGCTGTCTTAAAATTTGAAAATGCTTTTCTGTATTTTTATTAGGATGTCACGAATGTAACCAACTCAGAACTTAAGCTGGATTCCCTCTACTTTAAATGTACTGATGACAAGGCTGCTTCTGAGATTCAGCATGTAGAACGGCAAAGCCAATTTTCTCATCTGTGTCAAATTGCTAATGAAAGTTATATTCCTCTGGCTGATGTGTACCCATCCCCAAGGTCTTGCAGAAGTTCTAAGCAATACCAGTGTACAACGGAAGGTTAGTTCTATGCTGGCTGCTATGTGCTGGAGCTTTTAAATTAATTTGAGAACCTGCTGAGTTGGGGGATTGCTACTGGTGAAGCCTTTATGCTATGCCCGATCCAAATAGAAAATAGCCAGTTTGCATACCAGTTTTTGCAGTTTTCCTCACTTGTTAATGTCTGTAGAACACAAATACCTTTGAATCCAGCTACAGTGAAGCTGCTTCAGTCCAAGATTTTTACCATCATTCTTTCAACTTAAATTATGTGTGCTAATATGTGTTCCTTGTTAGTTTTATGTTTCCTTCCTGCTTCTTCCTGTTTGCTTTTCCCAGTAGTCAAAATATAGATCCTACTAAACTTTGGGCAGAAATCTTGCTTATTTTTTTAATTTATTTTTGGATTTATATCCTTCCTTTTTCCTACAAAGGGCTCAAGGCAGCTTACATCTCCTCCATCTTATCCCCACAACAACAACCCTGTGAAGGTAGGTTGGGCTGAGAATCTGTGACTGGCCCAAAGTCACCCAGTTGGCTCCATGGCCGAGCGGGGACTTGAACCCGGATTGTCTGAGTTCCAGTCCCATGCTCTTAACCACTACACCACACTGCTCAAATGTATTAATGTATATGAGAACAGTTATTCAATAACTGTTCTCTTTTCTTTTTCTTCCTTTCTTTTCTTCAGTTTTATTAAAATGTTGTTTTATGTTGACCTATCATCTATTTTAATTATTGGATTATTGTAATATTATATTCTATTTTGATCATTGTAAGTGGTCCTGAGCCATTTGTTGGAAAGGATGGGATAAAAATGTTTTAAATAAATAAATAAGAATGTAAAGACAATGCTTGATGCACTTTGCAGAGATCCCACCACATAATGTTGTATATCAAAATGAAGAGGGCAGATGGGTGACAGATCTTGCATACTACACCTCATTTAATGAAGAGCAAGCATTTAACCTCTCAAGTGTAAGTGGAGATTTCATAACTGGAAGTAAGTCTGTTTATATTCTTCACTCCATTGAAATATTTTGGTAGAACATTTACAAAATGGAAAAGTAGTAGAGGTAATTGTAAAAAGTTCTGTGCATTTTTCAAATGTACAAAGGTTATGTTACTTCGCAAACAAAGTGCAAGATGCAAAACGTAGAATTCCATAGATCTCACTTGAGCAGTGAAATCTGTTTGGGAAAGCATGTGTTGAAAAAAGCATGTGTTGGAAAACAGTCATTGATATGCATTTTATAGGTAATAAAGTGTAAATGCAAGTTTGACAGTGAAGTAAAAATACTTTTAAAATTTCATGAACCTGGCAGGAAATTATAAACTTGAGAGAGAGAGAGAGAGAGAGAGAGAGAGAGAGAGAGAGAGAGAGAGAGATATTCATTGTGATAGGTTTCACTTTTCAGAGAAGGATAGGGGTTGGCATACCCGGAGTCTTGAAACTTCTAAGCACTGCAGAGGGATTATTTTTAAAATAAAGGCAGCAACAAGAGTAGGGGCTCTTGATGACATAAAACATGGCTACATTATTCAGAAAGCTTCCTCTTGGAAAGGACGGAAGCACCAAGTGTGGCATGTTTTAGGCACTAGTTAGGGACTTCTAGGCCTTCCCTGACTGAGATACAGTAATACTTCGGTTCACAAATGCTCCTCTCCACCCACCTTCCTGTCGTCCGTGTCAGAAGTCACCTCAAGCAAGCTTAGTGTTCTCTCTCTCCATACTGTACTGTACTATACTTTGTTTCATATTTTTGTGGTTAAAAAAATTACTTATGGTCCAGGATGGAGTAAACTTATTTACATTGAACTTTATGGGAAAATTTGACTCCCTTCACAACTGATGCAGTTTGCAACCAGAATCGTGGAACAAATTAAGTTTGTGAACCAAGGTACCACTGTAATTGGATTGTTAATTCTCAGATTCTAAATGTTTCATTTTTGTAATATTTTGAACTGAGACATTTGAGCTCTCTTTTTAAAAGTTTTTTTTGTGGAAATTTTATAATTTAAGTAAACAGCTTCAAAAATATCTTTAGATAGCTAAGCAGTCCATAAATCAATAAAATATACTTGTTTTTCCCCTGTTCTCTGAAAAGCTGATGCAATTGCTATGTTTGTACAAGATCAAGAAGAATTTGAGAGGGAGCACAAGTTTATGCAGGTACATAACATTCCGAAGACAATTTAATTGCCTAGTTATAGCTAATGATAATTAGCTAATGGTAGTTTTTGGGTTTGCTACAATTTCAGGAAGAGAAAATGGACCCACAAAATACTTCTGCTTTAGGAGATTCATCATGGAAATCAGTTAACAGCTACAATCCCCTAAAAGTTTCAGAAACTGAATTTAGCAAAGATGCTAGCTTTTTACGGCTCTCTCTGGGAGAGTTCTTTGGTCAGAGATCTGAAGCTCTCGGATGCCTTGGAGGAGGTGGTGATGTGAAAAGGGTATGTAGTGCCAAATCCCTTTACGAAAGGATGCATGTTATCTTTTAACACGATTGCTTTCTCTTAGAGTCAGTAGAACATAGTCATTTGAAGGGATCATAGCTAGATAACGGATCACTTGTAGATGATCTAGGCTCCTTAAATGGCCAGTGAGAGCAGAATTAGGAAAGATATTGTCTGTGATCCACTGAAGAGCAGACAGTCCATTAGTTTATGTAGACTAGTACTGATTTGATATAAAGAAGCTTAATATGTATGTAAGCTTCTGTGGAGGTACTTGAGTGGGTATGAAGTACTCTACTAGCATACAAACTCTGAAAGCAAATTTGGTAAATACCAAATTTAGACACAGTTTTGGCCAGCTTTTGTTGTAATGCTTATCACAGAATATATTACTAATATTATGTGGTTTTTTTATAGCCATCTTTTGGTTACTATATTACTTCTCCAGAGAAGAGACAGCCTGTTCCTTTGTTAAGGCAATCTGATGTATCTAGAGCAAATTCTGATGAACCGAACTTGCAGATTTCTGACCCTCTTCAAGGTAAGTTATCTTAAACTTTATCTTAGTATGCTTATCTGACACTTGGATACATTGATGATTTTTTTATTTTGTGGAAGTGCATTTGTTTATAGCTAATAACGGGTGGCACAGTGGTTTAAACTGCTGTGCTGCTGGATTGGTCGCCGGTTCGAATCTGCACAACGGGGTGAGTTCCCGTTGTTCCGTCACAGCTCCTGTCAACCTTGCAGTTCGAAAGCATGCAAATGCAAGTAGATAAAAAGGTACCACTTCGGTGGGCAGGTAACAGCATTCCGTGCACTTCAGTGTTTAGTCATGCCGGCCACATGACCACGGGAAGTGTCTGCGGACAAACGCTGGCTCCCTCGGCTAGGAAATGGAGATGAGCACTGCCCCCTAGAGTCAGGCATGACTGGACTTTACCTTTACCTTTAATAGATGAGTATTTTAGCTTTCTTAAGTATTTTCTTTTGTATTGAGCCAAGTCAAAGATAGAGACTAAATGTGATGAGTTGTCTGTGGAAATCTTCAGGAAGTTAATTGTTCGTGTTTCATAGACCTGCTTAGAATGCTTAGTTTTGTATCTGTATACAATATACAGTTAGAAAGCAACCTGCCAGTCTGTTAGTAAGCCCAAGTGTGAGTCATGGCACCAAAATGAGCTTCATGTTAATTGGTCAGCTGAAGTGTAATTTGGGAAGCTTTACATTCTTTGCATTTGACATTTTGAATATTTGCCTTGTATACTGAAATGTGACATACATGTTTAAGGAGCAATTCTACATGTCAAGTTACAAATTACTAGCTCAGTCCTCAAAGCTGCTGCCACAATACTGTTGCTTCACATTGCCATCCACAGGGCCTCTCAATTTTTATCTTTTGCCCATAACATAGTTGCAGTGTACACATAGAAGACAGAAGCAAAGATGAGCAGGGGAAGCATGGAGACTCCTTTGGGGATGCAAGAATGGGTATTGGCTCTGGAATGCTACTGTGTACTGAGCTGCTCTGACCACTTCTTAACTCTGAAACCCTCAGCTTCTCAAGCACAGTTCAGGAGGTCAAAGGATCTGTTGCAGTACTGATAGGGTGAACACTCCTGGCTAAGGCAGCTCAGGGAATCGCTTCCTTCCTGACTTCCCAGAAAGGACTCATATTCTTTTCCATCTCAAACTTTGCTGAGATCTAAAAGTTAATACAGCCTTCTATACTGACAGGTATTCTGCTGATGTACCATAGTGTCGTTTCAATTATTAACCACAAGCAGTACATTCTACGACCTTAATGCATGAAATGTTACCTTGTGAAGCTTGACATTATGCTCAGGCACTGCTTGGCATGATTTAATGAGAATTAAGTGAAAATACAGACAAAATGGAACTATTATGTAAGAGAGCCTTTACCGGCATGAACTTCTGTGAAGCATGAACTGTTGCTCTTATATAGGTTTTTATTACTTTAAATAGATATCTGTCTATACATGAGTGATGGGTGCATTTGAACTAAGGTTGACTGCTTCATAAACTAGTTTATATTTCCTGTTTATTACCCTACTTTGTTAATTTACATTGCCAGTTCATATTTAATGGAAAGCTTTTGCAAGGCAGTATCTCTGCTAAGGCTGATGTCTAACAAGAAGGGGGAGGAAGATTGAATTTTGGTGCACAGTATTGTAAACAATATTTTAGTCAATACAAGTTACCTTCCTCCCCCCCCCCCCTTTTTTTCCCCCTCTGGTGGTAGAAGAGAGCCTTAAAGAAGAATCTCACACTGAATCCACTACTTTTACTCATGGCGAAATGGGCACACAAACCAGAGAGAACAGGAGTGTAAGTATGCAAATAGATGTCAAAAGGAGAGCATATGTTTTTGATAAAACTGACAGTTAAAACAAGCCGCTGTTGCTTGTTTGATCTTGAGAACTGGAACAGTCAGAGATTGGAAAGTAAAATCTAGCTTCTCAAATTTTAAAGTAGAGAAAGTAGCAATGTTCTGTCTGTCTTGTGTTCTCATACACTTGGTTCTTTTTTCCTAGTCAAATTGTAACATTCATAATAGACTTTTGTAACATGCAGTTTGTAACTTTCACAAAAGAATACTCAGTGTTGCTACATGATGTTGAAACATTGGTATTTTTCCAACTTCTAGGAGAAAGTTGAAGAAACAAAAGTTAAAAGTGAACATAATGACCTAGACCCTTCTCTTCTGAGTATCAGCACAATTGCATCTGCTATTGCGGATGCTTCTCTTAGTGCTGAACCTTCACAGCTAGCTGCTTTGATGATGAAACTTTCTAATAAACATAAGGAAAAAACTAATATTCAGGAAATGGGCAGACTCCCAGACTTGTCTGTTATCAGTCAGCTACTATCCAGCAATGTAGAAGATAACACATTTGACATAGAAAAGTATCTCAGAAGAACTGACGTTGGGAACAACAATGAACCTGAAAGTATCGTTAAGCATGAAGAAACTGCCACAGACTGTCACAGATCTTTGTACAAGCAGGAAAGTGAAATGGGTAATGCAGATCTGTTAAATTTCTACATCCAGTATGGAAAAAATAAGCAGCATCTTGAAAAGATCTATGAAGAAAATGATTCCAGTAATTTACCTTACGATATAAGTTCTTCAGAGCAGAAAAGGAAAACAGAATGTATAGATGCATCATCTAACATAAATGAACATTTTCAGTCAAAGATGCAGGCATCTACTGTACCAGGTTTAAAAAAGAAGCTATCTGAAACATCCTTGAATGAAAATGTAACGACATCTTCCAGTAAGTCTTAATTTTAATTGTCCTCTAAAATACCCAGTGCTTGAATAGAATATAGCATCCTACATGAAACTATGGTTAGCAGGCTAGGATATTAAGCCATAGTTTGAAGTTGCGGCTTAGTACCCTATAAGACAGTTTATGCATATAGTGGACTAAAGGGACTGCATTGCCAAAAAGCTTATTTGTGTCTTGGTGTATTAAGCTGAAATAGGATTACCGGAAGTTCACTTCTGTCTAGAATTGTAAAATATTCAGATTCATGTATGTGGTGTTATTTTAGTAAATGTGTGCACTCTTTCTTTTGTATTTTACTCTGTGCACAAGGTGAAAGCATTCAACAATGAAATCCATTCTATCTTAGGTAGTACTACTTTGCCTGCTGTAGTATTAGTACGCTTGAAAACTTTTATCTATAAATGTGTGTTGTAGAGATAGCTGAAAAGCCAATTACAACTCTCATCTAATACCTGATGACTATAATATCTATTCCATCTGTCTCATTTGAATTATGTTTTGTAACTCACTATTTTAATGAAATAATGCAGTTCTAAAAATGGAAAAATCTCAACCCCACATAATTAGTGCACAAAGGAATAAGAAGGTTGTAAACTTTTTTTTCAGCTTATTCTAAATTGGAAGGAAGAGCTAATAAGAACACTCTGCCCTTCAATTCAAAATCTGTTCCAGTGTTGATTTCCCCTCTTGCTATATGTCCTGAAAAAGAAAAAGCTACCTGCCAAGTTAATAACCAAAATGAGCAAGATAGAAGAATCCTGAAAGAGAATGCTACATGCAACAGTGAAAATCATGTGACCTTTGAAAATGCAGTCCTTGATAACCAGGAAATTCCTGGTAAGGTTTTGTTTTTAATGGTAACTATGCCAGTTTCTGCAGCACTTTGTTTTGAGAGCAAATTAGCATTTTTGCTGAAGGATAATCTATAGCAGTGGGTTACTCCTCTCTTCCACTTCTGGAGATTTCCTGGCATCCACTGAAGCAGCAAAGCCCTTGCTTTTCTCTGGGGTCGCAGCATTGGTCTTCCCTATCCTTGTTCCCAGTGCTTTTAGATAGGTAGGCTTGCTTTGATTTGGGCACCAACTGATCTTGCTTTTGCTGTTCAGGTGTTTGGTTTGTGTTTCATGGCTTTTTTCCAAGTTTGGAAGGGCTTCACAAAAGATGTTCTAGACTAAAGAAAGAAAAGGAGTGTGATCTTGCCAGTAATCAATAGACAGTCCACATAACTTCTTTTATGTGGACCAAGAACACCCATTTGGCTTTACCTACTTAACATACACAACCAGACTTATATTGTTGGAATCTGTTAAAGGTATTCCATCCATACCTAGAGAGCTATATGGAGGTGATAGAGTTATTGTTTCAGGCAAGGACAACTACTTTTATGCTAATCACAGTTTGGCCAAAGGTCTTCTTTTATGCCACAACTAGCCTATTTGCCAGTCTTTCCAAAGCTGTGACTAGAAAACGTCCAAGTTAGTTTGGTTGACCAATTCTGTCCTCCTTCCTGGCACTTGATAGAGGTAAGCTTCAGCCATCGTTTGACTGTTGAACAAACCGGGGTCTAAACCCTTCTAGATATTTTCACACTAAAGTTTTGGAAAGGTTTCTGCATGCTTAACATTCCCTGTGTTCCTCAAATCCGATCTATATCAGGCACAGGAATATTTATAAAAATCACTTCTAGAACTTACATTGGGTTTTTAATAAACCCAAATAAATTAAAAACAACCCCCACAACAAAATAAGCATTAGTTTTTTAGTATAAGACTTGAATAGCTCCATTACACTACACACACACACGCACGCACATTTTGTATATGATAAAATATGCTGCTGTAGGACCGTATATTGTTTCATCCTGAAAGTTAATTTTCTTGGCAGCAACAACATCAGCTGGATAGATTCAAATCTGAGGTCATTGTGAACCTATCCTCAGCATTTAGCACAAGTCTCTGCTGCCTTTGTTGAAAATACTTTTAGTCTGCTTTTCAAGGCAGAATCCTCCCATAGCAACTTTGCAACCAGTTGGAAATGCAGTTACAATTTCAGTCATACAATGCAATTTAAAACTTAAGTTACAAATACCACAATTTTCAAAAGTAACAATGACTGTGTTAAAAAACTCAGTGCAACCCAATGCAACAGCCATTGGAAGTCAATAAATGAGCAATAAAACCAATGAGATAATATTTGTTAAAAGCCACACAAAACACACATCTTCAAACCCCTTTAGGAGACCAAAGTGTGGTTGCTATCGCTTCAGAGGAAGCTACACAGCTAGAGGACATCACTGAGAAGACCTGTCCCTAGTGCAGATGGATCTTAAAGACAGGCCAGCAGATTGGACCTTTGTTGCCAATATTTCAAGCATAAGCAGGTTCATATGGATATAGGTGGTTCTTCAAAAATCTTCACGGCAGTAATTTGGAACATTTCAGCCAACTTTGTTCATTCTACTACCAGACTGACACCTTTGCCTCAGTAGAAGCTTTGTTTATGTGAAGAGAGTTGTAATAGATAGCAGTCTCTAGCCTAGAGAACTTGAATGCAGCTGTTAAAAGTTGTACCTTTATAGGATGTCATCTCCTCTTGATGAAGAGAAGAATTGGGCTTAAAGGTAAGGTTACTTCTGGTCATGGAGAGGATGCCAGGTTAGCTCTGTATTTTCTGTAGTCAGAATGCTATATCCCAGGGTTAGCATTCTAGCCTAATATGTCTCTTTACTATTTATCAACATAGTGTGAAATTTTATAGCTTAGGTGTTTTGCATCAGCTTCAGAAATGTCTGAGTGAGGTGTGTCTTCTGAGGTGGATACTGTATATACTAGTGTAACTTTTTTAAAGGTATGCTGGTGAATTAATTGGAAACACTGTTTTAGTTGAAAGCTTTTTTGATGGCTTACTATATATACCAGCATCTAAGAAGCTGTGAAAAATTGGGGGTCATCTTATACACCTAACATATGATAAACATCAATAAAATCAGCCCAAATCAATCTTGTCTTAGGGTCAGGGTAAAGGTTAGGTTTAGGGTTATATATCTATAAGGTGACACCTGGAGTTGCCTTATACACTGATACAGTAGATAAATCTTCAGAAGTAATTATCTTCCTCAGTGATCTGAAAGACCACTCATGATATCTAATATGTTTCTTTTTGGAAAGCTCAGAAGAAGCTGTTATAGGAACTGAACAGAAGCTTGCAACTGCTATGCAGCTTTCAGATGATGAACAATGCAGTTTCAGACCTTCAACTTCTCCTCTTATTCATTCATCTCCAAGTGAAGCATCTGGAACTTCTCTTTCAGGGTAAAAACTATAGGGGAGCATGAAAATGTGGGTGGGTGAATAAGATTTTATTGTAAATGAATATACTGTCAGAGTGTAGGAACGTACAACCTAGCACTGTCTAGTTAGCAGCAGCTATGTGGGGTCATAAGCAGATACTTTTCACATCACCTGCTAATCTCTTTTTAAAAGTACAGATTCCAGGGATTGAACCTCGGAACTTCTGCATCCGCAGGATGTGCTCTGCCATTGAGAAAACAGTCCTTCAGTTGAATTTGCTCTTTGTTAACTTATCATAAGCAATGTTTATTTTTGTCCTGTACATTTTTTGTCCATACTAATTGCAATTTTAAAATTTGGCCTCTATAAAAATGGTAATCCTTAAACGGTAATGGAAGGAATATACAAATTTATGTATTTATTTATGGTATTAATATGTCACCCCCTACTCCAAATATCAATGGGGACTGTATGTAAATTCAGTATCATCAAATAGAAAGCCCTTTCATTCTTTTCAAGTGAACAATGTTACACTGTTGGATTATACAACATAAAAAGTACAGGTAGTCCCTGGGTTACGAACTTAGGAATACTGTATATCTGCATACATACATAAAGATTCTTTCTGCAGTAATGTAGTTTCTTTATTATTATTGTATTATTGTTACAATGCTGTATTGGATTTAAGAAGTTTTAGTGATTATGGCAGTGCTTCTTAAGTGTTTTGCATGCATAGACTAGTATGTGTACAATTGCTAAGACAAACATTTGGCTTATTCATGTGGTTCAACTTAGATATATTTTACTTAAGGACGTTCTCAGGAATGGAACTCATTCTTAACCCAGGGACAACCTTTATGGGTAAAATCTCTGACTTTAATCATTACACACTGAACAGCCAGCTATAATCCAACTTATTTTTGAAATTAGTAACTCTTTGAAAAAGTAAGGCTGTTCCAAGCATGAATGTGGTAATACAAGGTAGACTTGGGTTACAGTCCTATACATGTTTCCCCAGAAAGAGTCCTACAGTTCCCAGGGCTTAAATATGATGGGATTTGTAGGACTTGTTTTTGCTTTCTAAAAGTCCACAGGATTGCAGTTAAATGGATGAAATGTTAGTACTAAGAGGACTATTCAGTTATGGAATATATTTAGTCTTTCAAAACAAAGTTTTCAAAATGTGTGTACATACAAGATTCTAAAATAACTGTATTTGAAATTAATAAGAGCTAAAGGAAGTATAATTATAACAGACCAACAATCAGTTGATATCACTGTCTTATGTGATACCCTCTATAGCAAATGCAGATTGAAAGAAAGACTTCAGAGCCAAATGTACCTTTTGAGGGAGGGAGTTTCAGGTACAGGGCTACCACTGAAAAGATTTCCTTGAGCCTGTCAAGCTTGCTTAACCTACTTGTAGGGCTATGAGCAGGGCCTTTGGCCAGTTTCAAGGCAGGTGTATGTGGATGTATATGTTTCATCAGTGATCCAATCCTAAACAATTTAGGGATTAGGCAATTTGTGGCCTTCGAAACAGTTTGGCCTCCAGTTCCCATCTGATCTATGAGGGGCGTTCAATGTATTCTCGGTATCAGCATGAAGAAAAAAGGAATAATAAATTGAAATAATTTTTATTTTTCAATGTAATCCCCCATAACTTCAATACACTTATTACATCTAGAAATTAACTTTTCAATTCCTTGTAAAAAAATACCCTTCCTCCTTGTCTAAAAAATGTGCATTAATTGCCGCCTTGAGCTCTTCATCATCGGAAAATCACTTTCCACAAAGATCTTTTTTTAAATTCGGGAATAGGTAGTAGTCACTGGGGGCCAGGTCCGGGCTATAGGGTGGGTGGTTTATTTCTTTGAAACCACAGTCTCGCACAGCAGCCTTCGAAACATGCGCCATGTGAACGGGCATGTTGTCGTGAAGAAGCAACATACCTACAGTCAGTTTTCCCCACCATTTTTCTTTAATTGCTTCTCTTAAATTACGCAGAGTGGTTGCGTAAGATGCTGCATTTATGGTTTCACCTTTTTTCATGTACTTGATCAATAAAATTCCCTTTGAGTCCCAAAACACTGGCCATGATTTTTCCCTGCTCCAAAAACAACCTGCAGCACTCGACTCGCACTTGTTTCTGAGGCGCCATGAGCATTTGCGGCACCCATCTTGCACAGACCTTTGAAAGGTTAAGATGGTCATGAAAAATAGTAAATATGGTACCAACGGATAGGTTTGTCATCTCTGCTAACATTTTGATTTTTATTCGGACATCTTCCAATACAAGTTTCAATTTTTTCACATTTTCTTTCATAGTGGCAGTAACCGGCCTGCCCGAACGAGGGTCATCTTCAATGCTTTCTCTGCCCCTTTTAAATTCACTTGACCACTTTTGAACAGTAGAGAATGAAGGTGCAGAGTCCTGGGAAACGGCCACCATCTCTTCGTGAATGATTTTTTGACTTTTTCCTTGTTTTGTAAGGAACTTAATCCCAGTGCGGTGCTCGATTTTCTTCAGCATTGTCGCGTCAGTCATCATGGTTGTCTTTCAGTGAGGATTACTAGGAAACTACTGATCACACTTATTTGAAATTTTGCACATATACCCTCAATGTCATTAGCTAATGAAATAATTAAATTGCTCACATCAATAGCAAATCAACTCGATACTGAGAATACATTGAATGCCCCCTTGTAGCCCTCATAACTGATGAAAGGATTATGGGAGCTGGAGAGTCACAAGTTTCCTACTTCTGTTTTAGGCATTTAAAGGTCAACTCCAAGAAGCTGACTCCAGAAATGAATAGGTAGCAAGTGCATCAGATAATTGTAATATGCTTCAAACACTAAGCCCAAACAAACATCTGGGAAGTTTCATTCTACAATGGCTGAAGCTTCCAAACCATTCTTCCAAACTAGCCCTCTCATAGCCTAGTTTGGAGGTAGCTAAGACACAACTAAATTGTTCATAGATAAGGTGGCAGCTGCTGTACCAATCTAACTTGCTAAAAGGCACTCTTGGTTATTACTGCTACCTATGCTTCCGCAGGTGTAAGCAGTGTAGATTTGGCAATGTCGAGGTGCTATTCAACATGTACACAACCCACACGTTCACGAGCAATAAAACTAAAGTCCTTTATTGCTACTTGTCTACAAGATTTACAACTCTATAGATAAGTCCTTCTATTGAGGTCTTTGGAATGCAGATGCTAATCCTCTAGTGGTGTCTCTCCCCAGCCCAAGTGGGACTAGCTCTCTTGGTCCCGCCTTTCTTCCCTCTCATGTAACAAGGCCTGCCTTTGCTCGTATCTTCTTAGAATTCTACGATTGGTTGCTAGGGAAAAGTCTATAATGCTCCCTGCATCACGTTCAGGAAGTTCAGCGCCAGTGGGAGGAGGGACAGCCTGCTCTGACTCCTTCTGAGTAGAACTTGTGGTGTCTTTTCCCTTGGGGCTCTCTTGCTTTGATGTGGGCTGGAGTGTTTGCTCAATGGGCAGGGAGTGGAGGGGGGAGGCGCAGCTATCTGCTCAGCCACCCCTGAGCTAGGTTGTGGAGTTGGCTTTTGGATACAGGGTCCCAAGCACAAGACCTCCTCGTGAGGTGCTGTCTCTGTCGGGGCTTCAGGCACTACAGGCAATTCAGAGTTACATCTGTGTGCTTTGTTTCTTAGATCTGATTTTCCTTGTACAACACTTAATTGTAAGAAGATTTTTTGCGATGATTCTGCACTACCTCAGTCAATATATTCAGATCCTAGTTTGGAACGATTAACCTTTGTTTCTGCCACTGAAAATACTCTTAAAAATCTTGCTTTGTCTACTCCAGAGAGATATCAAGTAAGTAGCTTGCTAAAAGCTAAATCATTTTTACATGAAAAGGTTAAAGGTTGGTTACTTTAAGTATATTTTACAAAGAGCTGTTGTAGTATAATGACTGTTGTAATATAATGAATAGTGCTTTAGATTCTGACTTATATTATCCAGGTTAAAACTTGACTTTCTCAGTGATTCCTGGCTTCATAGTTTCTGTTCATACATACTGTAGAGTAGCAGGACTAGTACTGGTGGCATAAAGTGTTATACTAAACATTGAATAGCATGGTCTCCAGTCCCAACACACTCATACTATTAGTACTTCCGGGAATTATTTTTTCTAGATTCATAGACAAACATTTGTCTAAAAGAACCATAGGATTGCCATAAGTTTATCCATTTAATTATGTGTTTTGTTTATGTATCAATTTTAATGCAGTTTCAATATATAAATTAGACTTTTTAATTATCTAAAATACTCAAAGGTTTTAATTTGCACATATAAAACTGCCCTGCATTCAGAGATCGCCTCTTCCTTTCTTTTGGCGTGACAGTTTCCTTGGGTTTAACAGTATTACTTCAAAAAACTGCACTTTGTTCCAAATGTTTGATTTTGTGTTAAAGTTGTTGTAACATTCACTATGTGTGGATGCATGCCAGTTTTTCATGGGGCTTTTCTTGGATGAGCCTTTATTCAGGCACTTGTATAGTATGGCTGAATGGACTAGCAGCTTTCAACTAAGTCTCTATTTTCTTCAGGTAAATAAAGTAGTCATTATATGCTAGTGATTATATACTAGCTCATTGAATGGAGATACTAATGTTATACTATTCAAATTCACATTCCACATGAAAGCAGCAAAATTTAGCTTAATCACACACATTTTTAATTTTCAACTTTTTGTATGTTACAAATATTTTTTCTGTTTCCTGTTTATCACAATTGCTCCCTTAACTAACTTAAAGTTTCAAGTAGATTTATTAGTGCTTTGAATATGTAATACAGTATTCTTTCCATGTATATCAACATGTATATCTCTGGCATATGATTGCTAATCATAAGTACTACAACGTGTGAATGCTGATCAGAATTTCAATGCCTTCTGTTTAGAGTAATCGCGCCAGTGAGTTGAGCACAACAGTAGTTTGGACCAGTCCAACTTCATTATTGGAACAGGAAACTGGAAAATGTATTGCTTTGCAAAATAGGCAATATCCATCACTGAGCACTAGTGCAGGAAGCCATGATAAGAAGCAAGAAATAAATGAATCGGCCACGCTTGCTAGACAACATGAAGACCAGAAATCAACTGGAGAGTTTCTACTGGAAAGTGAAGATCCATCTGCAATTAATTGTCAAAACAATAATGAGCGGTGTCAGGTTGATACCCCTAAAACGCAACATGAGTTGACACATGCAACAAATGGACTAGGCTTATCCTCTCTAAAACATGCAGTTTCTTCTAACAGTATAGATGGCTGTAATTCAGGAAATCAAAGCAAAGCACAGGTCAAAACTCATTGTACTGCTTCACAGGTTCCAGAGATATCTGCTGCACTTCCTACATTGCTAACAGGTTGTTCTCTTAGCACAACTCCATTTGCCCAACAATATCTTGGAACCTTGTCATCTCAAGCAAACATTGCTTTGCCTCAGTATCATGTTGGTTGCCCTCCAGTTTTTGGTGTTCCAGCAGGACTGATATATTCTAGCATCCCTATGGGTCATATTCAAAACTCACTGACTGCTAGAATGACTGTAGGTTCAGATGTTGGGTCAGGAATGTCCAGTACTACTCCACATTGCAATTTCACATCCAATCAGAATATCTTCAGTAGTGGATCATACGCAGGACAAGCAGCTGGTCCTGGCAACCCTGGAGAATGGGGGGACTCTGTGCCATTTGGCTTTGGTAAGTCTATTTTAGTAGCATCTAAAAATCTGTGGTCAATAAGATTGTTATCTGAACTTGCTTTTATTCATATTTTAGAATTTAAATTTTAATTATTATCCATTTTAAGTTATTCTTCATCTCGCTGCTTAGTAGTACAGACAGGAAACACTTGTTTCCTTTCCTGCTGTATAGTTTTTTTGTAGATGTGCTCTCTCTCTCTCTCTCTTTGTTGAATGCAATTTAAGCTGATAAATTATTCTGAAATTATTTTAGCCTCTAAAAATCATGTTGCCAAAATAGCTAGGTATTGCAGATTACTAAGTGGGTTCACACAGCATAACAAGCCACCATGAGCTGGTTACTGAAGAACTCGCTGGCATTCCTAACAGACAACTGGACAGGCCAGTGTTTGTTCTTCATATCATTCCTCTTTAGTCCTCCTGTCATCTCCAGTGCACATGCCAGAACTCATTTCGTTTAGTGGCAGAACTTTTCCTCTTGGACCCTGTCATACCTTTCCTGCAGTTGGTCTACTTGGGCTTCTGGCTAGCTAGGGAAGCTTCTCTATCCACAAGAAATTAACAAAATAAATGAATTTTCAGAGTCCTTAAGAACACAGAAATGACATATCTCCTGCGGCAGCCAGCTGCTTTTGGCTCCTTTCCTCACTATCAGTTTACAAAAATGAAAAATATCAAAGCCCTTATGAACTCAGGAATGTGTTTGGCATCTTTTTAATATTTTAGGACCTTTGTTATTGGCAAGAATACAGAGCTCACTTCTCCAGTGTTTATCTAAACATCCCTGTTTTCCTCTCTTCCACTTTGGCACTTCTCTTGCTAGCTAGCAAACACTTTTCATACAAAGCTGTTTCATGTTCCACTGTGCCTTACTCCCAAATCATGTTTTATAACAGCCAACCTTTTTCAGCTCTCCCTTTCTTCTTGCTTCTCTCTTCCCTCCATAGTTAGTAATGACATACAGGTATGGGTAAAAGAGGGAGCAGGGCCAGTTAACAGACACAAATGTCATGGCAGAGCAGTGACAGGGAATAACACAGATGGCAAGGAGTGGCAAGAGTTTTCAGTGCTTTTGCCACTTGGCTCTGTAGTTGTACCTGATAACCCAAGCAAGTGAATTCATTACGGGTTTGGATGCTGCAACGAACTACCATGGGTATTAACAACCCTAGAACAAGCCATAGGTCCTCAGGATACTTTTCTAAAAATAAGCCATCTTGCAGAAGCTACACTGGGTTCATACTTCACTGTAGTCCATTGTGGCTGATTGTCCATGCAAACCCAGCACAGTTTCTGCAGGGTAGAAATGTAAATGGCAGTTTTGAAGCATTTGTATATTCTTGTTTGAAATGATAGCATCTAATAACCCTAAGCTTAAAAGTTCTGATAACCCTTTGGTACATGTTTAAGATTGAGATGAAACAATAACATTAGATCAACAATTTTGACAGTATTCACTGTGGGCTTGCAGTGGTGTGGAGGGAATAAATTATCACGCAAACTACAACCCACAAGAGTGGAAGTATTTTCTTAGACCCTAATTGGCTCATCAGTTCTCTAATAACTTCCCCAAGACACTATATCATTGATCTATTCTCCCACTTGGATCTTGCTTCCTATAGCTACAGAATGTTTTTCTGTGATTGTAACTCATGTTGCCTGGTACTCAGAAGTGCTGTGCTCAGTTCTTGCATTATTGTGATGGTTTATCTTTGCAGCAGGTCCCAATGTGAGAAACTCCATAATACCTAGAATGTGCTCTAAGGTGGTTCTTCATGCACTCTGTGTGGTTGCCAGAAGTTGAGAACTGGAGGGCCAAGGCACTTCATATTTTTCAAGAGTTTCCCCCATTGCTGTAAAGATTTGGGTGTGTTTGTCTATATATGCACAGTGTGTGTTTGAAGGACATAGCAACTGTATGCCATGCACACAATTTCTACAGCACCTTCTATAAGCAACATTTGTATTAAGTGAAAGTATTTTAATAAAACTATACCATAATTGTTCTTGTGCACGCATGTGTGTGTGTGTGTCTGTCTGTCTGTCTTACAGAATAATAACCAAGCTAGAATTTGCAATTCCATTTTACTATCAGTATATCAGATATGGAATGTTCTAAGGCATGGCAAAAGTACAACTTCTTGCTGAAGATATTCATTCACAGATATATTTACAACAAAATATTTAGTGCAACTGAAAGTAATGCTGTTTCACATGGATGAGATACAGTTTTTCTGATTAATGTTTCTGATTTCTGATTAATGTTTTTTAGTTCTGATTTAATCCAATTTTCTGATTAACTGTAAGAGATCAATGTGAAATTAAACATTTAACTTCTAGTTATATTTTACATAGATCCAGATTTGTTATTGAACTGGTAGTTGATTTATTGAAGTATTTTTCTGTCTCTAGTACATGTGAAAGTCCCAGAAGAAGTAAAATTCCCTGGTGCTTGTTGTGTGGGACTGACATCACACACAGTTCTTAGCATTTTTAATCCATCTGAACGGTGGTTACAAGTCAGCATTCATCTCCTTGGTATTATGCTTGATGGTCTAAAGGTATGTGCTGAATCTTGTCATACAGTATACTAATTACTTGTCTAGTGGAGTTAATAGTACTCAAATCTCTAGTACTCTTTATTTCTTGCTACTCATGGGTATTGAGGAAAGATTGACTGACTGGAGATGGAGCTGCAGCATCACTTCCAGAGCAGAAAATAATCTAGGGGTTAGATCTCAGCCATAGCAAATACCACTGTTGATAATGATCTCTATCTCTTAAACCGACCATGGAGGGTCTATTTACATCTCTAGAGTACTTATTGCTCTTATTTTATTGTTAACCACCAAGGGTACTTAAGCCATTGGGCAGTATAGGAAATAAATAATTTATATTGATAATTACTTGTCCTGTGTAACTTTTATATTTTTTTTCTGTAGATGGACATTTCAAAGCACAGATGCCTGCTGTTTAAGAACAAAACTGTCATAGGACCTTGTGCTACAGAAGAACTGAAAATCCTATTTTTACCTTGTCAAGCAGGAGTCTTCCAGTGTATACTTAGTGTTGCTGCTTGGCCATTTTCTGCAGATGCAGATGCAATAATCCAGGCAGAGGCTTTAGCTTCTCGAGTAATTGTGAATGCTGTTGCTGAAAATCCTGATATAGAGGTAAAAATTCCAATGGCTACATAGTTTATATCTATTTAAAATATTTTAATATAACTTTATATTTGGAACAATCCAAAAATTAAAGCAAGAGTAGGTACAAATGTTAGTGGTGCATAAAAGTTACAAGTCAATTTAAAATACTTACCCGACATCCTGGGCTAACTGGAATGTACTTAGCTCACATTCAGTACTGTGATATACCCATACAGACAGTTCCTTCTAAGACATTTTCTCAAAATGTCTATAAAATGTCCCCAAATGTCATCCTCCCCCCATTACATTTTTTATTTTTTCCCTATAAACTGAAACTTGCCCATGGCCCAAAAGTACTGCAGAACCCACAGGGATAATTCTAGGAGGTACTTTAGTCCTCCTAAAATAAGCCTGATATCAATAAAAACTCATTACAGATAATAGCAGTCTCTTTTTAAAGTTAAGATTCTTAGCTATAAACAGTAAACAGACATAGACTGCATTGAATAGGAAAGTCTTGCTGTGATTTTTAAAAGGCCGAACTATTGTGTTGTTAGGCAGTTTTTCTTTTCTTGCATATCCTCAGGAAGGATTAAAGTTGCATATGCTTGCTGGGAACTGAAAGCCATACTGAGGTTGATTTTCTGGAAGAAAAAATGATCTCAAATGCAAGCAATGCTAGCTTTTTGACAGAGAATGAGGTGCAATCCTAGGGTAGGTTCGCCGGTGCGGGGATCATGTCTAAGCATTGGCTTTCTACAAGTTCATGCTACTACCAAAAACAAAAAACTGTTTTGTTCAGGTAAACTTCAAGGGGCAGGGATAGTTGAAAAAAACATTGGCCGATGAACTTAATCTGCAGGTTGGTATCTGAGGAGGCACATCATCACATCCTTGTGCCCATAACCATTTAGGGTTTTAAAGTTACACACTAGCATTTTCAGTTTGGCATTAGCCAGTGAAGTTGTTTTGAAGACTGGCTGATAATGATTGGAGTGAAGCTGTGGTCAGAATCATGATTGGTGCTGTATTTTGCACAAACTGAAGTAATCTTCATTGCAGTTATCCAAATGGGATCTTATCAGAGCATGGATAATTGTAACGAGACTATTTTGTCTAGGAGAAAACAAAGCTGCAACCTCTTATCTGGCTATGTTTCAGTTACACTGTTTATTTTTTTTGTACAATAAACATGGCTTTGTGTACCTCAGTTCTTAAAAGAACCCTTTCCCTTCCCTCCTTTTTATATTAGGTGGAAGCAGGAAAGGCAAACCATCTCGACTTTGGTGATTTGCCATCTGGCAGCTGGAAAGCTCTCCCACTGAAACTAACTAACAAGACTCATGCTAGAGTACCAATAAGACTTGTTATTCATGCGGTAAGTATAGCAGCTGTTATAGTAAGCTCTCTATATATATTTATTTTATTTATTTAGAAAATTTCTGTGCCGCCCCATTCGCCGAAGCCTCGGGGCGGCTCAAAAAACATCAATTAAAATATAATACACTAAAAATATAAAACGAATTAACAATATAAAATAAGTCGCCCTGGCCAAAGAATAAAATAAGCAAATAATATTAGCAATTAAAATGACGTTTGAATAAAAAGGTCTTCGCCTGGCGCTGAAAAACAAATAACGACGGCGCCAGGCCGACCTCTCTGGGGAGTGCATTCCATAGATTGGGCGCCACTGCAGAGAAAGCCCTCCTCCAAGTACCTACCCTCCTAATTTCCTTCACGGAGGGTTCCCGGAGAAGGGCCTCTCCTGCAGATCTCAGGGGGCGGGTGGGCGTATATGGACGTAAGCGCTCCTTCAGGTAACCAGGACCCAAGCCATTTAGGGCTTTATAGGTCATCACCAACACCTTGAATTGGGCCCGGACTTCAATGGGAAGCCAGTGAAGCTGACGGAGGACTGGAGCTCTATTTTGAACCAATTGAAGTATCCGGACCATCTTCAAGGGTATTACACTGTGATTGGTTTGTGGAAGTGTATGACTGCTAGCTTTTTGTACTACTCATGTAGAAAATTGTGTGATATGAATAGCTAGCAATTTTTTATTATTAAAAGAGTATAATACATCTAGTAACACTTGGATTATCCTTGTTGTAGTATATGCTCTGCATCCTGCCACACTCTTTTTTGATGGAGCTTTTGGCTGTATGGTAGGGTTGCATTATGTGAACCCCAAAACAATTTATGAAAGCATATGTTCTAGGAAGCTGGAATACAGAGATTGAATTGGTTAATCTTACTCTGTGACACCACAATTGTTAGAAACCCCCTTGATGTATTAGGCTGCCTACACTGTACTTGGTTTTTCCAAGGTCAGGCACACTACTGGGTGTACTTTTGCTCACAACTTCAATCCTTTGACAGTAATCCTCAGTTTTCTCCTATTAAAGAAGTTATCAACTAGCATTGAAGCCATCAGCGCAGGGGTCTTTGCATCCTAGTGTCTGCTACCTTTGATGTAGTTGACCACTTTGGAACAACCTCCCTTCGGAGGTCTGCCTGGTGCCAAATTTGCCATCTTTTCAGCGTCAGATTAAGATAGCCCTTTTTGTGGAGGCCTTTAATGACCTTTGCCATTCAGGGTCCTGATATGATTAGCCAGGTGCCTTTCTTTTATTCTTGGCCAGGTTTTTTATTGTTTTTGTGTTCTTTTATTTTCTTTTCATCTTTCATTCAGTGTTCCTCAGCTTCCCACTCTCTAGTCATGTCCCTCATTGATCTATGTATGGCTCCTTGCTGTATTCTCCTACACTCACCTTGGATGACCTGTGGCTTTCAGTACATACCTTGACAATCATCAATAATAGGATAATTGTTGAATACTATGGGGAACATTGGAATTCCATTTTAAATTGTAAATAACTCTTTATTACAGAATGCTATAGCATGGCGCTGCTTCACGTTTTCCAAGGAACCAATTGGAAATACACTCCCTGCTTACAACATCTCCCAGCTAGCAGCTCCTTCGGTGATATCCCATGTAATGAATGCATGCTGTGATGGGCAAGTAAGTAGTTTGTTATAGTTGAGTTTACTGGAATAGCAAATTACTGACTACTCATCTGAATATCTACTATCAATAATAGATTTCATATTTGGGAAAGTATGTTAAGTGTTTTACATACATATGTATGTTTACACATGTTACATAAGTTCTGTTATATGGTATCTAGCCATTTCCAGGCCGTCCTGCCTCCTACCAAAGATAAGTCACTGATTCATAATGCTAAACAACTGGCTTTTATTAAGGAAACCAAGGCATAAGAAAGCTGGTTTGCTTCAGCCTGCACAGTACCTTATTTTATAAACTATGACTATGAAAGAGTCAAACTTTTAGCAACTGAGAAAATTAGCTTTTCATCTTAAATGGCAGACTAAAGAAGAGTTGATACTATGCTTTTGGGAAATGGTTACAAAGTTTCTATTCATGTTCAGTAGCTAACCGAGCCCTGCCTTCAAGGAGGAGCCTTTCTTAGAGGTGTTTCTTGGAAAACAAATTGGTTTGAGCAGTGTTGCTATCCTGTGCTTCTCCTCCTTCCTCATTTGATGCCTAATCCTGGGATTCTGAATCCCTAGGCCCTCTTCATTCTGGATCAACATTCCTATGGCTTCAGAATTGTTTAATGGCCTGTCATTAATATTCCCAGCTAACTCCAAATTCCTTTGGCCTTGAGGCCTCAGCCACCTGCTCACACTCCTTATCTGAATGTGAAGCAAAGCTTTCATCTTCTTGGGGTTCTTCTGCAGAGGTGTTGGGCTTTACCCTTACGGTCCACATAAAACCTTATTTGTTTTGGGGATACCAACCAGACACCTGAGTTAACTGGTCATATGCCTTTCTTTGTCAGCAAGAAGATGATGTAAGCTTCCCATTCGACAGAAGAGCTTGCTTTGCTTCTTGTATCTTTTACTTGTTCTCTTGTCTCTTAATCTTGGAAGTTGGTGGTTCTGTATGATATTATGTAACGTATCAATATTTCAAGTTTTATCCCATTATGTACTTTAAAGTTGTACTTCTTTATAGAATGCCTCATCCTACACAAATATCTTTCCTTCCAGGATCCTGAAGTTCTAGTTGTTTGGGTCCAGTTCCGGGCACCAAGCAAATGCACCTCTTCAGGTACAGATTTGCTACTTTCTAAAATTAATGTAGGTAAAAATCAGTCATTTGTTAGTCCAGCCAAACAAAATTGTTTTAAAATGTATGCCTGGGCCTTCTGGGCCAAGGAAAGCTTAGATGTGTCTCATAAGCTATTATGTTGCTTGCATGTAATATAACAGGGTGGCCAGACTTGCTCAGCAGAAGAGCCAATTATGGTAAATGTCAGATACTTGAGAGCTGCAAGTGGGCGCCCATGGTGGCAAGCTGCAGAATAAACTCAGAGTTTTGGTTTAGCCACCCCTGCAGTATAATGTACTCCTTTAAGATGGGGCATGAAGATCTGTAGAAAGGCACGCTGATTTTTAGGGTTACTTCTTATGTTCAGGGCAAGAAGCTAGGTATGTAATACTAAAACTAGTGTAGAATGAAGTTCTGCATTTGAGCTATGGAGTACTACATACTGGTTGCTTTGAGGCAAACAGAAGCTCTGCTTCACTGTACCTTTAAAATAGTTCAAACAGAGACATTTCACTGCTGCTGGCCTCTTATAATTTGCATTCACTTGTTGTAAGTTTTAGAATTACGTTGTTTCAAAATGAACAACCTCACATGTGCAAAGCAGTAATGATTCTGCATACTGCTGTACCATGAGGAACATGCTCACTTGACATCACAATTGGGAGGTTTGTTATTGTAAATACTTTGTGTCAAAGGTGATTTGAAAGTAAGGAGTAAGAGTATGTATTTGATAACTGTTCATCAAACTTTTTCAGATTCTTTGGGCCCACCAGATGAGTACTTTGCAAGAATTGATGTGGAAGTTGATTGTCCAGAGCCTGGTAATGTTTTAAGAAATGTTCCTCTGAGTGCAAGATCTGGAACTCCTAGGGTATATGCTCCAAAGGGCCTTCAGGTATTTTTACTAAACTATCACTTGAGAAATAAATCTAGTTTATTTCTCCATTCATCCTTTAACTGTTCATACCATCTATTTTTTTTAGACATTATATATGTCTGCAAAGATGGGATCATCAGTGAGACAGCAGTTACCATTAAAGAATGCTGGGAATATTAAAGTTGATTTAAAGATTATGGTAAGTTACCTCTTCCCTAAGGAATACTTATAAAATTACTGTCAACCTTAAGTGGACCAATCTAGCTTCCTAAATGAAAAATGGAACAAAATATTTTTTAAAACTTTCTCTTTTTCCTAGTAAAAAGCAAGAAACACAAATTGCATGATAGTCTGAGGATATAGCTGTAGGGGAACTTGATGTGCTTCCTTTGGTTATAGGCAGAGCACTGGCTGGTTCCAGAAATTTGTACTGGGATTGGGGGTGTGCAGTTGGAATGACTTAGTCTAGATGCCAATAGACTCAGATTCCTGAAGGTGCTGGGAATTTCCTCTGCTCCCAGCATTGACAGTTCTGTTGAGGACATGAATGATAAAGAAATGGCACATGTAGTAAATGTGATTCCTCCTGAGCAGCCCATTTGAACCCCTGATTTTTTGGATAATGAGTGAAGTAAAAATCATCCCTGCTTATTTCATTCTTATTTATTACATTTCTACATCATCCAATAGCCAAAGCACTTTGGACAGTTCAAAACAACCTCAGCCAAGCAGTGGTCAGACAGCCAACCTCCCTACTTTCTTTCCAAATCAGGGAAAAGCCAATAGCTACAGGCTTTTGTTTTGTTGACCAAGGCCAGTGAAAAATTATGATTCCCTGCATTTCACTCTTGTCCTTGCAAGCTGGTGAGACTAACCTGAGTTGCTATGGCCAAACAGGTAGAAAAGTTGATAAAAGTTTACTTGGGAGAGTACAGTATTAATGATTTTGAGGGAAGTTGGCCTTGAGAGAACCATCAGACTGTAGTGTACTGTTTAATTTACAAGGCAGCTTCAAGCACACCTTATCTAGATAAAATGCTTGAGTATGTTTGTTGCCCTGTTAAGATTTTTAACTGTTCTCTGAATAATGCCCACCACTGAAGTTAGCTAGATCTTCGGGTCATTTGTACCTTTCTGTCATCTGATGGCAGTGGGCAGGGAACTGCAGATACTGCTCTCAGATGTCATAACATGTCTATATAGTAGAGAGCAAAAAATCTATATATATGTCTATATAGTATATTTCGTCCTCACCTCCTTCACCTTGGGCCAGTCTCCAATCATCTACTTGGCTCTACCCTGTGGTCTGCATGCTGGAAGTAACACCACAATTTACCTGAATACCACATTGGTATAAAATACAAGTTAGTTAAAGAAAGGGGAATGGAGAAGGGACTGGAATACAGAAGGGGCAAGATACAGCAACAACACAAGGGTGCAGTAGACCACTCTGCTTTTCAAGTTTAGGTACTCCTTGATGTACTACCTCACTGAAGACAAGAGATCTAGCCCTGCTCTGACACTACTTATGTGACAGGTCTCTACAGAATAATGGTCTCGGCTATTGATTGGAGAAAAGCAAATCTGCTCAAATGCAGGTTCAGAGGGAGAGAAAAGATGAATAAAGAGGTTCAGTGTTATAATCCCCTGCTCTGCTAATGGGGTGAAATTTGGCACCCAATCTAGAATTGTTGTTTCATCAAACATACCATCTCCTAATATTCCAGCTGTGAGCCATTTACAACTCCAAAGGTCAGGGCAATAACACTAATCAAATGTCCTTGGTAAGAGGTCATCCTTCCCTTTCTCTGGATAAGCTTTAATGTGTAAATTATTCCCTCCTCCTTGCTGCTAGGAGTGTGCTTTAACCAGCTGGCTGTAATATTACCTTTATCTGACAGCCAAAACCTTCACTATAACAGGCTTATTCGGAAGGAGGCACTCTTTGAAGTTACCTTGTTTCCAGATCATTTAGGTCTACAAAGGCCAAAATCAGTACTTCTTGAGTTGAGGTCAGAAGAAAATGATTAACTAATCAAGGTGATATGATAACCAAGGCTATTTAATCTGATTAGTGGGCTTTCATTAGAATTCTTGCAGTTGCAGTACTCTCGTTTCTATGGAAGGGGTGGGCAACTTGTAGGCCAAAACATCTGAAGGACAACAATTTCTATCAGCCCTCAGTATCGGCTATTGTGGCTAGAGCCATTTGAAGAACCAGAAGCTGTCTATTCCAGTTAGAGTCTCTAGACTGTCTTCCAAGATTTGGACATGATAGTCCTAATTTGGATCATACTGTGGCATTAATGATAAGGGCCAAATGCAGGTTTTCTAGGAAATGCTGTAGTTTGTGCAGTGATCAGAGCTGGTGAAGTGACATCATGGCTGCAACTGTCACCTGAATATGCAATAACACCTTTATTGAAGTACTCCCATTGTTTCCAGACACTCGAGCCTGGTAACTCCATTTCTGTCAAGCCTGAGCATCTGATCCTTAAACCTGAGGAAGAACAAGAAGTGACAGTTGAGTTTTGTCCAAAGGACTACAGAAATGTGGAGAGGTAACACAAGCCAACTGGTGTAATGACATCAAGTAGATATTTTATTTTTGTAGTGTCTAACTTGGGATTTTATTTTAATAGTGTTGTGAAAATATTGGTACTGCCATCTGGACCAGAGTATAAAGTGACTGTGAAAGGTGACGTGTCTGTTGAGGAGAGCAGACATTCAGTACAAAAATGCCCAAGTTCAGATGTTCCCCCCATTCTTGCCAACAAGCAGCTTCTGGCGTGGGGAGGGGTACAGCTTGGCAGAACAGTGTAAGTACAAAGTAACAGTTTAAGCAGTATGTGAACTGATGTTGCTGTACACAGTCTGAAATAGTTTTCTTTAAAGCAGCATGAAATTTCTTGTTTAGACACAACAGTGTTGTTTTTTTTGAGAAGTTTTATAAGGCAGATGTCAATCCAAGAAAAGGACTATGCATCTAGAACTTAGGAAGACAACCTACAGATATCAGCCTGATTTCAAAATTTCAAAAGCCGTTTGTTGGCAATTAATTTAAACCTCTGGCAGTAGTGATCTGTCCCTTCCCTGGCAGGCACCTGTGAGTGAAGGAGGAGGAAAAGTAGGGAGAGGAGTGTCAGAAATGCAGAGAAAAGAGAACAAGAAAAGTGACCCACCTACTTTTGGTTTTGACTAAACACTACAAGTTAAACGAAAGATGTAGAGCTAGACCAATTGGGGCTTGCTTCCTGAGATCACCTTGGATTTAATTATGATACAATTCTTATTTGGTAGTTTTAGTATACATTTTCCTGGGAACCATCTAACTGTTTATTTCTTGCCTCATAATATAATCAAGTTACTACAAATTTTTAAACACAATTTTTAGTCAACAGAAACTAATTCTGAGAAATGGCTCTCCATCTACTACTCAACAGTTACGAATGCTGATAAGAGGTCAAGATCAGGACTGTTTTCAAGTGAGTAATACGGATATCAGAAACCATATCAAATATAATCAGTGACTGAGATTGATACAGGTTTTAATTTAAAATATAACTGCTATGTTACATTTTAACATATTTGTCTGATATAACAAATCCCCTTCAGAGAATACCCTTCTAAGGCTATGATCCTATGTACACCTTCTGGGAGTAAGTCTAATTGAATCATGTGGGAGTCTAAATAGTAATATATAGGACTGAACTATAAATTTGATTCCATTTGTTATGGTACATATGAGTCATAATTTTAAATTTCTAAATTATAAATGTTTTTTAATTTGTTTAATGATAGTTTTGTTCCATCAGACTATGGATTTGAATATCTTTGTCACAGATTCTGCATTTCATAGGCAATATTTCTATTGTGAAATATTCAGTGAATTCCTGCACATCCCCCACAATACCTGTTCACTTATTTATTGCATAATCGTGCAGATGGTTCTACTTACATGGAGACTTTTTTCTGTACATGAAAGCGTTGCAAAGTAAAATAAGAAAGTTGTTTAAGCCTCCTTCACTTTTCTAGACTGAGACTAGTGAGATTTCTAGAATTTCTTAAATTTGTTTTGTTATGCCAGCATTTTCATGGAGTGATGTTTTTCTGAATTCATGGAACTAAGGAAACAAATAATTTGAAGAGGTGATTGAATGTATGGGGTTTTTCTTTTTATATTTCTAGTTGAAACTTGGAGATCATATGTATAATAACTGTGAAATCAAGATCCGACCAAAACATGATTATAGTGTTTGTCTAACATTCTCACCATCTCGCTTAGCTTGCATGTTTGCAAAGCTCGAAATGAAACAGCTAGGTCTTCTATCTCAACTAGGAATCAAGTTCACTGTAAGTTGACTTTTATATTGATCAATGTAAGTTTTTGGAAGGAGGGGTTTCTGAAAAATAGCAAGACTATTGTTTCTTGCAGTAAGGTCACTAGGTAAGTTGGAAATATTTTCACACTTTCTAAATCTAAGCCAGACAAAACATTAAAATATGGCCATGTAACCTTGTTTTGAGCTGAAATATCTCAGTGTACCACTCCTATTGACAAGAAAACAAGTCTTTATTCCATGGTCTCATTGAAACATTCATCTTCTTGTACTTTTCTTGATACTCCATTTTCTAGGCCTTTTATTATTTGTATTTCTACACTATCTGAAATTATATATTTAATGGTTCCAGGCTTATATAGGCAATACTTTTAGATCTAACTTTCAACTTAGTGTGGACATACCATGATTGAGTTATATTGGGAATGGGCAAAGTTTTTCCCTTGTTTTCTATGCACTGGTTAATATTGAGGTGAAGGCAAAGTATCATAACAGTTGTTATCACCAACTTGCTGCACTATATTCTAACCTAAAGACTTAATATTTCAGGTAGTTGTGCAGCATATGTGCAACTCTGAACTACCATCCCAAAGAACTCTTCTCACACACGTCTGGCACTTAAAAAAAAGGGGGGGGGGAATGGCAGTTGTCCCAGCATGCTACTTGGTTACTTGGGAGGAGTTGCTATTTTGGAGATCACAAAAAGTGATCTCCACACAAAGAGCAGGGAAAGCCACAATGAGTGTAAAGGGACTGTGATTACACTGGGGACAGGAGGTTGATGAGTTCTGTTGTGCATTTCCCTGAAATACCTGCAGGAGGACCTAAGCGGAAGGAATGGGGAGGAACTCATGGTAAGCCTGATTTGGAGGGTGGGTTGGTATGTCATGCAGATTCATCTGTTGTGGTCTCCAGTAGTACAGGGCTCTGTTAGTTAGTAAGAATTAGTACATCTAGTAATGGGCATCAGTAAATATGTTAAAGCACTGTGTTGATAAAGGATCCTCTACTTGCCTTGAATATACAGTTTGAGAAGAACAGACCTGAAAACAGTACTTTGTCAATTGCTTTAATTCTTGGTATGTTTTTTTCAGATACCATTGTATGGATATGGGGGGAAAAGCAATGTGATATTGGAAGATGTTAAAAAACAATCTAACGGATACGTTGTAGAATTGTGTGAGCCATCATCTGGTAAATCAAGCCAAGCGTCTTTCTCAGTACACAATACAGGGTATCGGGCTGCATTTGTGAAAGTACTTTGCTATAAGAACTTCTGTGAAAAAATTACTATGGATCCAAATGTGCTGAGAATTTTTCCAGATAAGTTTGTCCTTAAGGAAAGTTCACAGCAGGTAAATATGCCAGTCACATGCTTGCCATGATAATGTGAAAAATACACTTAGTTATGCATGACCTGTAAAATAAGTTGCTTTTTTCAGAAAGTACTATACAAAAAATGTGCTGTACATTTTTTAAATGTATCTGATTTACAATTCAGACATAGTGGCACTACCTAGAGAACATTCATTTTAACATATTTAATGTCATTTCCTCCAGAAAGTTACAATAACATATAATTCCACTGAGGAACAAAATAATTCATTGGTATTGTCCACAATATGCTTCTTCTATGGGGATGAAATTTCAAGACAGCAGTATCGTAGGTAAGGATATCTTTTTCTTGAAAGATAATGTAGCTTATATCAACCATAATAATTACTGTTTGCGTAAGCGTAAGAAACTAATGCTAATTACTATTTTTCTAAAACCTGAAAGAAAACCCTGTCTGCATTCAGAGATGATTGGTCCAAAGAAGCAAGTTCTGATATTTGGCTGTGCAAATGCCAACAGTGTACCCAACAGATAATTGGGCTTACCATGCACTGTTCACCCCATCCTTTCCCTTCCTCCCTCAGTTCTGCAGAGATCCTAGTGGACTCCATGTCAGAACTGACTTGCCTGGTCCTCCTCTCTGCACTCAAGATAATTTTTATTCTCTCCACAGCTTTATTGCTCCATTGACATGGCTAGCATTAGTAGCTCTTTTTGCTAACCTGTTTCTCATCTCCACTGAAATACATAGTGTGTTCAGAGGACTTGGCAGTGGTCACTCTCTTTAGACATTAGTGCAAAGTGAAGCTCTCTTAAAGAGAGAAGGAGAAGATGACATGGACGTGTTTCATCTGCATCCTGAACATCTGTGACAGACAGTTGCCACTAGGGTTCTTATGATTTTTGGAAGGATGACTAGGACACCAAATGATGCTAATTTTAGGCTTGATAAATTACTTCCGTTATGGGCAATAAGGAAGTGATCAGCTGTAGATTCTAAACACATCAGGATCAAAAATGTTTTCTAGCTAAGTGAAGTGATTATTTGATTGAATGGTTTACTGAGTAGATTAGCATCTCTATTAAATATTAAGATTAATGGGAACTTGAAAACTACTCTTTATAATTGTCTACTTAGAGCTATGCAACATAATCCAGAGCAAGTGCAAAAAATACTACCTGCTAATAATCCAGTGATTGATGTAAAATTTGATGAAGAATTACCAGGGGAAGAGCTGGTGACAGAAGGTAAACTTACTTCTTCTGAGGATATCTGTCTAATTTATCTATTTAATTTGTTTACGTGTATGCTGGAGTTCCACCTCTTCTGTTCCTTTGATCTTGTTTTTGTTACCATAATATAAGGCCAGTGTAACTGTGGTCTAGGAATGCAGTGTAGCTGTCACATAATTTCTCTATCATTTCCAGAGCAAATCTCCCCTCTCCACCACCATGCTGCCTTTAGATATTTAATAGGAAGCTAACTTTTGATACGCTTGTATCCAAAATTGCTTGATAGATTAAACTTTGTAAGAGCACCAAGGAGCCTTTTGAAATTCTTAACATTATGCCACTTCAGTCATAAGAACATAAAAAGAGGTGTACTGGATCAGACCAAAGGTCCACCTAGTCCAGTGTTTACTTCATATAACAGCGAGCCAGCTCTCTGTGGGGAGGTCATAAGCAGGGCACGAGTTAAAAAGTACCATACTTTTCATAGAGTCATCATAACTAGTAGCCTTTGAAAGCATTGTCCTCCATGAACTTGTGTGATCTCCTTTTAAAGCTATCCAAATTGGTGATTACTATTGCATCATATGATCTTTAATTATTGCATTATTACATCATATGATTATTAATCCTATGGAACAATAGATACAAAGTACCCCAACCAGTACCCCAACCAGCCAACTTATTTGTTTAGGATTGGATGCAGTATTTGGGGTTTTAATGTTTGTAAACCACCCAGAGAGCCCTCTGGGCTATTGGGGTGGTATATAAATGCAATAAATAAATAAAATAAATGTTGATCATCCTTTATTTTATAACCTAATGCTTTTGTCCCATGATTGGTACAAAGAAGCAATATGACAGTCACACAGGGGTGGACCTTCTGAATGCTCTGCTTTGTAAGCCTGTTTTTGTAACTAAGTTGCAAGTGGTGTTTGTGGAAAAGGAGAGAAAAGTGTGTACGTAGCTTAGTTCTCCTTTGTGGCCCTGGATGAGACAGATACTATTTGAGGACTGTGCAGGAGGAGCTTAATTCCTTTACACTTGTGCAATACAGAAAGAGAGTTGTTTTTGATGGAAGACTGCATGCAATGGTGCATGTCAAGTACCGTTCCTTTCTTTATGGATTTGTGGGTCTGTAGCCTAAGTGAGCGCCAAAGGATTGATGCCTTTGAATTGTGGTGGTGGCGGAGACTCCTGCAAGTCCCGTGGACTGCAAGGCGAGCCAGCCGGTCAGTCCTAGAGGAGATCAATCCTGACTGCTCTTTAGAAGGCCAGATACTGAAGATGAAACTAAATACTTTGGCCACCTAATGAGAAGGAAGGAGTCCCTGGAGAAGAGCCTAATGCTGGGAACAATAGATGGCAAAAGAAGAAGGGGACGGCAGAGGATGAGGTGGCTGGATGGAGTCACTGAAGCAGTCGGCGTGAGAGTGAGTGGACTCCGGGGGATGGTGCAGGACAGGAAGGCCTGGAGGAATGTTGTCCATGGGGTCACAATGGGTCGGACACGACTTCGCGACTAACAACAACAACAAGCCTAAGTGGGTAAATGGGATTGGGACAGGTTCAGCTTCAGCCAGATACTACCCAAAGAGGCAGTCTGACTGAAACCACTTAAAGTTTGAAAAGGGCCAGGATTGTAATTACTGTTAACTAGTGGTATTGACCCAAAAGGTTTTTTTCAGGACATTATCAAGGACACAAGATAATTTACATTGAAATTGTATGAAACTTTAAGAATAGTTCAGTATACTTTTTGATGTCTTAATCTTACTAGGTTTAAAATGCATGTCAAATGTAAAGTGAAGCATTGTATATAGAACTTTTTAAGCCATTATGTGCAGGCCACAGTGTTTTGAAAGTAGTGATCAGAAGTTTCCCCAAATGCTAAGTTTTACTTTACTACATACATATATGAATGCCATGTTTTTTGCAGGTTCTTGTACAATGGGTACAGTGTCCCTATTCTCCATATTCATTCAAGGGGATTTCTGAGTGCACCTGTGTACTGTTTAAAAGGACTGGATGTTGTGTTCCATTTCAATAACCATATCATTAAATTCTAGTTGACTTCCATTATGCCCGTTTTCATTTCCATAAAAGCTGATTTTTTTTTCAAGATTTGGCTTTCATTGTGACAGGTTGGTAGTGCTTTCACACATGCTCTCTCTCTCATATATACCCCTACCTTGAAGAGATGACCTGGGGCAGGCTGAACAGGTAATCCACCACTACAAAAAAACAGAATATATTTTCAGTTACACTTGTTTAAAATTCACGTGGGGATCTTCTATCAGCCATCTGAGTGGGATGGTGTTAATTGGTGTCTTGCAACAGCAGGGGGTTGGACCCAATAGCCTTTGTGGCCCCTTCCAACTCTATTATCTGAAAACACAGTCCAGATTGATGCGCTGAAAAACTACTAGATGTGTGGATATTAATAATTCCAATGATTTTTAATAATGGAATAATCTGTAGTTAATATTATAGTTTGAACCAATTATGCTTTTGTTCAACTAAATCAGCATGCATGTAATTTTCAAATTTCTTCTCCTAGTGTATGATCTTCCAGAACAGCCAAATGATCTTCAGTGTTTTTTCACAAACATGCGAAGGATTTTTCTTTCTGTTGTTTATGCCTCCACTAGTACTGTTTCAGATGCCAAGCCAGCATTAGTACATCATGTAGCATTGCAGAGGTAATGTTGTATTTGTCTTGTTAAAATACTAGTGAACAGTAGTAGTATTTCCTCTACTTTGGTAAACTTTCAGTCCTTCAAGTAATAGCTAAATAAAAGTTCAGATTCTGAAAGTCATGCAATCTGTAGGTCATACAGTCTGGTTTGAATGCTAAAACATGTTTTAATTCTACGTGGTGTAAGCAACCTTCAGTGAAGCTGTGGGATGGTATACTCCACCCCTTGCTCCAAACAGATGGACTTCACTAGCATTTAAATTATTTTTCTGTTAATCTTAGTTTCTCATTCCATAAGTACCAGAGATCCTAGCTTTTGACAAAATTTGATTAAACAAGCTTAATTCATTGGAAGGAGGCTGGAGTTAGTTTTAAAATGCAGTCCCTGGTTTGTGCAACAATGACAAATTGTGGTGAGTGCAAAGGAAACTAAATGGTAACCAAGCTTTTCTAGAAATCCAGGAGGCAGCAGAAGAAGCAGACAGTCCAGAAACTTTGCTCAGGGTCATTCTAGTTTGTACACATAACATTAAACTGGAATGTTTAGAAAATTCAGGGAACCTTTCTGGCTGAGAGGGGCAAGATAAAAATCTATTATAATGGATTGGTATGGACTCCAATCAATCTTTCTTCTTAAGAGTGTGTATTTTAATAATTATTATGCAAAAATGCTTCTGGGAACATTTACATTGGAGCTGAAAAAGATTTCCTCAAATCCTTGAATCAGGATACTAATTTCCAACTACCTCAGTTGGTTGCTCACACTAATGTAGATTTTGTTGCACTGTCATAAAGGATCTCTAGTGCTACACCAATAACATTAAGGTGACTGGGTTATCCACAAAACCCGTTGTGCCAGCTAACAGTACTGAAGTAGCACTAGAGTTCTCTTACAGTAGTGATGAAAAGTAATTTATGTTAGTACTAGTGTCCAGTTGGAAACTACTTCTCATCTACCAGCTTATAATTGCTTATTGCTCTTCAGCAGCTTTAATTTTGGTTAAGATTAACTATAGTGTGTGTTAGAAGCAAGGAAAAGTTATCTTTGAACAGTATTTGAAGCTTGAAGGCTCACTATTTTTCAATACTTTCCCCTTTTTCTGTCAGTAGTTTATATTCAACCATTTTAATTTTTTTTATAGATCTAGTATTCCTGAGAAACCTAGCATGACTCTGGATGTACTACCTGTTAAAGGACCTGTAGGCTGTGCATTGTCTTCAAAAGCCAGTGGTCTGGATGAAATTAGGCTTGTTTCTCAGGACACCTGGTCTCTTCAACCCGAATTTCTGATTTTCACAGCTCCTTCTCAGAGTAAGTAACTTCAGCAAGCGTCAATACTTAATCAGATTCCTTGTTATAAGTACTTGCCTGTTTTGATAATTTAACAGTATTCTTTGATTGAAAATTACTGACATGACCATCACTGAATTTTGCAGTAATAATAAACTGATTTGATTGTCATTGTGGTTATTTTACTTGAGCTGCATACATTCTGAATATGAATTTTAGAATATGAGATTAAGATAATTTTTCCTGAAGGCAGATGATTTCAGCCTTTTACCACTGAGAATTGTCTATATAATTGTCTGCATTTAAGATCTACTTATTCTACTTTATTATCTATCATAAGCCTTCTCTAGTTGCTGGCATTGTGGTCAATCTGTTGCTGAAAGCCTGGTAACCTTACTTAAAGTTACAATTTTGTAAAAATAGGTTCCAGTCCAGCATTTGAAAAAAAATTAGCAGTATATGCTTAATACCTGTAGTTAAATTCTGTAGAAACTCATTCATTCATTCATTTTCTGTGTCACCCATAGTTGAAGCTCTCTGGCTGGTTTACAACAGTAATCATAGAAGCATGTACTCAAATCACCCAGCAAGATTCTAAGCAAGCCTTACCCTGCTTAGCTTCCAATATTAGGCAGGGCCAGGCACTTCAAGATACAATTGATACATATGTAAATTAGCAAGTAAAATTCTATATTTAATTGATTCAGTTGTTACTATTATATAGAAAATGCAAGTATTATAAGAGCTAACAGTAATTTCATGCAATTCTTACCTTCAAAGGCGGAACAACAGTTACTAAATATGCACAAATCACTAACAACTCAAACAGGTCACTGAAATTTGAGCTATCGTGGCCTGCTCACTGTCTTACGATAACACCTCAGCTTGGAGATATTGAACCTGGGTGAGTTCAGTTGCTCATGAATCTTTAGCAATATCGTATTTAGTTTTGGCTAAAGGTTGGGGTTCTGTACCCACTTACTTGGGAATTAGTCCCCCTGAACCTAATGAGTCCTAATTCACAATAGATTGATAGGATTGTTCTCTAAGGTTAATAATTGTGTGTTATTGCAAGAGCTGGATGTAGAAGAAAGGGGTATTTTGCGCTAGTTTTGGCAAGTTCTTCTTCCTTACAATATTACCTTGCCTCCTCTTTAACATTGACAAAAGTCTTTATGCAGCTTATTAAGAATTGAAGTGTTTCAGTGTAAAGTACTTGAATTTAAAATACTTATAAAATGATCTGAGTCAAATTTAGGTAGCTCCATCCAAATAGTTTTATTGCAGACAATAGAACTTGTCTTTTAAAGAGATGATGAGCCTACTATTAAAAAGTTACTGCCTCTGTATCATATGCATGCTTTCTCACTCTTGTATATACCTCTGTAGGAATTGAGAAAAATGCAGCAGCTGTTATGTTCTGCAGCCAACAAGTTGCATCCTGTTGCAAATTATACTGTAACCAAAGGGACTGACAATTGATGACAATGTTTTGCCATCGAACTAACAATTCTTATGCCATGCTAAGCGCAGCAGCTACATTGGTAGATTTGCCAGAAATTTGCCATTCTTCAGCTCAGGTTAAACTAATTAAACTCAGCTCAGATTAAACTAATAGAATACTAACTTTTCTTGTACTGCATACAAATGCTCAAGAAATCCAGTAACCAGTTTTAGTTACTAAAACTGGTTACTGGATTTCTTGAGAATAGTGCTAAATTGTTTGCTTCACTGGCATTTAAAGTTTTTTTTTCCAATTAAGTTCAAACATTAAATGTTGAAATCTGTTTCTAGAGCCAGCATTTCAATTCATGTGAGTCCAAATCCTTCACTCGCAGAAAATAAATCTGTATTTCCATGGAGTGGCCTTATTTACATACATTGCGATGAGAGACAAAAAGTAAGTGACTGAAATAGTTTGTCTGTGACAAGGATACATAATCTCTGGCAAAGGGTCCAAATCCAACGTGTCAAGCATCACAGCCCAGCCCTTCTAGGATCCTAATCTAGTCTTGCAGGGATTTCCAGATGACCATGCAGCCTTTCCCTGGCCTGCACACCCTTTACTTCAACTATTTGATGGTTTCTTGAATTTTAAGCAGGGATTTTTCCCCATTCCAAACAGTTAAAATCCCTGTGCTATTGTTTAGTTACTGGCATTAAGCTTGTTCTTAGTCTACTCATTTTAGATACAACATTAAACTTGTGTGTTCGTGCCAAGCATCTTTCCACTTTGGCTCCATAGCATTAATTCCAAAGGAATTGGTATGGAAACATATTTCCCCATATCTTAGAAATTCCAGATAGTTATGCTGGCTAATAATCATTGATAGTAAATGTATTTGCTTAATCCCCTTTTAAAGGCCTCTAAACTAGTTGCCAATCTATATGTGTGTGGTGATTAGCAAGGTCAGGGAAACAATATGACACCACGACATGTTGCAGATTTACTGTTTGGTAAATGTCAAGGAATGGATTATATCCCTTTGTCTGATTTGTATCTCTGCACTAAGTGTTTGAAGATAGATAAGGGAAAATGTGTCAAAACACACTTGTAATAAATCATAGGTTAAAGCAAAAGATATTAAACAGAAAAGGAAATACTGCTTGGTTGCAGCAACGTTGTCCTGGAAGAAGAGTTTCTTACCTTCTTGGACTGATGGCCAAATTTGACATTTCGAGAAAAGAGAACTATCCATTGAAGATTCCTCAGGTGCCCCTAAGAAATCTTACCACTTGAAGTACTTCTGCCCTTAGTATATTTTCATGGCACCCTTTGAGGCCTCTGCAATTACATATTGCAAGATAGTACAAAAGAGATGTGGAGGTTCCCAGATTCTAGCTTGAGCTTCAAGGTTTTTTTTTTTAACTCCAAAAAATTGGAGTGAATTGAATAGTAAAATTATGCCCCATTGCACTCATTGCATTCTGTGCTGAAACTTGAAACTTGAAAAAGATATTTTTTTACCCTTTATTTTCTTGCAATTCAAGTAAATCTAAATTTCTGCTGATTGTTTTTATGCTGCTTTAGCAAAACATATATGTATTTTTGTTTCATTTTATAAACAGTCTTGGAAACTTATAGGATATAAATCTTTAAATGCCCAGTATATTAAAAGCTTTTAGGATATGTATGTTGTAAACAATTGGGTGTTTACTACATTGACTAGTTTCATCTTGTGGTTAAGTCATAATCATTCATTCCATAATATGGTTGGAAACAGATACATTTGGCAGCAGGTCTGAGTAGAGATCACTTGGGATAACAGCTGACTTAAAATATTATGGAATTGTGTAGCTTATTAAAGTGCAAATTCGGGAAAATACCTCTGAGAAGCCATCTGGAAAGGACTTGCCAGTTGCCAAAGAGGCTGCTCATGATCAACATCCTGAACTTCCTGTCATTCACATACGGCCGCTTCAAAAGCCACCTTCAACGAAACTTGAAATAAAGAATCGAACTGTGTTTTTTCCTGAGACAGGATCTGGTAAAAGTTCAGGTAAGCTTTGTTTTGTGCATAATTGATGTCCTAGTCAGTAAACTCTCTTCTGGTAGTGGAACTTGATTTAACATGTTCTACTTTAATATGACAAAAAAGATTGGCCATGCATGGATTATAAATAAGAATAACAATAATTGACAGCTGTGACCCAGTGTGGGGTAGTGAATTAGAACTGGGACTGGGATTCAGATGATCTGGGTTCTAGTCCCTGCTTAGCCATGGGGCCAACTTGTGAGTGGACCAGTCACAGACTCTTATCCCAGTCTACCACGGGGTTGTTGTTGTCTGAATAAGATTGAGAGCAGGAGGAAGAGAATGATGCAAGCCACTTAGAGTTCTTTTAAAAAGAAAAAAAGCAGGATTTAAATCTATAAATAATAACTTGCTTTTTGGCTTTGAAGATATTTACACAATTGAATTATGAGAGGTGAAAGGAAGACTGGATGTTTTGGAAACCACTATTGATGTAAAAGTCTGCCTGTAGGTGCCTGTTCCTAGTTTATTCTACTCCCATCCCTATTATAATGGAGCATCCAGTACTAAAGGAAAAAGTCAGGCTTTGCTTTTGTTCTATGGGTATATTCAAAGGTTGTTCTTTTGCGGTCATTCTTTCCCATTGGTAAAAAGATTCAGTTACCATTATAGCATGTTTTTGGCTACCATTGATGCAGACTTCTGCTTTTCTCAACTCCTTATAAAATAAGTCTCTAGAATACAAAACCCAGCATTGCAGCTCATCTACTTAGCTCAGTGGAATGCCATAAGAGTCACTGGCCCAGTTTGGATGCTTTATAAAGTGAGGAACAAGCATCAGAACTGAACATTCTTCACCTTGTGTGACACTTCATAGCTAGTGTATATGATGCTGGAGTCCCGTGTTCTAACCTGATTGGAGAGTTGAGGCTTAATATTACTGACTTTAAGCCAGAAATAAATTGTCATGTGAGGGAAGGAACACTAGGATTTGACACCTAACTACGGAAACCATAGTTTACAATTGGGAACTAAACCAACTACCTAGTCCAGTCATAATTTTGTTTCTTGGTTATGACAAGAAACAAAAGTATTAATTAATTTATAATGTTATTGAAATTTTTATTCACTGCTTTGCTGAAAATTATTAAAGCTGCTGCTGGTTTCTCCTCTCCTTCCCCTTCCCCGCCTCTGGGCAGTGGTACAAATTTGAAGGATTTATTTCATAAACTATTGAATGCTTCACCACAGATTATTCATTGTCTTAGATTAATAGACATTTGTGGTTTTCAGCCATCAAGTTACAATGATAAAAGTTCATGCAGATGAGAAATACTATTATTTATTTATTTTATAACATTTTTATGCCGCACCCATTGCCGAAGCCTCGGGGCGGCTTACAAAGAAAATAAAAAAACAAAGAATAGAATAACATTAAAAATTTGGAGTTTCTCATTTGTTATATGAGAACAACTCCCAGTCCCCATCAGCAACCTGGCAACTCTATTTTGCACCAATTGAAGTATCCAGACCATCTTCAAGGGCAGCCCCACGTAGAGCGCGTTACAGAAATCTAATCGGGAAGTTACCAATGCATGTGTCACAGTCGCCAGGCAGTTGTTCTTCAGGTAGGGACGCAGCTGATGGATCAGCCGAAGCTGAAGGAAGGCACTCCTCGCCACCGCTGTTACTTGAGCTTCTAATGTCAGCTCTGGGTCGAGGAGCACTCCCAAGCTGCGAACCCTGTCCCTAAGAGGGAGTGCAACCCCATTCAGGACAAGGTCCAGATCCCCCATACCGAAGCCCGACCCACCTACCAACAGGACCTCCATCTTGTCTGGATTGAGCTTCAGTTTATTGGCCCTTATCCAGCTCATTACCTCGGCCAGGCACCGGTTCAGTACAGCCACCGCCTCACCTGGATTAGTTGAGAACGAGAGGTAGAGCTGGGTATCATCAGCGTACTGATGATTCCGCAGCCCACACCTCCTAATGACCTCTCCCAGCGGTTTCATGTAAATGTTAAACAGCGAAGGGGACAAAATGGACCCCTGTGGAACTCAATGGCATAGCTGCCATGGCGCAGAGCCATAGTCCCCCAGCACCACCTTCTGGAAACGGCCATTGTGATAGGAGCAGAACCACTGCAAAGAAGTGCCTCCAACTCCCAATCCTGCAAGCCTATCCAGAAGGATACCATGGTCGATGGTATGGAAAGCTGCTGAGAGGTCCAGGAGAACCAACAGGGACGCACTCCCCCTGTCTCTCTCCCTGCACAGGTCATCGTACAGGGCAACCAAGGCAGATTCAGTACCGTACCCAGGTCTGAAGCCGGACTGAAATGGGTCCAGATAATCAGTTTCATCCAAGAGTGCCTGGATTTGTTCCACCACCACCCGCTCTAACACTTGCCCAAGAACGGGATGTTGGCCACCGGTCTATAATTGGCGGCCGCCTCTAGATCCAGGGATGCCTTCTTTAGGACTGGCCGGACTACGGCCTCCTTTAAAGGGGCAGGTACCCGGCCGTCCCTCAGAGAGGTGTTGACAACCTCCAGGATCCAGGTCCCAATCCTGTCCTTGGCTGTCTTGAGTAGCCAAGATGGGCAAGGGTCCAGTAAGCAGGTGGTAGGATGTACCTGTCCAAGCACCTTGTCCACATCATCAGGCTGCAACAACTGAAACTCATCCATCAGTTGTGGACCAGATGGTAACATTGGCACCTCCCCAGTAGGATCTGATTCAATAGTAGAGTCCAGCTCGTGACGAATCTGAGCAATTTTCTCCTGGAAATGCTTGGCGAAGTCGTCACAGCGGGCCTTCGAGGGTGGCACAACATCTTTCTTTGGGCCTGGATGTATCAGCCCCTGTACCACCTGAAAGAGCTCCGCCAGATGGCATTGTGAGGAGGCAGTGGAAGCGGAGAAGAATTTCTTCTTCACCGCCCTCACCGCTGCAGCATAGGTCCAATAATGGGCTCTCAAGTGTGTTTGGTCGGATTCATCCCGTGATTTCCTCCACCTATGCTCTAGACGTCTCCCAACCTGCTTCATCGCCTGTAATTCCGGTGTATACCAAGAGGATGAACGGGCTCTGCCAGATGGGAGAGGACGATTAGGAGTGATCGTGTCAACAGCCCTGGCCATTTCCCCATTCCATAATTTGACCAGAGCTTTGACAAGAGCACCAGCTTTATCAACCGGGAAATCCCCCAGGGCCTTCAGGAATCCATCTGGATCCATCAGGCTCCGGGGGCGGACCTTTACAGAGGGAAAGGCTGCTCTCGAGCCCAAACCTCACAAAGTGATCTGACCATGACAGGGGAGTCAGACACAAGTTCCTCACCCTCAGATCACCCTCTTCCTGCCCCGTTGAGAAAACCAGGTCCAGAGTGTGTCAACATTCATGGGTTGGGCCAATGACGTGTTGAAACAGCCCCATGGCCGCCATGGAGGCCATGAAGTCCTGAGCCGCCCTGGTCAGAACCGTCTCAGCATGGAGATTGAAGTCCCCCAGGACCAGCATCCTGGGAGTCCTCAACACCAGGTCCGAGACGATCTCCGTCAGCTCAGGCAGGGAGTCTGTTGGGCAGAAGGGTTCACGGTACACCAACAGAATCCCCAATCTGTCTCGATCGCCCAACACCAAGTAGAGGCACTCTAGACCCGGCCTTGAGGGGACAGGAAGCCCCGTGAGGGAAATAGAGGCGCATCCCAGTCCAATTAACAATCCCAGCCGACAACATGGCCCCTGGCCAGCCCAGCCCCTGCACGGCCCCCAAACGGCAGTGACTGCCCTTTGGCCGTCGCCCAGCCAGCTGTCCGTCCCCGTGCCCCGCCCCCAATCTGGCGTGGCTCTCACCCAGCACCGGCGGGGTGGAGAAGCAGGGCGGGCGCACGGCACTTGCGGCTCCTGCCAGCCGGCAAGATGGCAGCGTTCTCCCTGGCAGCAGCGTCGTCAACCGGCTTGGCATCCTCCGGCCTCAGGTGGGTCCTGCCGTGGCCGCGGGATGCAGTATCAGCCGGCCCCCAGGGTCCAGTGGAGCGCCCGCGGTGTGATGGTGAAGGGAGAAAGGGGGGGAATAATGCATTCTAAATTCATTTATGAACAATGACACAGTGACCTGGTTTGTACAATCAAAATTTCTTGCAAGCCACAGTACATAGCAGGCATGATTTGCATAGTCACACAGGATATGTGGCTTTTTGGAGATACAACCCTCAACCGATGGGCTATTGTACAATTATTTAACAGTTGTTCCATCCTCCAAACCATACCATGCGTTATTCACACTTGTTTTGAACATGCAAACAGACATAGAATCTGTCTAATCTTGAATTTCACATGGTTTAACAGTAGATTAACTTGATATTTTCCAGAGCTGTATACAGCTTAAGATTTGTGTGGTGGCTTCATTTTATGCCATGCTTTGGAATGCAAAGATTTTAAGTGTTTGGGAAAATTTGGATGGGAATGCTCTGCATAGGTTTGGAGCTGTTAACAGTGGGTTGAAACTGAACTCCAACACTGACATAAACTGTGTCGTTCTTTTGTAGAAGGCAATCATTGGTATAGATTATAAGTATCAATTCTGTTCTGATGACTGTTTGGATTATCAGCAAGCTGCTTACTCCTGTAGTTATTCTGAAATTACTTAGAAATGGTACTACTTGTAATCTTCATCCTGCATTGTGGACTAACTGGCATCCCTCAGCATGCATTCTGTACGGTATTTTACAGTACTCTTACGCATTGTCAGAAAATAACTAGTCTAAAACACCCCCAAATTTCAGCCTCCTGCCTTTTACATTTTTTTCTGTAAATTAAAACATGTCTTGACCCTAATAGAACTATTCTACAGAGATTCTAGAGTACTATGTGATATTTTTATACCCCAAACAATACCCTGAAACAAAGGGAGGGAGAGGGAAAGTTCAATACTGATCATCTTGATCTCCTTTTAGAATATCAAATTCCTAGCTTAAAACCTTCAGCAAATAGAACTAAAATCCCTTGAAGGAAAGCTTTGCTATGATTTTTTTTCAAGTTAGCAGACAAACTATAGTTATGCAGAGAAAAGGTCAGTAGGTTAAGGATTGTTATGCAAATTTTCTTATTGCATAGCTTCAGGAAGGATTAAACCTTAAATTGCTTATATTTGAGGCCGTTCTTAAGCCATCTGTATTGGAACCTCCTGGAGGAAAATTTCAACTAGAACAAAGGCATTTCACATGCAACATTTTCCTTCCTTGAGAACCTTTTATCTGGGATCAAAAATGACCCCAAATGTGACTAATGCTACTTTCTTATTGTATGAGATCAGGGGTAACATGGACAAGTGTTTATTTTCTTGTACATTTTCCTGCAGAGAAATATATAGAGATAGAAAATAATGGAGATGAAAATGTGAAATGGATTTTGTCTTCTTTTGCACCAACCTATGTCAAGGTGAGTAGAAAACCTGAAAAAAGACAGTCATAGAGGTTCGTGATAATTTTTTATACTAAATAGTGTTCATATATGAATAGAACTCTTCCACAGTTCACAGCAGCAAGCTTAGATAACAAGTTTACTAGAAAATTGATAAACAACCTGATCTCATTTAAAAATCATTTTTATGTTCTGGTTGTCCTAATTTACTCTTTAGGCTCTCTGACCAGGGATGTTGAGAGCTAGTGGGTGAATTCACAACATTTCTCATGCAGAAAGGATACTGTATGAATTGTAACTTGGATACTTATCAAAGTTACAATTCATACAGTTACACAAAAATCAAATTTTATATCTCATTCTAAGGTGTTACACATTTGTTTGAATAAGGAAATAATTTATCATATTAAATTTGAGTAGAAGAGTATGTTGATATTAATGAGAATTTAATCATAAGGGACTGCAGGTGGCACCGTGGTTTAAACCGCTGTGCTGCTGGACTGGTTGATTGAAAGGTCGCCGGTTCGAATCTGCACAACAGGGTGAGTTCCCGTTGCTCCATCCCAGCTCCTGCCAACCTTGCAGTTCGAAACAGGCAAATGCAAGTAGATAAAAAGGTACCACTTTGGTGGGCAGGTAACAGTGTTCTGTGCACTTTGGTGTTTAGTCATGCCGGCCACATGACCACGGAGACTGTCCGGGACAAACGCTCGCTCCTTTGGCTAGGAAACGGAGATGAGCACCGCCTCCTAGAGTCAAGCATGACTGGACTTAATGTCAAGGGGAAACCTTTACCTTTAATCATAAGGTAAACCTGAGAAGTGCTGTTGCTAGTAGAAGTACGGCCCAATACCAAAGTATGCTTCCTTCTTATAATCCCTGTGTACCAGGTTTAAATCTGTCTGTTTTATCCAATGAAGTGTTTTTCTATTGAGTGCATTTCAGCATTTACAGTCATTTTTAACAGCCTTTTATCAAAGTGCAGTATATCTGTCCACTCTAGAACAGTTCTCTTGAAAATGTTTGACACTGTTTTGATTTCTTTTTAGGATGTTGATGAAAGTGGAGAAGTTTATAGAGCTACATATACAACTTTCCAGTGTTCATGTCTTTCTGGTACTCTTGAAGCTCATGGGAAACAAAAAGTAAGTTTATTTGATGGTGTGTATTTTCCTTTGAAGATTTGTGTGGCTTCAAAGGAAAAACAGCTATAATTCCAATCTTATAGGATGTAACTAGCATTAGTAGTTATGGGAAATGAAGTTAGTTTTGTGTTCAAAACTCAGTTTTCAGAAATCTGAAAAAAATTGAAAATAGAAGTAAGTTTCCCCTATGATTTAGTTCCAACTCTATGCAAGGCACTTGCCATGGAGTTTGTTGTATAAATTTGAACTTTTTTCATTTGGGTTACTCAATTAGTGTCTGAGAATAATACATGTGGTACAACTTTTTCTCTTGCAATTTTGATCATGCTTTCATCTTCCCCAGGTGTTATAGTACATACTTCCTAAAAGACCATAGGGATTTAAAGTCTTGCCGTTAACTTGGTGGTACTAATCTTATCATTGCTCAGACTAGATATATTTAACAAGGGATTTGTTCCTTGTTTATCTTGGTCCTGAAAGTTGTTTTTATAGCAGCTGTTGAGCTTGTGCTAGTGAATTAATATTTTAACCATCTACAATTGATGAAAAGTGCTGTCATTGCAGCTCAGTGAGGTTTAGAAATGTTTTGTTTTGATTTTGAAAGTCACAGTAAAAATTAATTTTTTGAAGTTCAGAAAAGTGTGTGTATAGTATATACCTATACAATTTTCTAACTTTATTTCCTCATAGGTTAAAGTTACCTTTTTGCCTAGAGATAGAGGGCAGTATTCTCAGTTCTGGGATCTTGAGTGTCATCCCATTCATCATTCTCACGTGAAAGACAAGCACAGACTCCAATTTTGTGGAATGGTGAGTATATAAAACAAGCTCATTAATTAACTGAATTAAATTAATTCTTAGCAGATGTCTTATTTCCTGTTGAAATTAGTCAGCAGTTTTACCCACTAGATAAATTGACAGGATCAACTGGTAAATGCTGGTCTTAAGGTTGTTGTAGCCTGCTACTAATACCATTTCATGTTAATTTTTGCATGTTTAATAAGAAGCATAACACTAACAAAGTCCCCTACAGCTCCTACTATATTTTGTAATATAGAACCAATAAAATGCCATCATTATTGGGGTGCAGAACTGCCTTCACAGAATTCAGGGCAGCTTTTGTACCTCATTTATTAATTTCTTGTGTTCTTTGCAATGAAGTTGTAGGTTAAGAACAAGTGTAGAGAATTAATACTTGTAAAATAAAATTAGAGCACAGCTTAATTTGGCCAAAGTTTAGTTCATTGGATTTTACCTATACATCTTGCCAAATTAACCTTTCACAACCTTCTATAAAAACGTGTAGCATAATTTGAGGAGACGGTCTTGATGTTTAATTCCAGTTGTTTCTTGTAACAGGGTATCCTACAAAATGAAGCTTTAAAAGAGGAAGGTTCCAAAGCTGCCTTAGTAAAAATTAGGGTTCAAGATGTGTCCCAAAGAAGAGATTACTCTGACATTTTTGAGCACAAAATCTGGTATGTACATGAAATGTAATATAAAATATGTCTGTGTGCACTTGTCCTTAATCAACAAAAAGAACTTTGTAATTTGCTATTTGATAGTATTCAAGCATCTTCATAATATTTTACCACACTCAGGGTTGCAAGATCAAATAGCTACTGTGTTATAAATTCAGCTGGTAAAATGTAAGTGACATTGTACAAAACAATTTGCCCCACATATCTGACAGTCACTTACATTTCTTAAACTCCAGAGCAGTTGAAAATATTATTGTCACCATCACTTTTATGTACTTGGAACTATGGATGAATATTATCAGCTATAGTCTTGAGCGACCATGATGACTATCTTTTCTTAGCATCTCCTTCCACACCATTGCTACGATTAGTGCCTGCAGAAGTCTACCACCTCATTTGATCCCATCAGATCAAGTGGTGTTATTCCGTGTCTAAGAGATAGCAGGGAATCTTTCAGTGTCTTGCACAATATCCAGCACTTAATGTAGCAGTCAGTTCTCAGAGCATGATTTCTCCAGTTGAAGTTCTCGGTCTATTCACTAAGCATTTGTATGAAATTGAATTGAAATTGGAGACTTAACTGGAGACTCCACAATCTGATAGTTTCCATTATGAAAGATCCAATGTTTGGCATGGCCCATATTGAGACTTCCATCCTGGTGGTGATTCTGCTCCTTTTGGTATTATCCCATACCATGCAACAATCATGGAAGGTTCTCTTAAGTATGTTTCTCACCTTGTTGAGGGGTATATCACATGAAGGCAAAAGATGCCAGTTTTCTTTTTACTTGTCCTTCTCCAAACACTATTGTAGTTTGTGGCCATACAGAATAAATCTCATAGATTACCGGGGATAAGAAGGGCTGCTATCTGGATTTAATGGCAACTTTCTTCCTTAGCACTTTGGGACTGAAGGTCTCAAATTACCAGGCAGCTGTGTCCTGCTGCCAGCTATCCTTCTGGGAGAGGGTTGGACATGTTTTTTAATCTCAACCCTGTGGATAAAAGACACGTTGCCCATTGTGTTTCAAGATGTAACCCACCCAGGGAGCTTTGTGGCTAATAGGGATGGCTGAAAATCTAATAAATACATAATACATCAAGAAATACAAAACCTCATTATTTAACAGATCAGCCTAGCTCAACATGAAGATTGTGGTATAAAGGTTCTGGCCATTGTAATCAATTTCCTGTTACTATGAAACTTTGTTAACACTTAATGGATTTTTTAGGGTTAGTATCCTTGCATCACTTTTAATCTATAAAAACATACCATCACAGCAGAGTATTCAAGAAACCATCAATATTTCAAAGTGCTCTTAAAGTGTGTCCTTAGAAATTCCCTAATACTAAGCAAGGATATAATTTAATGGGACACTGCAGGGAACTTATTCTGCAGTTATGACTCCAGTAAGGCCAAAAAGTTGGGTTTCAAAAACGTTTGCTTTAAAAGGAATCTGACTATCTAAAATGACAGCAAAATATAATAAACATTATATCTTTCTTTTAAAATCAGGAAAGGGGTATGTGCCCAAGAAGATGTTTATACGTTTCCTCCAACTAGGATTGGTGAATCAAGCACACTGAAAATCTGCGTGAGGAATTATTCTACCTCTCCAAATCGGGTATTTTAACTTCCAAGTATTTCTTCCAGATGAAACCTACATAATAACTCATAATGCTTATAGATCTAATGCTTAATAATGTGCTTCATGCTAAACTCCTCGGTACCTGAATTGCTTGTTGGTTTACATTCTGTATTTATTTTCAGATGAAAAGCAATTATCTTTGATTAGAAAACTGATACTGTATTAAACTTAAACCCCAGTATTAAAACTTGTATCGGGATTTGTTGGCCAAGCTTACATGCTACAAACCTTTCTCAGACCTGTGTCCCAATAATTTTTCCTGAATTTTATAATAGTCTGAGGAACTATATACTTGGTTTAAAATCAGTATTTTTCTGAACTTATTATATTGCAGCTGAAATTTAGAAGTCCCAGAGAGCCTTTTTACATCAAGCATTTCCATTATAATTTGAGGTAAGTGAAGTCATATTTTTCTGGAGCCTTTTAAAAGGATTGATGTGGGGATTAACTTGTCGAGAAGTACCAGTTATTAGTTATTACGAACTAGAAACTGCGTTTGAGTTTCCAAGTAGTCCTGCCATTTCACCATTTTGGACCTCATATAGAACAGAGCAATCTCAGTTTGCTTTATGTTTAAGCAGTATTATTAAGTGCTTAATACTGAGTAGCGTGAAGTTTACAGTACAGTAATAGGAATTAGAAATAGAGAGGGGCAGATAGTTAAAAATGAACACAGGTGTTAAAAGAAAATTGGATTCAAGGAATGTCTAAAGGGTTTAGTATTTATATCCTGCCTTATTTATAGAAGTGTAAAGGAAGATCACAGTATTCATTTGCTTGTTTTATTCAAAACATTCATAACCCCGTTTTCTGCCTGACAAGAGGCTTCCAAGGCCTCTGATAACACCCAATAATATAAAATAAGATCCTTTAAAAAGACAATGGGGACTTAAGAAAATTTTGGTAGGACAATGCTGAGAAGTGCCAAGTTTCTAAGAATTAAATGTTGCTGTTCTACAGTAGAGGTAGTCAGTGAAAAAAAAACAACCTTGTATCCCTAAGGCATCTGTCTCAAACCTTTGATTAGCAAACATGGTGCAAGCAGAAGCATTCCAGGTAATGCATTTTTGTGTGACCTGTACACGACCTTCCTAGAATGGTTTTGTTTCTTTCTAGAATATCATTCTAGTATGAAACAGAGCTAAAATGGCACATGCATAAAGATTGTAAAGCCATTTTGAACTCCCAGTGGAAGACAATGACTAGTAAGTTATAACATTCTGACTATCTGATAAGATACTATTCTGCTTTGTCTTCTAGACTAAGGTATACAGGACTCTTGAAAAGATAAAGAGCTTTACAAAACATTGAGTTGTTTTTTTTTTTTTTTTACAAAATTCTGAGTAAAACTGGAACAGTCTTAAATGTATGTTAACTTGTCTTTTGCAGATGTTACCACTACTGCAATTTACCAGTCCAGTTCAAACCAATGTCATCTGGCACTTTCAAAGGTGTATTGGTGGTAGAGACAGACAAAAGTGGTACTCTTACCATTCAGCTGCTTGGTGAGGGTTTGTCAGAACAGTAATTAAGAACTGCTGTTCACAGTGCATGCTAAATTTACATCTAATTTATTGGATGACAGGTTCCTTTTTTGTACTTTAAAATTATTTTATAGGAAAATGTGTGTTTGTATTTTTTTAATAAAATAATTTTGTCATCATGCAACTTACACTACTGCACTTTGGCTGATGGGAAGCAGCAATGTGTCTTACTTTTTTCTTCACAAATAATAATTGTATATGTTAAAACATGATTTAACTTTAAAATAAAGTTTTCCTTAAATTCTTGCCTACTTTGCAATGCCTTCTACTAAACTCTGTACCTTACCTGTTTCTGTTTGGCTTCAGATTTGAGGCAGAAAATCAAAACAGATGTTCTTAGAATGTTGGGTGATCTTGGCATTTGTTTTGTATTTTTACTTGAGTATTCTGCTGTCATGGATACAGTTCAAATAATACGTTTACCCCAATATTAAGTTTAAAATAACTTTGTTATTTACATTCCCTAAGTAACAAAATCCTCTTCTTCATTATACAGCTAATATGTGAGCAGTTGTTAACTTCAATAATGTCATCACTGGCTGAGTATGATGAATACTGTTGAATATTATAGATGCATTCAAAAGTGGCAAGGTGGTATCCACCTCTGATTGAGTCAATGAAACAGTTTATGTCATTTAAGGCTCTATGCCTTGTGGGAATGTCATGAAGTAGAACTCCTTGAAGAACTGGGTTAGGGGTGAGCAACAACCAAATTATGAAAATTCATTCAAGACAGCTAATTTGGTGTGGTACAGTGCTGGGCTGAGAATCTAAGAGATCCTATTTCTAGTCCTCACTTAGCCATGAAGCTCACTTTGGGCTGGTCACTCTTTCTTGACCTAATCTACTTCACAGGGTTGTTGAGAAGATGAAATGGGCTATGTAAGCCAACTTGGCTTCCTCACAAGAGGAAAAAAGGCAGGGTATAAGTGTAGTGTTATTGTTTAGCCAAAAGTGGACTCTTAAAACTGACAAATTTTCAAGATCCAATGAACATCATTAGCTAAAGAAATTTTTTCAGAGCCCCTGGACATAATCCCCTTATGGCAAAGCATTACTAGTAGCTATCATGAACTGGGCCAAATTCTCCCAGCTAGCTTTGGTAGTAAGATTTCCGTATGGCCCCTAGAAAGATTTGCACAACACAGTAACCCACATTGTGTAAACAGCTACACTGTGTGGCTGGTAAACTACTCTATCCCTAGCAGATTATTGGGAACATTCAGGTAGGCTTCCCTGCCTGCCCACTCAGTCATCCTGTAAGTATCCTGGGGAACTCCATGGGAGCACTGAGGTTCCCCCGCCCCATCCCTCACAATGCTTGTTAGTGATGCAGGGAGAGCGTGTAGCAGGAATTGCTGACATCCCTCACAGTAGCTAGTAAGAAGACTTCCCTTGTGAGCTGTAGCTTATGCTACATGACCACTGTCAGTGACACTTGCCTGTCAGCTACAAGGCAAGGCTGGCAAGGATTCCATGATAACCCCAAGAGTGTGGCTATCACAACCTACAATGAGCTCTGGGCTGTCAGGGGGCTTATAAACCACCCTGAATAACCCATGATGGGTTGTTCTCACAATCCCCATAGTTTATAAACTATAAACAGGGTAATTGTCTTGCTCCGTGAACTTCTGCTGCTTCCAAGCATACCACTTTACTCCAGGCTGATAAATGCAAGGTGTTGCCTGTTTTGTGTGCTAGATTGTCTACTCTGTAATGGGTCCGTGGCCACATCATCTGCAGTGATATCCTGAGCTGTTCCTGACAATGTGGTCTGGGTGCAAGTCTTGCAAGCCTTGAGGTGTCAAGGGGCTTCAGGCGTAACAAAAACTTTGAAATTGCTACTGTTAGCCAATTACTCAAATGTACTGCTTATCCTGCTGTATAATAGATTGCCCATATGAAGTATCTCATATCCACATTTAAAATCAGCTTTGATTGCCATTGAATACTCAGCGAAGTATGTATTACTTTTTCATGCTTTCCAGCATTTATAGATACATTGACTAAAGTGGCTGGCCTTTCATCTAGTGTAGCCACCTAATCTAAAATCTTACTATGACTGTTAATGAGCTATAGCCAGTAACCAGTTCTCTCCACAAGAATAATTTTATGACCTGTGCAGAGTTTTGAAGGTAAACAGTTGTAGTTGTTGAAACCAAAAAGTGTGCCGCTTTTACTTACTTAAATTTATAGTCTGCTTTCTTACGGGAAAGGACAATGAGCTCTTCGGGGCTGACAAGTACAGGACATTTTGGAGCACATTCATTACTAAAGGAGCGCTTGCGCCCATATATGCCCTCCCGCCCCTTGAGATTGGCAACAGATGCCCTTCTCTGGGAACCCTCCGTGAATGATACTAGGAGGGTGAGTACCTGAAGGAGGGCCTTCTCTGCGGTGGCGCCCCACCTATGGAATGCACTCCCCAGAGAGGTCCGCCTCGTGCCGTCGTTATTGTTTTTCAGCGCCAAGCGAAGACCTTTTTATTTAAAACTTATTTTAATTGTTAACTTATTATGTATTTATATGTTTTAAATTTTTAAGCCGAGATGTTACTGGGTTTTTAAAATTTTTAATTGTATTAATTTGTTATTTATATGTTTTAATTATGTTGTGAGCTGCCCCGAGGCTTTGTTGCGATGGGGGCGGAATAGAAAAGTTTTAAATAAATAAATAACTCACTCAGAGATGACTTGACGGCACATAAGAATAGATCGATTGATCAATGTGTGAGAATGTTCAATATAATGTATAGGAATGCAAGCCATAATCATTAATCATTTTTTTAAAATATTAAATCTCCAAGTAAAATGCTCAATACCTTGAGGTGTGTAGAATACTATCATATAGCCCCCTAGTTCTGATTTACATATCTTATTAACAACATAGTAAGATTTCATGTACCTATATTTTTTATCAGTCAAGTCAGGTTCGTGGCTGGCTAAAACACTGGAGCTTTTTCTGCTTCTAGTTGAAGTTTTTGGCTAGAGTATTAGTTGCATTTTAATTAATGTTGTAGATCATGATTTGTGAAGCATTAACTGTAACTTTTATGAATTCTTTTAGGGCATTTTTCTTTCATTTGCCTGCTTTCTAGTTTTGAATGTACAGCTTTTCTTCTAATTGTATACTATGTTGCATGCTTCTGAAATTAGCATTTACCACACATTGGAAGAAAATACATTTGAAACATCGTGCTAGAGAATAGCCTTGTGAATACCCTGAACTGATAGATGAACAAGTGGTCCTAGAACAAATCAAGCTACAACTTTCCCAAAGGCAAAAATGAGGCTGTCATACTGTGGGCATGTCATAAGAAGGCAAGTTTCACTGGAGAAGACAGCCATGCTAAGAAAAGTTGAAGGCAGAAGATAAAGACCAAACATGAGATGGATTTACTCCACAAAGAAGCCACAGACTTAAATTTACAGGAGTTGAGCAAGGCTGTCATGGATAGGATGATTTGGAGGGTTTCCATTTACAGGTTCACCATTAGTTAGAGACAACTCGATGGCATGTAATAACAAAAACACATTGGAATGTGTTAACTTTCCCACTGGCAGTGCATGTTTGACCTGGATTAGAATATATCACACAATGTTTAATGACAACATACCACTTAAATGGAAATTAGGATTCTAAAGTAGGTATTTTCCAAATAAAGTGCTGAATAAACTTGAAAGCTAAAGTGGGGAAGTAGGATGGAAGAAACTTGGCTAATAGAAAAAGGATGTTTAAAGTGTTCTGAACACTTCAAATGTTACATAAATGCTAACATTTGCATTATGTTCATAAAATAATGAGCATAATATTACTATTCAGAGACAATTCATCTGAAAAATTAGTGCTGTTATTAAACAGTCTGGCTTTTGTGACTCCCCTTTAGTTACGGACTGAATTTAAATACAGTGTTAAGCCATGGTTTATGTTAATTACAGTTTGTTGCTTCAGTCATGAATTTTTTTGCAGACAAGAAAACGGAAGTTCTTTCCTTATTTGGGTTTGTTTCTTTTCCACCTATTTTGCTAGGTAACAGTGGTTTCAGTTGAGGCTGCTCTTGCCAGACACCAACATCACAAGCAATGGTTTAAACAAGGCAGACTTTGCAAGCTAGCAACAAACTGGCTTAAATTTATGGTTTGCAGCTGGTTAACAAAACATGGTTTATTTGGGGAGAATCTGTTAATATACAGTGACCTGGTACACAGGATCAAACCAGCGTACAGCGTGGGTTAGCATTATGTTTAACTTAAAAATGGATTAAAAGGGAGTGCAGAGGAAGAACAGGGAAACTGTGGATTTTGCTAAGTGTTAATGTACGTTTTCACCCAGAAGTCACATACTTGATGTGTGTATCATGGGGAGTGAATTTTACTTTGACATGTGTCAATTGCATGTTATATGCAAATGTTCTAAGACACCATGAAGCCACTTTAAGTATTTAGAGCATGAACGCAGAGTGAAGAGGAATGGAATGCTTAACCCTTTTCCCTAATCTGTTTCTCTTTTCATAATCTCTTCCCAGGCAGTTCATTTGCCTTGCAGGGCTTCAATTATGAACACATGACTGGAATCTCATATGGAGGCAAGTCGGTGGGGGTGTTGAGTGATTAAGAGAAGATTCAGATAAAGAGCTCCCATACCCATTTATTTAGTCAAAATTTCCTTCCCCAAAAACAGCTTTGCATTTAAAAAAAAATACAAGTAATAGCCTCCTCCGTACATCTAACATATTTTTAAAGTCTTAAAACGGTTTCATTGTAAGTAAATGATTTTTGTTTTAGATGTAGTTCCATACGTTGACCAAGTAGAAAAGATATTTAGGATGCAATTATATGCATGTTTAGAAAGAAGAAACTACATTTCCCTGCATAAGGAGCATTGGGAGTGGTTGGATTTGTTATTGCCTAAACAAGATTGCATCCTTGAAGTATTTTACCAGTACTGAAGATTGAGACAACTTTGCAAAACATTAATACAGTCAAACCACAACTTCTGCAGATTTAACTTTGCAGATTTGATCATTTGTGAGTTTGCTTTCAATAATTAAATGAGATTTTGTGTGTGTGTGTGTGTGGGGGGGGGGTGCTTGCAGCCTACTGCAGAAAATGATCACCATAGAGAGAGGAAGAGGAAAGGGGAGATAGGGAGGGCCTCCAAAGCATGCCTTCTTGTCCAGTCCATCTGGAGAGGGAAATCCCTCCGGCATTTCCTTGGTGCAAAGAGTCACTTGTGAGTGAAAGGAAGGGGAATAAGAACATAAGAATGTAATAAAGAATGGAAGCCCTGCTGGTTCAGACCAAGGTCTGAGAGGGAGAGGTAGAAGAAATCCAGTACACAAAAGATCAACAGTATTATTAAGTGCTAAGGTCTGGTGGTGCGGATCTAGAGATATTCATGGTTTATCCACTTTTTGGGGTCTGTGCTCCTAACCCCTATGAATGTGGAAGGTCAGCTCTACTCACAAGTTAGAAGCTTTATTCTGAAGTTACAAATAATGGTTAGTGGAGCCCATGTGGCAAAATGTGAGAAGAGGTGTTACTAGGTTGG